GCATGAAACAGGCATTTATTGCGCCCCTGCGTTCGGTGGGGCTGGCGGGCGCAGCGGCGCAGCACCACGTCTGGAGTCTCAGCCAGAAGACGCAGACCTTGTGGCTGCAGCCACGGAGGCTCCTCCCGGCACGTCGGGCACCCGGGCTGGCGACTGGAACCTCGGGGGCTTCTGAGCGTCTGTCTCCCCGTGGCCTCTCCACGGTGGCAGCTCAGGCTCCAGAAGGGGCATGTTGACAGAGAGACAGACACAGGGACAGAGGCAGGAGGCATGGGAACAGGGTGGGGACTTACCTTCCCTCAGTCCAGCCTGGGAAGTCAGACACCAGCACGTCTGCCAGAGAGCAGGGCCGGAGAGCCGAGGCCCCGGGTGCGGGACCGGCCCTGAAGCTGCAGCGATCGAGATGGCGCGGTCGCCGGTGAAGGGACAGACACACAGGCCAACGGGACAGACAGAGAGCCCAGGAACAGACCCCTGCAAACAGGGTCGGCGGACCTCTGACAAAGCAGCAAAGGCCGCTCGACGGAGGAAGGACCGTCCTTCACTAACTGGTGCCGGCACCGCTGGACGCCCACGTGCAAAACCGCGAACCCACACACGGACCCGCGCCCCTCACGGCACCGACCCGGGACGGGCCGCAGGCCCACATGCGGGCCCCAGAACCAGAAAGTGCCCAGGAGACAGCACGGGAGAAAACCCGGGTGGCCTTGGGTTTGGCGCTGACCTTTTCGGTCTGCAACGCCGGAGCCACGGCCCGTGAGAGGGAAACCGATGAGCTGGACTTAATTAAAATTAGAAGCGTCTGCGCGACGGAAGCCCCCACTGAGACCACGAGAAGACACGCCCGGCAGGGGGAGGGGTTTGCAAAAGGCACATCTGATACAGGACTGTTTTCCAAAATATACGAAGAATCCTTAAAACCAGTAAGAAAACAAACGACTGGTTAAAGAGCGAGCTAAACACCTGAACAGACCCCTCACCAAAGGAGACACGCAGGCGGCAAAGAGCGAATGAAAGGATGCGCCCACCCCACGCCATGGGGGACGTGCAAACTAAACCCTGCGCGACGCCACCGCACCCCTGTCAGAGCGGCCAGAACCCAGAGCCGGGGCGACACCACGCGCCCGCCGGGGACGCAGAGCCGCGGGGACGCTCGGTCCCGCTGGTCGGGTGCAGGTGGCGCAGCCGCTTTGGAAGGCAGTTCGGGGGCCTCTTACAAAACTCGACAGGCCCACGTGATCCAGCACCCACGCTCCCCGGAACTCACCACAGGCGTCGAGAGCTGCGTCCTCCCAAACACCGGCACGTGGAGGCTCACGGCAGCTCCGTCCCTGACTGACAGGACCGGACGCCCCCAAGGCGCCGGCAGCAGGCGGGCGGGGCAGTCCCCCGGGGTCCATCGGGCCGCGGAACAGGGTTCCGAGCTGCAAACAAACAAACGTGCCGTCGAGTCTGAAAAGCCATGGGGGGACGTGGAACATTCACGACTGAGTGGCAGGCGCCGACGGGAAAGCTGCACCCCGTGCGCCTCCCGCTCTGGCGCGTCCCGGGAAGGGCGAAGCTGGGGAGACAGGGAGAGGCGCGCGGGTGCCAGGGGCTGGGGGCGCGCGGACCAGCGAGGGCACAGAGGCCCTAGGGCGGCGGTGACACTGCCCCGTGCGGCACGGTCGTGGTGGACGCACGTCGCTACCCGTTGGTCCGGCCCCGCAGAGCGGACACCGGGGGTGACCCCGCTGTGACCTGCGGCCTCGGGGTGGCCGTGCAGGTTCACTGACTTTGACGAACGCAGCACCTGGTGGGGACGCTGACACCAGGGAGGCCGGGCGGCATCTCTGCCCCTCTCGTCACATTTGCTGTGAGCCTAAAACCCCCTAAAAATAAAGGGGGGTTGTCGCTCACCTTTCTCAGAAACACGCAGGTCGAGCTGATGAAGAATAAATGAAAACATAGCAACGCCCACCAACACTGACCGGGTGTGATCCGGCCGCAGAACGCGGCCGTGCCTTCGGCGAGGAAGCACAGGTGGCCGTGCCCGGGCCCAGCGGTGACAGCGCGCGGGCGGCCTGCAGGGGCGGGCGAGGCGGCTGGTCTGAGAGCGGCGTGTGGCCGAGCGCCCGGGGGCCAAGGACTGGGGTGGCCCAGGGGGTCCTGGTGGCCTTGACCTGTGCCTGGCCAGGGGGCAGCCAGGGGAGAGGGGGCTCTCAGAGGAGGCGGGGCCCCTCCCGAGACAGGAACAGGGAGGCAGGTGCGGCCACAGGGCGGGGCTGGGGAGGCCGGAGGCACCGGGAGACAGGAGCCAGAGGCAGAGGGACGGGGGAGGCCAGGCCCGTGTCCGGCTCCCCCGGGGACACTGGCCCTGGGCACTCACGGGTGAACCGAACGAACTGCTGGTCCCCGCCCCAGTTTCCTCCCCCGGCTCGGCCCACAGGATGGACACTCCCTGAGCCGCTGAGGGGGCGTCTGCTGCTGGCCTGGCGCCGGCCCCCCTCAGCTGTGCGAAGACGCCGACCTGCGCCCTGCCACCCTCTTCCAGACGCCTTGGTCACCGGAAGCCTGGGGCTCGAGGGCGCGCTGCAAGCCACGGGGGGCAGACCTCAAGGCGTGGGGCTGCCTCCCCGCCATGGGCAGCGCCAACGCCCGGCCCCCCCAGGGCCCCCCCCGCCCCCCCTTCCCTGGGGCTCCATCTCCCTCTTCTGTCCTCGCCCAGCGCAGCTCAGGAACGGGCCGTGTGCGTGGGGACACCGGATCCTTCCCCGCGCCCCCACCATCGGGTTGGGGCTTTGGAGGAGGGTGCTGCGCTTGGAGTCGGGGGTCTCCTCCCCTCGACGCCCCCCCTCCGGAAACCCTCCCTCTGAGCCGGGGCTGCTTCCCCAGCACGTCCTCTGCTGCAGGAAGGGGCTCACCCGTGCCCACCCTCACAATGCTCGGGGCGCACCACCCACGCTGCTCCCTGGCCAGCCGCCCGGGACCCCACCTCTGCCGCTCGGGCCCACCCTCGCCCTTCTGTCAGCGACAGCCCCCCCACAACCCTGCCCGTCGCGGCTCACAGGCTCCAGGGCGGGGCGAGAAGGCGCCCAGGTGGCGGGGGGCTCCCCTCCCGAGCGGGGGGCACAGCAGCGCAGAGGGCGAGACCGGACACACGGCCTTCACGCCTGCCCCCACCCTGCAGCGCTGGGGACCCAGAGGCTTTGGTGGGGCGCAGGCGGGCTGGGGGGACGCTTTCCGGCGAGGGAGGCCACGGCCGCGGTCCCGGGAGAGGACGGGCCTGCGGGTGAGCGAACAGCTGTGGGGCAGGCCGGCCCGCACACCACTTCCTCCAGAGCAGGTGCCGGGGCCGCCGGCGTGCGGCACACCCTTCCTCACAGGAGGCAGACACGAGTTACGAAACATGTTTTTATTTAAATCAAAGTACCAGGCAGATACTTGCGAAACATTGCAAAACAACATACAAAGTGAAACTCAGACGCTTGGGTCCCCAGTGGCCTCTGAGCACCAGTGAGGAAAACCAAGCCCCTCCACCTCCCCAAACCCGAGTGCAGGCCCCGCCCAGGCTGGGGGAGGGGTGGGCGGTGCGGGGCCCCTCCGCGCCCGCCCACAGGGCTCCTGGAGGGCGGGACCCGCCTGGGGGTGCGGGGCTGGGCGTTGACTCCGAAGCTGCTGCTTCGTGGGTATGGCTGTGAAGTGTGCTCCTCTGGCCGGGTCTGGGGCTGGACAGGCGGGCGCGCCCAGCTCTGAGGAGGCCGAGACCAGACGTGGTCGTCTGCGCGAAGGGGGCAGACAGGACTGCCCGGCACCCCCCACCCCCCGCCCCGAGCGGACCTCAATCAAGATGCACTTAAAAAGAAGTGCAGACTCGAACAAGAAAGTAAACATCACGCTGCAACCAGCAGACCCGTGAAAACAGCAAAACAAAAACGTAACAGAGAAAACAAAGGGACGACCTCAGTAGCTGGCTGCGGGCGGGGCCCACTGAGGGGGTCAGGGCCCTGGGCAGATGGAAGGGTGGACGGACGGAACCCAGACCCCTTCAAACTGCAAGCAGGGTCCTCCCTGTGGTGGGGCCCCAGAGAAGGGTCCTCGTCCGGCCACACACCCGGGGAGGCCGTGGGGACCTGAGGCTCAAGGGGCCCCAGCTGTCCCTGGGCCCCTGCTAGGGACAGCGCGGGCGTCGGGTCTACCTCGTGACTCCGCAGCCAGCCAGGGGCGGCTCTCGGCGAGCGTCTGGGTCCCCACGTGGCCAGCGCCGGCCCCGGCTGTGCCCTCTGGGTAGCCACCCCCACCCCGGAGCAGGGGGCTCGGGCCCCGGGGAATCCCAGGCCGAGGCTGTCACAGGGGCGCCGCCCCTGGACCCACCGGGAAGGACCTCCTCACAGGCCGTCCGAGGGCACTTTGCACAAAGGCTCCGGAACCCAGTGCGGACCCGGGCACCTAGGCACTCGGCGGGGAGTGGGGTGAAACGCTAGCAACGCGCCTCTTCCGAGGGGCTGGCTGAACGACTCGCGGGGACCCCGCGGTGCGAGCACCGAGCCTCGGCAGGCGGGCAGAGCACGGGCCGTGGGGCCCCCCGCCCGCACCCCAGGCCCCGGGACAGGGTCCAGACCGGAGCCCGGGCCAGCCCGACACACCGCCCACGCCCGGGCCGGGCCGAGTGCCAGCCGCACTAAACCTACAGAAAACTGTGGGAAGAAACCAAATCCATAGGATCCATGGCTTTCCACCCTCGGGGACGACCCCCAAGACATGTGCTAGTGACGTGCCCCGGCTGTGTGGGCGGCAGGCCTGCTCCTGGGCGCTGCTCGCTGCCCCGCGGCCGGCGCGTCCTCTCCTCTGGCTCCTGGCCGGGCCCGGTGTGTAAACAGTATTAATAAGCAACACATGGAAAAATATATTTCCCAAGAAAATGGGGAGGAAGTCCAGAACGCAACGCCCGGCAGGCGTCCCAGGTGCCGCCGCCGCCGTGGGCCCCTCTCCCCTCTTGGCCGGTCTCGGGGTCCCCTCTTTGGTTCGGCAGCCCCACATGGCGCCCCGCGACCCGGGAGAGGGCCGGTCGCCCGCCCGCAACGGGCCTCGCCTCCGCCGGCAGCTACTTGTGCTCCTGACCCTCGGCCACGGCGGCCACCTCGATGGCGGCCGCGTGCTCCTCGGGCGCCGAGGCCACCACGGCGCTCTCCACGGCCCCCGTGGGCACTGTCACGATGGTGCTGCCCCCGGGTGACACCTGCGCCACGTTCTGCAGCGTGGGGCCCAGGCCGGGCAGGGTGAGCAGCTGCAGGGGGCTGACCACCTTGACCACAGTGCCGCCGTCCTGCACGGCGGCCGCACTCAGGACCGTGAGGCTGGACGCGTCCGGGTGGATCTCCACGGTGCCAGGGAAGGAGGCGCCGGACGAGGCCAGCACCGTGTAGCCCCCGAGCAGCGGCGAGGCGGGGGAGCTGGCGGGGGCCGCCGGGGCGCAGCTCTTGCCCAGCGCGGGGGACGGCAGCGCGGACACCACCTTGCCGAGCGGCACGCCGGCCAGCTGCGCGACGGGCAGGCCCGGGCCGAGGGCGATCTGGGCGGACTGCGCGAGCACCTGCGAGGCGATGGCGGCCGGCCCGGACGTGGCGCGCGCGAGCCGGGGCCGCTTCGCGGGGGGCGGCAGGGACACCGGCGTCAGCGTCATGAGCACGTTGCTGAGGTGCTGGGACTTGTGCTTGAGCTCCTTGGCCCGCCGGCGGTGCTCGTCACACTGCTGCTCCAGCGCTGCGGGCAGAGGACCGGGCGTCGCCGCCAGCCCCGCGCCCGCGCCCCGACCCCGACCCCGACCCGCCCGCGTCTCGCGTGGAGAGCTGCTCCTGTGATGCTCTGCGACCCTGGGTCAAGGCGGCCCATGCCCCCAGCCCGTGCCACACGCACACACCCGCACACACCCGCGCGCTCAGGCACTGCGCAGGCAGAGCAAGAAGAGCACGGCCGTCACAAACCGAGCTCTGGGCCACACCCCCCCCCGTGAACAGCTGCGCGGCGGGTCACAGCAGCCCGACCGGCCGCGGCCCCCCGAGGGCGGCCCCCAGCACCCTCCTGCCCCGCACAGACCTCGGCCGCGCCCCAGGGCCCACGCACCGGCCAGGTCGCGGGCGTACTGCTCCCGCGAGCGGTCCATCTGGCACTTGTGGCCGGCCAGCACCTTCTTCACCAGGTCCAGCATGCCGAAGTTCTGCACGATGTTGTTCAGCAGGATGGCGTCTGCGGGGCCAGAGGTGCAGGGGTCGAGGATGCACCTGGAGGGCGGGACAGCCGCCCCCCCCCGCCCCCGCACCGCCAAGGCAGCCGGGCTCGGCTTGAGCCTCAGGGGCCCCCTGCGCCTGCCGCGCCCTCACCCCCTCACCCCCTCACCCCGGAGCTGCAGGGGCGGGGCCTGCGCCCGCTGCTGCAGGCCCTTCATGGCGCCTGCCATCTCCTGGTGCAGCTCCTGTATGACCTCGTCCAGCAGGCCGGCGTCCTTGAGCCCCCGCCAGAAGGCAAACGTGTCGTCTGGGAGGGAGAGAGAGGCTCGGAGACGGGAGGTCTTGCCCGGCCCCGCCCGCGGGAAGCCCAGGGGAAGGCGCCCGTACCTCCGATGGCCGTGGTCCAGTCACCGGGGTCCTCGCAGGTCTCTATGGTGATGGTGGCCGAAGACCCGTTCACTGCAACCGAGAGGGCAGCAGGTGAGCCCCCCTGCCTGGCCGCGAAGCTCCCTTTACACCGACGCACAAAGCTGACAACCAGGGGCCCGCGCCCGGCACACGGGGTGGGAGGGGCCGACAGACAGAACCCCGCCCCCGCCCCCCCAGCTCCAGCCCCTCGCCCAGAGCGCCCGCCGCCAGGAGCGCGCCCAGGCCGCCCCACCCCAGCCCTGACAATGCAGGGACAGGGACAGTGGCAGCCTGGAAACACGACTCCACGGAGTGACCTCCAGGCCACACGAGAGGGACCTCAGGGCCTAACGTCGCTCTCACTCGGGTTTAAAGAGAACCTGGGCTGCGCGGGGCGTCTGGCCGGCCCCAGGGAGCGCCGGGCACCAGCAGGGAGCGCGTCGCGGCGCTGGGGGGCGGCCCCCAGAGCCCGCGGGCAGGAAGGCGCCGCGGGGGCGCCGCCGCTCTGTGCTCGCCCCTCCGCAGGAGCTTCTGTCTCAGACAAAAGTCGCTTAGAAGGAGGAAGCGCGGGAACCGCCTCCGAGGGCGGAGGCCCCGCCCCACGCGGCCAGCGGGCAGCGAGGGCGCAACGAGGGCGACGCGCCTACCATCGGCGGCGGCGGGCGTGAGCGGCAGGTACTCGGCCGACGTGGGGCTGCTCAGGGGCACGCGGGCGCCCGACAGGTCGATCTTGGTGCTGCGGCAGGTGTTGGAGCAGACCTTGTCGTGCTGGTAGAAGTCCAGCTCCCCGGAGTCCATGATCTTCCTGCGGGCGGCGGGGCGGGGCTGAGCGCGGGGCGGGGGGGGGGGCCCTCCGCGCACGCGCCTCCACGCCGGCCCCGCCCCTGCCCGCCCCCCACGTGGCCGGGGTGCGAGGGCCTGGCCACGGTCACGGGCCGCCAGGGCCTCGCTGGGAGAGGCCTTAAAGTGACCCAATCCCACCTCGCGGGCACCGCAGACACACCGCTGGGGCCCAGGGGGAGTCGGGTGGAGGGGCGGAGGGACCGGCGGGGCGCCCCTGCCGGCCAGGGCCTGGGGACCCCAAGCAGGAAACGCTGACACGTGAGGACCAGGAGGTGACACAGGGCAGCAGACGGCTGCGACCTTGAAGCCTCGCGTCAGAAGGCCCTCCTGGGGGCCACACCCGGGACGCCTGTGCACCAGACGGGGTGAGCGCCCCACGCAGAAGGGAGGGAAGTCTCCGAGGAGGACGCGCACTCTGGCCCGGGCATGCGCCTGGCACAGCCTCGCGGGTCAGGCCGCGGGCCAGGCCGAGGCCCTCTGTGCGCTCACTGGCAGAGAAGGCCGAGGCGGCCAACACGCAGCCACTGGACGCGGACACAGATGTGGACGCAGTCTGGACAGGAAGACCCTGAGCAAGTGAGGACAGCGCCAGGAGCCTGGCCAGCACGCACCGCCGGTGGCAGACGGGTGCTGCCCGCCCGCACCGAGGGCCGGCCGTGTCTCCGGGGCCGCGCAGGTGCTACCCCGCAAGCACTCACTGCAGACCGGCCGCCGCGCCTTCGGGTGAAAGCCTGTGGGACTCAGAACGAGGCCACAGAAACCGCAGGCCGGACAGCGTCCCATGTGGCAGGGGACCGGGGACGGCGCTGGCTCTCCTTACGCCTAAAACGTGCCTTGCGTCCAAACCCCCAGACCAACGGAAAAGCAGAGAGCCCGCGTTCGCGCCAGGGAGGGCGTCACGGCCACAGGCCGCCCACCTGAGCATGATGCCGTTCATCCGGATGGCCCTCTTCCAGTCCTTCAGGGTGGACTTGCCGGCCAGGTGCACGAACTCCTTGGGGCTGATGACGTGCTCGTCGTACTGCGGGGGGGACACAGCAGGGCAGTCAGGAGGCGCCGCCCGCCCCCTTCCGCGCCAGCGGCCCAGCTGACACGGCGCGCCGCCCTGCTGCCCACACAGGGCGGCTGCCTGCGGCCGCGCGGGACAAGCTGCGCACACGCTCGAAAGGGCTGGCGCCCTCTTGCTCCGGGCCTGGCCGGCCCCTCTCGTGATGACCTCGCACGCTGGTCGTGCTGACAGAAGGCAGGACAGCGTGCGCGGGGACGTGCCTGCCCCTCAGGGACACATGTGCGCCTGTCCATGCCAGAGCCCGGGCCTGTCCCCACTCGCAGGCGCCGGGCCGCCTGGGCCCTGGCGGGAATGGAGACGCCCGGAGAGGCCAGCTGTCCTGTTCCGTCCTGTCTGACGAGCGCTCGTTGGGCCCGAAGAGCCAGAATAAACTGCGTTTACTGCGAAAGCGAGCGGGCGGGGGGCGGGGGGCCCGAGGGTCTCAGCAGGCCAGGCCTGGCCGCTCCCTGGGGCTCCTGGCCGCCTAGCGGCCGCCGCGCACACCCACACGCTCAGTCCTCACTGGAGCCGTCCTCAGGCCCCGTGCCAGCGCTGCAGCGGCCGGTGCACCCCGTTTCCCAGTTTCCACTTCTTCACCCTCATGCCGTCCCTCGCCCGGGGTGGACCGCCCGCCAGAAGAGCTCTGGCCTGGACCCTGAGCTGGAACCGCCGGGGCAGAATAATGACCTGACTTGCTTATTTCATCTTTCTTAAGTGGACACGCAGCTTGCAGTTATTTCATTGTTTTGTATTAGAAGCGTCTTGAGTCTTTTTGGGGTTGGCCAAAAAGGTCGTTCGGGTTTTCTCCCACGAGCTGGCCGCAGTCCGGGCCAAGGCCCCTGCAAACTCGCTGGCACAGAAGGCCCAGGAGGCTGGCCCGCAGCCACCAGCGCAGACACAGTCTGGCCAGGAAGGCCGAGCTCCAGGGCCACTCAGTTGTCTTCAACTTCATTCGAAACAACTTTATTAAGTTGTATTGTGGCAGTTGTCACATCAGCGTGCGTTAAAAAACAGATCAAAATGGGTGAATTTTTGTGTAGCCACTTCAACATTGAAGGTGGAAGAGAATAATCAACATTTTCAGCATATTCGGCTTTGTTATTTCAAGAAAGGTAGAAACTCTCAACTGAAAAACAAAAAAAGATTTGTGCAGCACGTGGAGAAGGTGCTGGGACCGCCCGATGGGCCGGAAGCGGCTGGTGAAGGTCGGCGCTGGACGCTGCTCACTGGATGACGCGGCGCAGTCAGGCGGGTCCGCTGAGGTCGACAGCGATCGGGTCGAGACATCAGTTGAGAACAGTCGATGTTACAGCACACGAGAGAGCGCTGACGTGCTCCAAATACCCGAAGCAGGCATCAAAAATCACGTGCACCAGCCTGGTTATGTTCATCGCTTTGGCGCTTGGGTTCCACACAAATGAAACGAAAAAATCCTTTTTAACCATATTTCCGCATGTGATTCTCTACTTAAGCGTAACAAAGATGTTTCGTTTTAAAAACAAATTGTGATGGGCGATTAAAAGTAGATACTTGACAATCATGTGGGACGGGAGAGATCGCGGGCAAGCGGAAGGAGCCGCCCCCAGCCACTCAGAGGGATGGTCACCACCCAAAGAAGGTGGTGGTGTGTATGAGGTGGGATCGGGGAACCCTCTGTTGTGAGCTCTTTCTGGAAAACCGAACGATGACTTCCAGTGAGACCCACAGAGAGCCACACGTGGTGAGGAGCGCCTAGAATTAGCCGAAATGCGGTCCTACATCAGGGTAACAGGAGGCCGGAACACCCGTCCCAGCCCAGCTGGGAAGTTCTGGTTCACCCGTATTCACCAGACGCCGCGCCTTTGGGTTTCCGTTTGTTTAGGTCTTTAAAAAGTTCTCCCAATGGAAAAACTTCCAGTTCCCTGGAGGACTGCAAAGGCACCTGGAGCAGCTCGTTGCTCAGAAGGACAGAGCGCGCGGGGCCGACGGAGCGGCGTGGGGGCCAGGAGAGCACGCAGCGAGCGCAGCGCAGCAGGACGGGACCACGCCGCTCCGTGGAGGCGCCGGGGGAAGTGGAAAATGCGTCTCGTTTTTGACTCAGACACCGAGCAGCCTTTCTGGCCAACGCACAAGAAGCCCAGTGACGTGTCTGACCGGAAACGTTCTGCGGGAACACAGCTCTCATTTACGTCACTGAGCCCGGGACGAGCCTGGTTTCCTTGCACCTCATTCTTCTGGAGGTTGGTTTCCAAGAACCTGTCATCGACGTCAGGTGAGGACTTGCTTCCCGCCTGCTTCCCGACAGCAAGGTTTGTCCACAGAGACCCGCCCGTCACTCGGGGGACGGCACTGACGCCCCCACCAGACCCACAAGCAGCACGTGGCTCCCGTAGGGTCCCGGGGGTGGCGGGAGAGCCACGCTGCATGTCTGGGCCCCGGCGGAAGCCAGCGCGGTGCCTGGCGTCCTGGCCCTGCATCTCTGCAGCAGGTGGGGCGGCTCTGCTGTCGACCGCCCCTCAGTGTCTTCCCAGGAGCGGTGGGAACCGCTGCCCACCACGAGCTTCCCGGGACGGCTCTGCAGGTCTCGTCAGGGGCAGCATTCTGACCTGCGGCTGTGACCACCCGCTCAGGGCCCTGCCCCCAGCAGTGGCCACTGGCTTCCTAACACGAGCGCCTTCCTGCTGGCGTCTGTTTGCTCTTGGTGTCAGGGCGGCTCTGCAGCCACACAGGCTCGCGGGCTCCCCCCGGGAGCTACGACCCCGTCTGCCACAGGTCCCGCGGGGAACAGTGGCCAGTCCCCGGAGCCGCCCCGGGAGCTCACTCGCACAGCCTGGGGCCCCAGCCTCCTGGACAACGGGCGGCATGCCCGTGCCACGGAGGAGCCCGCGCCCGCTGCCCTCTCTCCAGGACCCTGCCCCGCCTGCCCTCGGAAGTGCCGCCCGGGGCTTCGGCTTCTGGGACGGCCACCGCATGGGCCACTCACCCTGGGAGCAGGGGCCCCCTCTGTGGGCCCCTCCGCAGCTGCCCCAGGAGAACGCGCTGGCCCCCCCCCCCGGCACACAGCCCACGGCCTGGCCACGTGGGGCCCTCACCTGCACACACTTGACGTTGATGCCGGGGCACACGAACTTCCTCCAGATGAGGTTGGCTCTGCTGTCCCCGCAGGTGATGGGGTACAAGACCTCAGCCTCTAGGCTCTCCCCCTCCTCGGCCATCTTCACTTCTCACAGGGGCAGGGCAGGGGCAGGGCAGGGGCAGGGCAGGGCGGAACGTCAGTCCCAGCCACCCCGGAGCCCTTCCTGCCAGAGCACCGCGCAGCTGGCGCCCGGGGCCCAGAGCTGGGGCATGGGACGGGCCGGCCGGCGTGGGGGGGGGCAGGGGGGGCGCCTCACGGGCCCCGGGGCCTCGCTTCAGCAGCAGCGACCCCAGCACGGAGGCATCGGAAGGCAGGCCGGCAGGGTGGCCGCCTGCGGGCGGGCTGGTGGGAGGCTCCCCTCGGAACAGCCCCGGGGACACGCATCCGCAGTGTTGTGGGCCGGCGGCGCGAAGGGTTCCGAGGGGACCCTGTGCCCACTCCCGACAGCTGCGGCGCGCGGAGCCACAGCGCGGGCCCCCGGGGCCCTGCAGGCGCCTACCTAGCACGGCTTCCTTGAGCTGCGAGGACGCTGTGAAGGCAGCCGCCGCCGCGGCCGCCGCGTTCTCCGTCTCCATGTTGTCCGCGCTCAGGTCGCCCCTGGGGGAGAGGGAGACATCAGCGCCCCGACAGCCCTGTGTGCCTCTGCCGCGGCGCCCGCGGCCCCGTCTGCTTTGGTGCAGAGCCTGGTGCCCGGGCAGGTCGGGGGCCTCTGCCAGCAGCCCCCGTGCTGCGGCCCCGCAGGCCGTCCTGCCAACGGTCTGTGCCACTCACGGCTGCATCAGGCATCCACGCGGCGCCTGGCGGGGAAACAGGCGCAGCGTCGGGGAGGCCACCAGCACTTCAGCGGGAGCTCGAAGCCCCCGTTTCTCCTCAACAAAGGTTTTTATTCCTGTTATAGTGACTTCAAGTGGTTATAGAAACTGTCGCGAACGCGCAGCTTCAGAGAGAAGGGTCGGTCCGCAAAGACGCCCTCACTGCACCCTGCTCCGCCCCAGGCCTGGGGGGGCCGTGGCGATGCCTGGGCTGCACGGGGGTCCCGGGAAGGCGGGGGCGGCAACAGCGCCTGGCTGAGCCCTGGGGCCAGCGTCACGGCAGCAGCAAAGAAGGCCGGGCCCCGGGAGGGGGGCGCCTGGAAACAGGTGCCCGGCGCAGCGGCTCAGGGACGCGGGGACGAGCCGCAGGCCCCGGGGAGGGTCCTGAGCGCTGAGGGCGGCCAGGGCGGCACCAAGGGTGGCATGGGAAGAGGGGCAGCCGGAGCAAAGGCTCTCAGAGGGAAGGAGGGGTCAGCAGGGAGTCAGGAGGGAGGAGAGGGCGGCTGCAGGGGCTGTGGGCAGCGCTCGGGGAACCCCTGTTGGGACCCGGCCACCTCTGGGCTCCCTGACTCTGAGGCTCCACCCACCTGCCCGCCCACCCCGCCCCCACCCTGGTCCCCCAGGCCCACGCCTGCACCACGGCCCGCGCTTCCCTTTATCCGTCACAGGCGTCTCTCCAATCTTCCTCCTGACGAGGGGCCCCGCTGCCCCATCCCTGCGGGCCCGGGAGTTGGGGCTGGGATGCTGCCTGGGCCGGCACCTCCCTCCACGTGCCTCCAACCAGGTCAGAAGTGAGTGCTGACGGGCAACACGAGGGCGGAGTCTGGTCCTTGGGGCCTGTTTCCCTGGGTGAGAGCCACCCCGACGGGGGCAGGGACTCGGGGAGGGGAGGGCAGCTGTCCTTTTAGGGCAGGACTTTGGAAGGTAGAGGTGAGGTCAGAGCAGGAAAGTAGGTCAGGAGTGGGGACAGGAAGCAGCGTCCTCAGAGCGCCCGGCATTTTACGAGCCGGCTGCCCGCAGGGGAGCCCACACCTAAAGGGCGTCCGGGCGGCAGACGAGGGCAGGCCCACCCCCACCTGGCACAGAACTGTCCCCGGGCACTGAACCTTCGCCTCACAAAAGCAAACACCTGCTGGAGCTGCTGCCAGCCTACAAAACGCTACCTGCCCCTCGGCCTGGCCTGCAAGCCCTGGCCACAGCGAGGCGGTGGGCGGGGCCGCCCGCGAGGGGCGCTCCGGGGTCCTCGGGAAACACCCCCAGAGAAGCAGCCTGCGCCTGCAGAGGAGCGGGTTCGTTCCCACGGCCGGCCCCTTCCTAAACTCGCAGCAGGAGTGGCCCCCCGCTTCCCGGGGCCGGGGCACCGCACGCCCCCCGCCCCCCGCTGCTGCGCCAGGGTTCTCCCCTTCCCAGGAGGTGGCGACGGCGTGGCACCGCCTCAGTGCGCTCCAGGCCCCGAGGCGGGAGGACGCGGCCCTGCCCCATGACGCCCCACAGGCCCTTGCCCGCTGCCGGCACCACCGCCCGCAGGCGCCGGGCAGGCCCGCACTAGCCCGCATCCCCGCTGGGCCCCAGGCGTCCGATGGGGTGCACGCCGGCCCCCCAGCCGGCCGGGGCCCAGGCACAGCCAGAGCGCCTGCCTGGCCAGCCCACCCGACCCCAAGGGTGACAGGCACCTGTCCTTCGAAGGCACTGAGTTTCGTGGTGGCCGCCCTGCAGCGTCGCCGACACGGACGGCCCAGGCGTGGGTGCTGCGGGGCCGCGCCGACCCGCCTCAGAGCCACTGGCCGCAACGCAGCCACGACCCCCAGGCAGGGCGCCCGCCCGAAGGGCCGGGGGGCAGAGAGGAAGGTGCGCACGGCCGGGCGGTACCGTCGCCCAGCGAGAGCGGGAGGCCCGCCCAGGGGGCGCGCCTGATGGAGAACGCGGGGTGTGAGCCCCCGCGGCCGACCTGCCAGAGTTTCCAAAGAAAGAAGTGGCCTCAGGGCAAAGACCAGACCAAGGACGTGGCTGGACGGATGCTTGGCTGTCAGGCCGTCGTGGCCAAAGGGCTCCACGCACCCCCAGGGCAGGGCCACTGAGCAGCGGGGGGCGGGGGGCCCCAAAGACCCATGGGGGCCGAGATGCAGTCCCGAACCCGCACAAAACCCAACCCGAGAAGGGCAGGGGCCAGTGTGACTGGGGCGGCACAGGCTCCGGCCCGGGGCCCCGTCCATGGCGTGCGTCCGTGTGCGTGCGGCAGGCACGGGGAGGACCCCGCGCGTCCCGGCCCGCGGCGCCCGCAGGGGTCTGACCTACGGGTCCGCGGTGGGAGCCTCCAGGTCGTGGGAAAACAGTCCCTTTCATTTTTGCTTATCAGCACTTCTAATTTTCTACCATTTATGTTTTATAATACATAGTTTCACTTTTAACTTGGAAAAACCGATTGCAGGCTTCCCAGTGAAATGACAACCCAGACGCGGGGGAGATGGGACAACCCAGGGCCGGGGGCGGAGCCCGGAGCGCTCGGAGGGGGCGGGGAGGCGGCCGCACCCTGAGAGCGCCTCTGCCCACGCAGCCAGATGCCCGCCCGGCCGCAGGGGCCCGGACCAGCGCCGTGGACGGGAAGCCCTTCTGTCCCAGCCCCTCCCAGACACGACAGCAGGCATCGGCCCTGCGGGAAAGGGGGCCCCCGCGGCCGTGGACGGAACTGAGCCCCCCCCACCCCCCGGTCGCAGCTGAGGCCTGCCCGCAGCGTGGCTGCAGCTGGCGGGGAGCTCTTCCACGGGACACTGAGGCCGAAGGCAGCCAGGAGGACCGGCCCCAGCCGGCGAGGCCTGCTGTGGTCAGACGGGCGGGAGGCGGGGCCGCCTCCCCCGGGGGCAGCAACAGGACAGGCAGCCGTCCGCCAGCCAGGGGAGCCCTCACCGGACACACGCCCTGGGGGCCTCAGCCCTGGACTTCCGGCCCCCAGGCCGGCGAGAGACAAAGCTTCTCCAGGGCTAGCCGCCCCGTCGCGGCATTTGCCGGGAGCCGCATCCTCTGGACATGCTGACCGGCCCCAGACAGGCCAAGCAGTGCTGCTGGGAGGGCTCCGTGCATCACCACACAGCGGGGACCACAGTGCCGGGGCCGCCACGGGGACGTCTGCGACGTGGGGCTGGGCGGTCCCCGCAGGCCGGCTGCCTGGGTGGGGAGCCACGGGGGCGGGCCCAGGGGGCCGGAGCACCCACGAGAACGGCTGTGGCAAGGACTCCCCAGGCCCCCAGGGCGCAGGCCGAGGTGGCGCAGCCTTTCCTGGCGAGGGCCACGCTGCCCCTTCCGGCCATCAAGGGCCATCCCCAGGCCCAGGGAGGGGCTGGGCGCCCCCCTTTACAGCGCGTGGCAGCTCGCGGCAGAGCAAGTGGAGGAGACACGGGTGGAGGCCCGCCCACAGGGGTACACAGTCGAGCCACCCAGGGCTCGGGTGAGAAAGCCCGCAGGCCGACCACACGTGCCGGCAGCGAGGCCGGAACGCAGCCGAGAGCTGGCCGCCTCCACGCGCAGGCACGGGGAGGGAGCGCGGGCATGGGCAGGACGCGGTGTGGCACGAGGACGAGGGAGGCCTGCCCAGAGCACAGGCAGCTGCCAGCGAACGGCGAAGCAGCGGCCGCCGGCACCCTGCCCGTGTCCCCGACGTGCCGGGGTCGGCCCCGGCCGGGGACCTTCCTCCAAACGTCCTGTCAGCCAGTGGGAAGGCCAAAGCCCACCCTTGTGGTCGGCGACACACTGAGGTCAGTCGGAATAGGCCCCACACAAGACACAGCAAAGACGAACCACAGGGGGCCGGCCCTGCGCAAGCCCTCGGCGGCGGCGGCGGCAGCGGGCGGGCACAGGGAGCCCCACTGCCACCGCATGACAGCCCCCCACAGGGACGGCAGAGGAGGCCGGCGGTTCGCTCGCCTGCCAGCCTCTCGGCCAACTGACGTCCTGTCTGACATCCGTTTGGGAAGACGGGGAAGGACACGCTCAGGCATCGCAAGGAACGTCCGGGAAATAACTGGCTTAACATCACTTTGATGAAAGGGTTCTCAGGCCTCCCTACTGTCCATCTTCTCGGGAGAAGCTCGGGGGTTTTTGGAAACGAACCGTGTGCCCGTGATGATGCAGGTGCCACGGGCGGGACGAAGCGCCACCTCTGTCCCGGTGGCGTGGCCTCCCCAGGCGGGGCCGGAACCCTTGTCTCCCCGCCTCCCGCCCGCCGCGCCCGGCCCCGCCTCACCCGTGCGCAGCCAGGTTGGTGGTGACCAGCACCGTCTTGACCTCCTCCAGGCCACCGTCCACCGCGGTGTCGGGCGTCGTCACCACCACCACCTCCTCCATGTGCATGCTGACGTCGGGGGTCGCCATGGCCCAGCGGCGGGGCGCTCAGGCTGGGCGTCACTCGGCCAGGGTCCCGAGGCCTGGGGGAAACAAGGGGCAGGGCACGGGCTCAGAGAAGCTCCTGGGCCTGTCGCTAAAGAGCTGCTCTCTGGTCCCCAAACGCGACTTATGGCAGAAACGACGAGGGAGGGCTGTGCCCGGGCCGCTGCCTGGTGACGCCGCCGGGGCACCGCCGCCCGTCCCGCCCGCCGGGAGGGCCGAGGCCCCTGGGCCCGACCACTCGGGGTCCGTCCGGGCAGCGGCGGGGAAGGAGGCCAGACTCCCAGCAGACTCCCTGCAGGGGCGTCTCACTGTCACCTGCTTCCCCCAGGTCCCCAGCAGAGTCCCAGAGCTGCGCAGAGAAAACAGCCCGCGCCCCGGCCGGTGTGGTCCGTGGGCTGGGGCGTCGCCCCACAGACCAAAAGGTCGCAGGCTTAAAGCCCCGTCAGGGCGCGTGCAGAAGGCCACCGGCCAGTGTTCCTCCCCTGCCTGTCCCCTCTCTAAAATCGACGAGCAGGTCCTCAGAGAGAGAGCAGGCAGCCGCAGGCAAGCGCGGTATCGGGGCGGGGCGCGGGGGGCGGCCGCTCGGCCAGCCCGAAGGGGCGCCGGGGAGCTCCCAGGAAGGAAGCGACCTCCCCCTCCAGGCGCCGGGGGCCACACTGGCTGCAGGCCGGGGCTCACACGGACCGCACGCACCAGTGGGCGCCCGGAGGGGACCGGCCGCACGGCCCCCCGCAGCCGCCGGGCTCGCCGACTGGGAACTCACACAGGGCAGTGGGGTGCAGCTTCGGCAAGAACTGAAATTCGATGCCTGCCCCTGCCTGGACGAACCTTGAGGACATGATGCCAAACAAAGTGTGCGAGACACGAAAGGACAAGGGTCACTGGGTTCCACCGATGTGCGTGAGGTGGACACAGTCAAACGCTACAGACGGAAAGGAGAACGGGGGCCCCTACAGACCGGGGGGCAGGGGTCGGCGTCTGGCGGGGACAGGGTGTTGGCCTGGGCGGGTGAGAAAGCGCCGCGGGAAAGGACCGAGTGGCTCTGAGCCGTGCGCGTGAACGTGGCTACAGCGGTCAGCTTTACGCTCTGTGCATTTGGACATAATAAAAAAAAAAACCTTGTTAAATGCTGTTAAACCAGATTGACTTCCTAGGACTAGGTACAGGCTGGAAAGTAGAGAATATAAAAACTTGCTTAAAAAAAAAAAGCAGTGCTTCCCGAACTTCCTTTTACACAGTCAGCTGCCCAGCCCTGGGAGGGTGGCGGTGCGCGGATGTCCACCCGTGGGCAGGCCCGGACTGCACTCGGGAGAGGCCCCGCCCTCCTCTGTGCTCCCCCCAGACGCACCCTAACTAGGCCTCCTGCCGGCATTAACTCGCCCAGGGTCGCGACCAATCTTAAAGCTCGGCCGCAAGGGCTCACGTGCACGTGCGTCACACCCGCCTGGTGCGCCCAGCACTCAGATGCCGCCCGGTCACAAACACCTGCTGGAGAAAAGGGAAGGCCCCCAGACCCGCCTGCTTCCCCCGCCTGGGCCTGTGGGCTCCGCTCCTTCGCCCGCCCGGGAATGGCCCCCAGCAGCCCCAGGAGGAAGCTGGAGGCAGGACCGGCCGGAGGCAGGGGCTCCCCGACCGCGCGCTGCGCAGGACGGCAGTCTCACGTCACTTCCACCCCGACCCAGAGACAGAATCAAGGTGTAGGGACCTGGGCGGCGGGGCGGGGGGCGGGGGGCGCGTTAAATACCTTCCGTCAGACCCACCAGGAAAGCTCGTGAGAAGCCCAGAGGCGCCCTGGCCTGGGGGGGGCGGGGCTGCGAGTGGGGCTGGGGAGAAGACAGGCTACGGCGCAGCAGGGAGGTCAGGGTCAGAGCGTGACAATCGGAACCCACGCCGATTTCACTCTGAAGAGCCTCCTCCAAGCCCAATGCATCCGAATGCCAGAGCTGATGACCAGCGGCCGGGGAGTCCTCCTGCCTCGCTTTAGGGGGGCACAGCAGATGCGCAAGGGAAGGAAAAGCAGTGTAAACACTCAGGAGAAACCGGTATTGAGAAACCTCGGAGGAGCCGTTCTCACTGGCTGAGACCCGCCCGGCCTTGCCCGCACGGGGGGCCGGGGGTGGGGGGTGGCGCTGCCCAACCGAGCAGGGCCTGGCGCAGGCAGGGTCCCCAGGCCACCCTCAGGCGCTTTCTGGCCCGGAAAGCTGTAACCATGAATTCATTGAGACTGACAGGCCTATTGCGTGTTTCTAAAGTACAAGTTTCGTTCTAAAGCTTGGAAACAAAGAGTTTTAAGAAACATGAATAAGTCACACTTAAAATAAATAATATTGCCCCGTGGCGCTTACATCTCGGGGTTCAGCTCTCTCACCGAGGCACCGCCCCCTCCTTGCGGGAGCTCCATGGGGACCACGGAGGTGCTCCCCCCACGGCGGCAGGGAGGCAGGGCCCATCCTTGGCAGCACTCCTCGCCCTGATCGCGACGCGGCAGAGCACCGAGTCCAGCGGGCACACCGAGCTCAGGCCTCGCCTCTGACGGCCGCCGCCGTGCGAGGAAAGTCGGTCTGCAGCCAAACGCGGGGGTCACACGGAGGCCCAGCCCCGGCAGGCGCCGCGGCCCCAGCCCACTTCCGGGCCCAGGCTCTACCGGTGGAAATGGAGCCCCAACTAATTTAGAGGTAAATAGGATACGAGAAAACATTTTTTAAATCGTTCTTGAGCAGGAAGCGGGAATATGGCTGATAGATGGTAATGGATAAAAATAAATTATTAAATTTCTTGGGCATAAACACATAAAAACAAGGGAAAGCGTTGTGTGCTGTCGGTTTCTCAGACCCGGGTCTGGCTCTCTGTGCCCTGCACAAGGTCACGGCTATTTTCCTTCAAGGGCGAGAACGGGTGTCTACAGGGAGCAACTTCCCGGGGCCACCGACCGCAACCCCCTCGCCGGGGAGTGGCAGCGGGTTGCGCGCCCCAGGCCCGCCCTGTGCCCTGGGGGAACACAGCCCGAGACAGGCCCCGGGCAGACCCTCCTCCCGCAGCCTCAGGGCAGCCACAGCCGCCCTTCCCCGCCCGGCCCCTCCACTCCCCTGCAGTCCCCCTCCCATTCTCCCCCTAACTGCAAACGGCCGTTTCTGGGGGGCGCGTTCTGCCATCGGCCGAGCTCCTGCGTCCTGGCATCGCCCCCCGCCCCGGCTTGAATGAATCCCTGTAAGAAGCCTCCGCAGGCCTGGCGGTCCCTGTGGGGACACGCGGGCAGGGACGCCGCGGAACACAGCAAAGGTTTTGCGCCGGCGACCAGCACCGTCGCCTGGGTCCCCTGTACGCTTCACGGTTTCTTTCTCAGATCTTATTTATTTACTTTTAGACAGCAGGGAAGGGAGGGAACAGGAGAGGGAGGGAAACATCCGTGTGCAGGAGATACACAGATCGGTTGCTTCTCCCATGCCCCCACCCAGAGACCTGACCCGCGACCCAGGCCTGTGCCCAGGCATCGAACCCATGATGCCCAACCCACTGAGCCACACCAGCCAGGGCTCAAATTTTTAAGTAGTTGCTAACTTTCTCAAACTTTACAAAGCTCACATTTAAAAAATTAGATTTCCGGCGTCTCTTAGAAAATGTCAGAAGCGGCCACCCCGGAAGGTAGTTTCCCTGGTCCGGACTCCCCTGGGGAACCTGGGCCTCGGCGTCCTGGTTGGGGGCGGCACCAGTGCCCACTCTGGTCTCCGCCCGCCCTCCACATCCAGCCAGGCTGCAGCGGGCACCTGCGTGTGCAGCCCCCAACACACAGGAACTGGCTAGGGGCCCCTCCCTGGGGCAGGCACGAAGCAGCCCACATCTGAGTAGAGCTTTGCAAGAGTTCCACATCGCAAAGACACTTGCGTGCATGTTCACGCGTGTGCAAACTCCTCCCCATCCGGTGCATCTTCTTACAAGTTTTAAGACGTTGCCTGTGAAGAACCGATTCCTGAACAAGCAGTCTGCTTAGTTGGTTATGTTTGGGGTTTATTTAACCCACTTGAATTTACCTTTAATAAGACTGCTTCGTGCCCTGTTGGTGGGAATGTAAACGCGTGCGTCCACTATGAAAAACTATCTGGAGTTTCCTCAAAAAATTAATAACAGAACTAGCACGTGACCCAGCCATCCTGCTTCTGAGTGTTTATCCAAAGGAAATGGAATCGAGACACCTGCACCCCGTGTTCAGGGAGCATCAGGGTGACGCAAGCAGCAGCCTCAACGTCACCCGGAGGGCGAGTAGAAAAGAATGCGGTGCATCCGCCCCAGCGGGTACGGCTCAGCAGCCCAGGCATCGCAGGTTCGATTCCTGCTCGGGGCTTACGCCTGGGGCGCGGGCCAGGCTCCCAGTAGGGGGTGTGCCAGAGGCCCCCGATGGATGTTTCTCTCCCTTCCCCTCTTTCTAAAAATAAATGAAATCCTAAAGAAGAAAACGTGGTGTATCAATGGACTGCAAGTGAGCCTTAAAAGAGGAAACGCTGCCGTTTGTGACAGCGTGAGGACCCGGGGGACCCGACGCCGAGTGAAACAGCCGGACACAGGAGGGCAGACGCGAGACTCCACGTATGCGAGGATCCACGCGAGCCCGACGCCCGGCAGCAGCGTGGGGTGGGCGCGTGGCTCCATCCGAGTCCAAAGTCTCAGCTGTGCACCATCACCCCGGGGCCACGGTGCCGCGTCGTGCGGCAGCGACACTGCCCCGCACGCTTAAGAGCTTGCAAGAGGGTAGGTGGTAGTCAAAGGCTTTGATCATGAAATAAGAATAAATAAGAGGGCGGGTGTGGGGGGTGATGTTTGTAATTAGGGACGAGGCTGTGGTTTCCGGACAGGTCCTTATGTGCGGCTTTTTCTATGTCCAAGGAGCAGGGGAAAACTGATGGAATTGAAACTTGCATTTGGGGACGAGTTCAAGGAAACAGTTCAAGTCGGCCAACCAGAGTCAGAAAGTTCACCCAGCGCCTAGCAGGCCTCCCCCGGCAACACGCCCGCGGGACAGGGCTCCCACCCGGGGCCGCGGGGACACGGTTCCCAGCGGGGAAGCCTGCGATCAGAGTCCCCACTCCCGCCGCGTAGACACGGTATCCAGCGGGGGTGAGGGACCCCCGGCGACACGACTCCCATCCGGGGCCGCGTGGGCACGGTTCCCGGGCCGAAGGAGGCCCGCGGGGACACGGCCCCCGGAGAGGGAAGGGGGCCCCTGGGACACGGCTCCCACCCGGGCCCGCGGCCACACCGAAGGCCACCCCCTGCGCCCGCCGCCTTCCGGCAAGATGGAGGCGGGCGCGGCCGCCGACGCCGCCTGACGCGGGCCCGTGACGCCCGTGACGCCCGCCGCGCGCCGCCGCCCCTCCCCCGCTCCCCTCCCCCCGCCGTAACGTCCTGACGCTCCGCAGGGACCCCTGACTGGACGGCGGCGCGCGGCGGAGCGAGAGGCCTCGCCGCGGGGGGCGGCGGGCGCTTACCTGGGCCGCGGCCGGGCCTGCGCGGGCGCCGGCGGGCGGGGGGCGGCAGAGGCCGGCAGCGGGGGTGGCGGCGGCGGCCGCGGGCTCCGCTCCTTGTTGGGGATTCGGCGGCGGCGGCGGCGGCGGCGGCAGCCCGGGCGCGCGCTTCCTAGTGACGCAGGCGGCGGGGCCGCGCACGCACGAGCAAGGGCGGGCCCGGGGACTTACTTGGCGCTCGGCGGAGACGGGCGGTGCCGAGAAATAAGGCTCGGCGGGGCCAGGCACGCGTGCGCGGCTGCTCCTTTGCAGAAGAACTGGCCCCCTGGCCCCGCCCCTGCCCGCCGGCGCACCTGCCCGGCGCCGACGGCCTCTCCGTGGGTACGAGCAGAGCGGGAATGCGGGGCGGGGGTGGTACTGTGGAGTAACAGCGAGCCACCCAAATCAGATGCAGGTCCCCTTTCCTCCAGCGGGCGAGAGGCGCCAGGCGGCGAGGGCGGGGGCCTGCTGCGAAAGAGAAGCCCGCCGGCCCGTCCTTCGGCCCGTGTGGTGCGAATCCTGCCGTTGTCGTCGTAGGTTTCTTACAGTGAGCCTTAAAAAGTTCCTCGAGTGTCTTATTTGTGAGCCTGCGCGGTGCTGCAGGGTGTTTTTGTTAGCATCGACCCCCGGCAGCTCAGGCCGTGCGCTAACCCGTGGCCGCAGGTGCTCACTGAAATTTAATTAAAATGGCCTGAAATTCTGTGCCTTAGCCATGAGGGAGCCACGGAAGACACTCAGACGTAGGGTTAGGGACGCTCTGCGGTTTTCTGCGTTCTCTCTGTAAAGCTATAGAACGCCCTTGAGTGTCCAGAATGCAGGAAGATAGGCATCGCTCAGCTTTTGTGGCTTGGCTTTGACTTGCGAGCCAGGGGCAGTGGGAGCCCCAAGGTTGCAGTTAGCAGGGGTCATCTCCCCAGAGCCGGGCAGTTGTGAAGACTCGCTCTTGGCCTGGGGGCTTCCACGGCCCGCACATTCCTTAGTCTGCCTGGCTCCAGCCGGCAGGGCGAGCCCCGGGGCGGCGGAGGCTGTCCCGCTGGCCTCGGCACAGGGCGGGCACAGGGCGGGCGCACCCGAGCTGTCCTGATCTGTCCCTGCCATTGCTTGCCCTGCGGCAGCTGCAGGAAACCTGGGGCGGGGGGCGCAAGGCGGCTGTCAGTCCCCGAGTGCTCCCACTCCGGGAACAGAGGCAGGAAACAGATGTCCCGTTTAGGACCGAGCCGGGAACCCACGTTCATGCTTCAGCAGGAAGACAGCTGAAGGCCATTTCCCAGAATGCAAAGTTTTCATGCAAACTTCAATTCTGTAACGTTATAATTACCAGAGTTGCACTTCCGTTTTCAGTAACGTGCAGTGTTCTCCAGCCAATGATGGAGAGTCTTTCTTTTTAAAGATTAAACTGTTAAGCCTGTTACCTGAGCAGGTGTGCTTGGTCTGTGTGTCGTATCTGTCTGAGGTTCCCTGTCCTCATGTTTCATTCTGGACACAAATGCCAATGAAATCGGTGAAGGCCCGAAGGGCCCTGGCATTGGGGCCCAGGCGACAGGGCAGCAGAGGAAAGCTGCCGTCGCCACGGTGCCCGCACCGGGCACCTACTACCCTGGTCAGAGTGAGCCACGGCCACCGGCCCGTGTCTGAGCACTGGGGCTTCCGGCCTCCATGCTTCCGCTGTGGCACAAACGCGGGCCTAGCCTTGGAACCTGACCTCACCTCTTCTGTCTCCCAAAGGGCAAGGTCGCAGCACTGGGCACTGCTTGGCTGGCAGGACGGGTCAGCTCATCCTGGACGGTGGGGGTGTTGCTCTCTCTGCGGGAGCGCCCGTGGGAGATGCCCGGCCCCTGCTGTTCCTGGGGCGTGGGGGTGGGGCAGCGGCTTTCACTCTGGGTTTATTACAAGAGGAAAACACACTGGTGTACAAGTCGCTGCCTTCGGACCCTCTCCTGAGAACACTTGGACCTCGGAGAGGCAGTGAGAACAGAGGGTCATTACCAGGCCCCAGGATGCCTTGGGGTTTCCACACCTGCCCGCCACTCAGGCTCCAGGCAGGGCAGGAAGCAGGACGAACACAGGCCTCACTACCCCCAGCCACCCCATCCCCGAGCTCTGCTCTGGCCCTGGACCTGCCATTTGTGGGTGAAGATTCGGTCCAGGACGGAGGGGCCGGGCAGCTGATGCAAGAGCATGGGAAGCCCAGGGTGGCTGCAGGTTCATGTTGCAGCTGACGTTTGAGAAACTACTCACCGAGCCTGGGTTCGGCGTTAGGGAATGAGCTGTTAAAATATGCTTTCCCTTTCCGACCACGTGCCTCTCTGTAAAGCCAGGTTTTTCTTCCTACGTGTCAGCCATTCCAGGTTTTGGGGGGAAGTTTCACTGTTTTTAAATTTAAAGCGTTAGGCTAGACGTAACAAGCGTATCACTTTTCAATGGGTGGCTTTTTTTTTAAATTCCGGCATTCTAACTCCTAATGCAGTAACTGCCGCCCCATATGACCCACGTAAACAAAGCTCTGGGGGTCTTCCATAAATTTTTAAGGTTGTACGGGGTCCGGGAAACCAGAACGTTGGAGTTTTCTCGGAAGTCCTAGCACATCCATAACATCGGTGCTTGTGCAGCCACCGAAGTGTGCAGACACTTGTGAGGACGGAGAGAGAGCAGACGGCAGCAGCGCCCTGGGCGGCAGGAGGGCCGGGCCCCAGGGGAGCTGGGCTGCCTGCCTCCCCCCCCCCACCGCCGCCGCCCCCGCCCCCGGCTGCCGTCTCCTGGGCTCCAAAGGGGAAAATGGTCTGTGTGTCGTTTACACTCACTTCTTAAAATTGCCGCTGTCGCTAGGTCTAGTCCTAATTGTGGTGGCAAAACAGGCCTGATGACCAGCCCCCTGGGGCGTCGCCCCCACCGGCACCCTCCCTCAGCAGTGGTGGTGCCGCAGCCCACGCCCCATCTGCCGCCGCAGGCCACACGCTGGGACAGTGCAGCTGTTTCTTAAACACACAGGTTTTTTTCTTTAATTGTTCATTTGACTTCGTCTTAAGTTCACTTTCACTACGGGATGGGATGGGCGCATTTACACGAGGCTTCCGCGATGAGAGCTGCCGCGGCTGAAAGAAACCCGGCCCTCAGCTCCCTTTCCATGTCCCTTCTGAGTCCCGGCAAAGCTGCAGGTGCTCCGTGGACTCCGCTCCCGGCCTGCTGCCCTTCCCGGAGGCGGCCTTGGTGGGGACGGGGAGGGGCCTGGGCCTCTCCTCCCCCCGGGCCAGGCGGGGGTCCGCACCCACCCCGACTCCACCCCCTGGCCTGCCCCGCGGGTTTCTGCAGGATAGAAGCTGGGGTGCGGGGCGGGGGGGCGGCAGCTGCAGCTACCCGGTTTCTGAGGTGCTGGCTCTGCGTCCTGCAAGGACTTGTGGTCTGTCCCCTCATGCCTTCCACCAAGAGGACGGTCAGCAGGGGCCCTGCCGCCAGAACCCAGCTGTGGGTGGGGCTGCCACGGAGAAGGGGCGGACACTGCAGCGGGTCACGGACCAGACAACCCTGATGTCCAGACAGGCGATGGCCCTCGAAGGCTGCGGGGGGAGGCGCCCAGTCCGACAGGGTCGTGGCAGGCGGGGCCTAGAGCCGGGCGTCCGGCCTGCAGACCGGCCGGAGGGGGCCACCAGCCAGGAACGCCAAGGGGGGGCTGGGTGAGGGGGTGGCTTGGGATCCCTGGCCCCTGGGGTCTGCTGTCTGCTGAGGGCTCCCCAAGGGGCACGGGTGGCTGCCACTCGCACCTGGCCACCCCTGGTGGGTGTGGGGCCTGGAAGCCCCTCACCCCTGTGGCCAGGAGCATCGTGGGTGGGCACGGGGAGGGGCCGTGGCTCCAAGGGCTCTGAGGGCAGGTTCTCAGAGCTCAGGGGAAGGGAGGGGAGGAGGGCAGGCGGCAGCCAGAGGCTCCCAGGAGGAGGGCACTTCTGGGAGGAGGAGGGGCGGCCGGGGGGGCTGTGCTGCCCACAACCCTCAGGGAAGGCCCACTCCCCTGCAGACTCGGGCCAGGCCACGCCCCCACGCCGCCCCTACCCCAGCCACAGGCAGTGACCGCAGCCCCCACGGCCAGCCCAGGGTGTCCACCACAGGCCAGGCGGCCCCAGAGGACCCCTGTGCAACCCCACGTAGGGGTGTCACAACCTCCGCCCACCGGTTCCCCAGGCCTGCCGCACGCACGTTCCCGGGCTGGCCCCCCGGCAGGGCGGCCTGGCGCCCACTGCCCGGAAGTCCACCTCGCTCCGGCTCTCCCCCTCCCCTCCCCCGCCGTGTGCTGACCCCTCCGCAGGGAGGACTTGCGCAGAGCCTTGCCTGTGCTCGATGTGCTCTGAGGGAGAAGGTGCTCCCAGGACAACCCAGCATGAGCACCCACGCGTTCCTGCCACCACCCCTGGACTTACTGAGGTCACCACCAATCCACTAGGAGGGCTGCCGAGAGGGGACCCAGCCACCCCCCGGCCGGGTGCCTGAACTGAGGGACCCTGCGCCACGCCCTGCGGCCTCCCCGGGGGGAGCCCGGGTCAGCGCCTGCCACAGGACTGGACGGCTCCGGGTGCGGAAAGAGAAGCATGAAGCTGGGAGAGCGGGAGGAGGGGGCAGGGGGAACGAAAGTTGCATCTAGACAGTTGAACAAAACAAAACCAAAACCCGAACGTGTTCTTGTCTCGGCTCCGGATCCAGGCGCCGCCGTGTCCAAAGCCCCTTAGCCGGACATCTCCTCCCGCTGCTCCTTGTTCCTGCGCACCTCGGCCGCGTGCAGCTCCTGCGCGGACAGGCGGGGTCAGACGGGGGCCGGGCTGTCCCCCGCCTCACGCTGGGCTGGCCCCGGGCGGCGGGGCGCTGGTGGTGCAGTGGGAACGGACCCGCCCAAGGAAGGGGTTCCCGGGGGACTTCCCCAGCCCCCAACCCAAAGCGGCTGCCGGCTCCCAGCGCACACCGGCTGCCCCTCCCCTGTCCGAGCTCGTCAAAGGTGCGGGCTGTCCGCGTATCACTGCGGTAGCGGCTGTGTCCCAGCGGGACCGCGTCCCAGCGCCCTGCGCTCGTGCGCTGTTGCGCGCGCCCACTAAGTGCCGGACGCGCCCCTCCTGCCCCGACGCCGCGCCGCCCCGCCCGCGCGCACCTTCTCGCGCAGCCGCTCGCGCAGCGCCGCCAGGTGCGCCTCGCGGATCTCCTTGCTGAGCTCCATCTTGTAGTTGAGCTTTTCCTCCGCCAGGCGGCTGAAGTTGTTGTTCTCCTCTAGCGCCTTGTGCAGCACCTCGCGCTCGTGCTCGCGCCGCTCCGCCAGCTGCTTCAGCACCTGCGCCTCCTGCGTCTGCGCCGGACGGCGGGGGACGCGTGAGCGGCGGCCGGGACTCGCCGCTAGCACGGGTGCCCCGCGCCCCCAGCCCTCGTCCCGTCCCCAGCCCGGACCCCCTCATCCTGGCCTCCCGCCCAGTGCCCATCACCCCGCCCCGCTGCCCTCTGGACAAGCGCCCTCGCGGAGCTCGGGTCTACACTGTCCTGCGTCGGCGACGGGTGCCCTCGCCGGGTCTGCGCGACTTCCCGGGCTGAGCACGAGCACGGAAAGCTCCGCGTGCCGGAGACCTCTGGACTCCTCACCCTGCTTCTGTCCCGCCGCAGAGCTGCCCCCTCCCTGCCAGGCTGAGGGCGCCGACGCGCGGCAGCCTCGGTCCCTGTGCGCTCCAAGCCCCGCAGGCCCAGGGGGAAGGTCGGACCCGCAAAGGGAACCTAAATGTGTGGGCTGTCACCGAGCCTTCTGGTCGCTTCCTCAAACCTCTGCCTGCTGAGCGCAAAGTAGCTGCTCGGTACAGGCCAGGGGCTGAGCTTCCCGCCGGGGGGGGGGCGGTGCCCCCCCCCCGGGAGGTCCTGCAGAGGAGGAGTGGGGCTGCTGGCCTCGCAGCGTCCGGGCCCTGCCGCATGGGGGGCCCCCTGGGGGCCCCCCAGGAGGTAATCAGCGCCCTCAGCTCCCTTCAGGGTGCTGTCACCTCGGGTCAACCCTGGGAAGCCGGGGTCCCCCGGTCTCACTGGGACCTGCCGCACGGGCGATGGAGCCGCTGCCCTGTCCTCTGGGCGCGTGCGCCCGGACGGACGCGCTCCTGAGAGCACTTCCTCTTCTGGGTGTTTGTCTCGGGGGCTGGTGTCAGGGGGCGGGGCAGGAGGGGCCCACTTCTCACAGGGGCCCTCGGAGCTCCCAGCACATCCAGGCTGGCGGCCCCCACGCAGGGAGGCCTTTCCTTCTCATTCCCTTGCCCAGGGGCAGGCTGCCAGCCCAGCCTCGCTGCGCCCCAGGCCCACGGCCCAGCAGGCGGCGCCCTGCACCCGGGGACCGTGCCCAGGCCCGCGAGCGCCGTGGCTGCCTTCGCCAGGACAGTCGGGGCCCTACCTTCCTTCGCTCCTCAGCGGCCTCCAGCCGCTTCTGCAGCTCCTCCAGGGAGGCGTCCTTCCTCTTGGGGGGAGAGGAGAGCACAGGGCTCTCCGGGGACAGGTCGGACGGGGACTTGAGGATGACCTCGAAGCTCTGCCCGGAGGCCCTCTTGTCCAGCTGCTTCACCTCCATGTCTGCAGCGCAAGGCCAGGCGGGGCGTCAGGGGGCCGGCGGAGGGGCTGGTCCCCGGCCGAGCCGAGGCCCCTCCCCACAAGCCGCCGAGCCAGGGCGCTCCAGAGGCCCCGGAGGGGGCGCGGGCACACTCACCCCCGTACTGGTAGACGGTGTTGGGGTGCGGCTGTGAGTAGAAGCAGGAGCAGATGAGCGACAGCACGGACAGCTCCTTCATCTTCTCCTTGTAGGCTGCGGGGCGGGGGGGGGGAGGGTGTGAGCGGCCCGCCCGCCCCTCCCCTCCCCCACGGGGGCCTGCGACCCCTGCGGCCCCCGGGCCTCCGGTCTCTCCTCTCCCTCCCCACCCTCCCGGCCTGCGTCCGCCTCGCCGAGGGCCACCCTGCCCCGGTCCCTCCGTCCGTCCGTCCGTCCCTCTGCTTCCCTGGCTCCATCACTCTCCCCGCCACGGCTTCCTGTCTCTCTGAGTTCCCCTCTTCCCAGCTCTCGCTCCCTCTGCCTCCCCCCAGCAGGTGCTCCCCGCTGAGAACTCGCCCCCTGGGGCAGACAGCGTTAACCCCTCCGGACAGGGCAGCACTGTCTCAAGCTGCGCACTTGGGTGACGCCCTCGGGGGCCCTCCTCCCCCTCCGTGTACCCTCACAGCAGCGAGGCCCCCCCTTTAAACTCGGCCCTGGCAAGGTGCCCTCGGGGCTTGTCTGGGGCCAGGGGAAGGGAGCTGTCCGCTCAGCACCACCGTCTGCCCGCCCTCCAGCTCCGTGGAGCTGGAGCCGCCGCCGCCTCTGGTGTCCTGGGGCGCGGACAGAAGAGGCGGGGCCTGGCTGAGGGGGAGGGGAGACGCCCATTCTCAGGGTGGAGATCACCCAGCTGTTCGAGGTGTATCCAGAGAAAGCCAGGCCTCGAGGTAGACGCGTTGGTCCAGGGTCCCACCAGGGCTCCACGGTCCTGCAAGCCCAGTACCGTCACCCCCGCTCGACCAAGGGGACACCAGGCCCAGGAGGCTGGGGCACTTGCCCAAAGCCCCTCAGGCTCCATCCCGGGCGTTCTGGGTTCTTTCCACCCCTCCGGCGGGTCCCACAGTCTGGGAGGCTCAGGGACCCACGTGCCACCAGAGACACGCTCCAGGGGCGGGGAGTCTGGCTTCCACGAAGGAAAAAGCAGGCAGAGCCACCCACAGTGTTCTTCCGGGGGGCACACGAGAACGTGGACGCGTGTTCAGGTGGGCGAGAAACCTTCGGGTCGAATTTCACACAGGATGTTCTCAGGCTGCGCTGACAGGAAGCCGAGACGAGCGTTGGTGTAGAGACAGCTCAGAGGACGGGGCAACCAGGCCCTGGTCCGAGGGCTCAGCCCCGGGGAGCCGGTGCTCCCGTGGCCGGCGCCGCGCATGGGGCCGTCGGACAGCCTGACCGTCCCGGAGAGAGCGCCAGAGGCTGGGAGGAGGGGGCCCAAAGGGCCCCGGACAGCAGCAGCGAGAGCCTTGGGGGGCCTGGCGGGGCTCAGGGCAGAGCCACATCTAACTCCTGGGTCCCAGGAGGCCGAAAGGGAGGTGGAGGGCAGGCGTGGAGGCTCCAAGGGGATTTTGGCCTGACTTTCCAATTTTATTTTTTTACAAGAAGAGCTGATTCACGTATTACCGGTGCTGTTAAGAGTGAGTTCCAGCCCTGGCTGGAGTGGCTCGGTGGATTGAGCACCAGCCTGCCAACCAAAGGGTCGCTGGTTCGATCCCTAGTCAGGGCGCGGGCCCGGGTTGCAGGCCAGGTCCCCGGTGGGGAGCACGTGCACAGAGAGGGCAAGCGGCCCCCCCAAAGCCGCACAGCACGCCAGGACGGGAGCCTGGTCCCAAACCCAGGCTTGTGACGGCACTTTCCCGCTGGAGCCTGAGGCGGACAGGGCTCCCTCCAGACGACACCCACTCACTCCTAGAAGGGTCACTGCTACCTGCTGACCAGCAGGTGGAGCTTGCTGCCCAGGCTGCCCCTGCCCCCTCGGTCTGTGCCAGCAGCCCCCTGGCGGGGGCGCTGTTGCACAATTCTGCTTTTTCAGGCCAGGAGGCTGGGTGGCATGGCTGCAGCGGTCCCGCTGCCCGGCCTGGACCGGGCCCTCACCTTGTGCCGGGCTCCAGGCCGAGCACCCGTCCTGAAATGCCTCACTCAACCCTCAGAGCCAGCCTAGGGGGGGCCTACCGCCATCACTCATCTGGACGGGGAGATTCAGGCCCTGAACTTCTGAGGAATCCATCGGTAGCAGAGGCGAGGCCTCGCGCCGTCGCAACTGCATGAGGCGCAGAGTGAGCTCCTGCAGGCGAGTGAGAGCTGCCAGCCTAGGAAGGACGCTGGGTGGGGGCGGGGAGGAGTTGCACATCTTCCCAAGGAAAGGCAAGAGCTCAGCCCGCAGGACCCTCAAGGGAAGGTGCTGGGAGCTTTTCCTACACAGGAAGAGGAAGCTGCGATCCATCTCGCGGCCACTCTGAGGCCACAGTGGATGACGACTCCTCACCCTGGTGACCAAGTCCCGGGGAAGCCACAAGTGAGCGTGAGCAGACAGGAGGCCACGGTGCAGGAGGCCAGCCACCCCCCCAGTTGGCGGTGGCTTCAGCAGCGTCGTCCTGGCTGCGGTTCATGGAGCGCAATTTCGGCCACGTGTACCAGTGGCACCCTCGCGTAGCCTCGGCCGGGCTGGGCCGCCGCGCTGTCCGGTGCCGATGGCGAAGAACCTGGTGGGCCGCCCGGCCGCTGTGGAGGGCGGCACTGACCGAAGACCAGGGCAGGCTTGGGCCTGGCCCCCGGGCGCCGCTGACCGGGCCGCGCCCCAGCTGGCACTGCAGCTTGCCTTCGGGGCGGAGTCTGCACCAGCAAAGCGCCTCCACCGCACGCGGGGCCCCCTTGGCATGCCAGGGGCTCTCCAGCAACCCGGGAACTCCGGGGCTGAGCAAGGCTCAGCAGCGCCCCAAGGAGAGAGGTGGGGTCAGGGCTCTGTGGTCGGAGGGTGCCTGGGCCGCGCTCTGATGGCCAGCGACGGTGCGCTCTCGGCTGTGCCCTTCCCTGAAGGCAGATGGACGGCGGGGCGAGGCCTGCCCAGCGAGAGAAACGGCCGAGGAGCGCCTCCCCCAGGCCCTGCCCATTGTCCCGCAGCTCAGGCATGGCTGGTGGCCGGCGTGACAGGACCCGCACCCCTCCTCAGTGCCGGCCGGGGGCAGGGGGTGGGGGGGGCGGCCCTCTGTCGCTGGGGGAGGCTCTCCTTCTGCCCAAAGCGGGTCCCAATGTCTCTGTGAAAGAGCAAGAGGTCGGGGCGCAGGAAGCTGGGAGGGACCAGCCCTCCAGACGATGTGGGTGGAGCGTGGTCAGTGACGCACGGGATCCCCCCCAGACAGGTGCAGGCATCACCTGGGAGCCGCAGGGCCTCAGGGGCGGGGGTCAAGGCAGGCACACATGGTGGGCGGAGCTCTGGAGAGTCACTGAAGTCTGGACAAGGGGCCGCACCACGCGCCCCCAGGGTGGCGGGCAGGGTGGGCAGGACCGCCTGTCCTAGTCAGACGGGGACACGGCATGAAAGGGGGGGCCGAGTGCAGAGATGAGGCTGATCTTGGGGCGGCTGGACCTAGCGCAGACCGTTCCTGGGGCGAGCAAGCCTGGCTCCCTTGCTCCCCGCGTGACTGGGCAGCTTCCCCGCGTCGGAAATGTGCTTGACGACCACCACCCCACGCCCAGCCCAGTGCCTGTTTTTCGCCGGGTTCCCCGCCAGGCGTGGACCAGGAGGGTGTGGGGTCCGCAGCTCGGGGGGCGGGGAGGAGGAGGGAGGCGCAGACCCCTCCCCATCCTCGGAAGGCTTGGAAATGGCAGCAGCCCCTCCCCCATCTAAACCCCGTTGCGCCAAGGGCGGTGGCTTTTTCTACTAGAGCGGGTGGCACCGTGTCGCAGAGGGTGGTCCCCGAGCCCGCTGTGGGCGCGAGGAGGCAGAGATGCGAGGTGGAAGCGCAGCTCCCCGGGGTCCCCGCTGCGGTCCCCTCCCAGGACCCTCTCCAGCTTTCGCGCGCGCTGCGAGGCACAGGGCGGGCCCAGCTGCGCCGCCCTGGCTTGGGGCTCCCACAAAGGGTCCCACTCGCGCCCCTCCCGGCCCTTTGCGCGAAGGCGCGGTCCGACCAGCTTCTGCGGTTGCCGCGAGCCTCAGGGGACCCTGGGCGCACCAGCGAGCGCGCTCGCCTGGAGCACGGGCCGGGGCCGCGCTCGGGGAGCCACCCTGCGGCAGTCGAGCCGGGCCCGGCACCGCGGCGCCGGAGGGGCGATGCGCCCAGGCGCCCGGCGCCCCCGCTCAGGGAGCTCCCCCGGCGCCACCCTGCCTCGCCCCGGGCCGCAGTCCCAAAGGCGCTCGGGGTCGCCTCTGCCGGTTCGGCCCAGCCGCGCCCTGCATCCTTGCCATGCGCGGTTCCGAGATGGGAAATCGGAGTTCGCCACCGGTCCCAGCAGGAGGCGAGGCCAGACAATGGCCTTGGCTGGGATGCGGCGCGGTCTGCGGAAGCCCGCGGCTCGGGCGCCTACCGGACACGGTGCTGGCCATGGTGCTGGCGGGGGCTGCGGAGGCCGGAGAGGCGCGGGCGGCGGCTGGAGCTGCAGTCGGCGAATGCTGCAGTGCCGGGGAGGGAGGGAGAGAGCGGGGGAGGGAGCGAGAGCGAGCGAGCCTGGTGGTGGCCGGGGCTGCAGGCGTCAGAGGGAGGAGGGAGCGCGGAGACCCGCCGGGACGCAGGGCGGAGCGCTGCAGCCAGACGCCCATCCTCCCACTGCTCGCCGCGGGGGGCCGCGGCTCCTCCAACCCGGCTTTGTGCGGGCTCGGGGGGGAGCGGGGGAGGCGCCCCGCGCCCCAGGGTGGGCGCAGCGGGAGGGCGGGGTCCGGGAGCTCTTCCCTGAGGCCCATGCAGGCTGCAGGGCCCCACCCGTGTGCCCAGCTCTCTGCGGAGGTTTGGAAAGCGCGTGGTGGCCATGGGTGGGGGGTGGGGTGGAGACCCCAAGAGGCATCCCGGAGGGCGAGCAGATTCTGAGGCAAAGGAGAGGGTAATCGAGAGCCTTGACCAAGGGCTGGGACGAGGGCTTCGACGCAAGACAGGGGGTCCAAACACAGCTCTGACAGCCCCTCGCTGGGGGATGAGGGTGAGTTTCTGAGCCCTCTGGGCCTCCAGTTCCCGGGTGACTGAGGACAGACGTGCACGCTCGGTGAGTGGGGGGTGTCCTGCCTCCCCCTCCTCTGGGCTTGGGGTTCTGGCTGATTCCCACAATGGGAGACACTGGCAGAGGTGCTGGACCCTTTCCTGCAGCAACCGCCTCGCCTGGCTCTCGGAGTACAGGGTCGGACAGGTGGGCTGTCGTACAGGTGGGCTGTCGTTCCCCCTTAGGGACGGAGCCCATGGGGCGGAGAGAGGTGCTCGCTCCGCACGCAATGAAGTCCCGGGGCCAGGAGCGCAGCCGCGGGAAAGTCCGGGTCCCCGCAGAGAGAGGGGGCGGGCTCAGGGGGGCGGAAGGCACGGACAGGCCCGAGGATCAGAGCCGGTCAGGAGGAGGCCCAGCAGGGGCGCATAGAAACACATCTCGACGTGCACACGCAGCAGGCGTGCGACCGGTTAACATCTGTCCTGTGGCCCACGTGGCGTCTGGTCCACTGCAGGAGTCCCACGCGGCCGGCCAGAGCCGACACCCAGTTCAAGTGTGTTGACAAGTCGAGATCCCTGTGCCGCTGCGCACGGCTTGCTCTGGCCTGCCTCAGTTTCCCTCTCCTCTCTCGTCTCAGGGTTCGGCGTGGTGCAACGGTGTTTCCACGCTGCGACTTAAAGGGGGCTGGGGGGCTCCTCCTCCGCGGGATGTGCCGCCCAGCAGCTCGCGCAGCAGCTCGGGGGCTTGGGGTCCTCAACTCCCGCTCCGGCCAGGAAGGTGGCCAAGTCTCTGGGTCCTGGCCCCCTGTCCTCAGGCTTCCGGGGGGATGGACGCCGCAGCTCTGAGAAGATGAAGGGCAGCGAGGTGAAGAGAGCTAGGCTGAGACATGCCAGCTGCTGCCCCGGGGCAGCGTCCCAGCCACCTGGGGTTTCCGTCCTCACCTGTAAACTGCGGACCGTGAACGAACCTACCTCAGCCCCGGCTGGCGGGGCTCAGCGGACAGAGCGCCGGCCTGCGACCGAGAGGTCGCCGGTTCCATTCCCGGTCAGGGCCCCCGCCTGGCTTGTGGGCCAGGTCCCCCGTTGGGGTGCACATGAGAGACAACTGGTTGATGTTTCTCTTCCTTTCTTTCTCCCTCCGTAACCTTTTCCTAAAATAAGTAAATAACCTTTTTTTTTTTTTAAACAAAAGAACTTATCTCAGCGGTCCTTAGAACAAACACACCAGCGCCGGCACGGACGGTTCTGAAGCCCGTGGCTGGTGAACCTTCAGCAAGGGTGTGGCCAGGTCTCCTCATCCCCCCGCAGCCCCCTGCTCAGAGGCCTAGGTAGACAGACACTCCCCAGTCCCCCCATGGGGACAGGTGGGCGGGGGTGGATGCCAGCTTGCATCACAGGCTTCCCCAAGCGAGGCCTCACGCACCAGCGGGAAGCACCGGGGCAGTAAGGAGCCCACCAGCAGCTCCGGAACCAGCACCGCCTGCTGCCTGTGGGCTGTCGCTGCTGATCCCTTCCTGGTGTCCAGGCTGGGGGCACCTAGATGCGGGCCTCTGGGACCCCCGCCGGCTGCCAGCTGGTGCTCGGTGCAGGGCACTCAGAGTGGCCCAGCTCTGACCAGTGGGGACATTGACCTGAAAAGTGGCTGAACCCAGGGAACAGTAAAGAGACGGGCTGGTGCGGCTCCCAGCAGGCGGGGCATGGCAAGGGGCAGCCATTTGTGGATTTCAAGGGGAGCGACTGGCTTCGAGGGGAGTCTGAAAAAGAGCGCCGGGCCCTGGCCGGGTGGCTGCTTTGGTTGGAGGGTCGTCTGGTGCACCAGCAGTTTGCAGGTTCCGTCCCTGGCCTGATGCCCGGTCGAGGGGCGTACAGGAGTCAACTGATGTTTCTCTACCACATTGTTGTTTCTCTCTCTCTTTCCCTTCTCTCTCTAAAATAAATTTTCAAAGATCCTCAGGTGAGGATTTGAAAAAATAAAAAGAGTTCTGGGTGTGCTTGGATGTGCAAGGCATCCAAGGTGGCTTGGCCCACCGAGGGCTAGCGGGCTGGGGATGACGGGCAGGACCCCAGGCTTTTCTGGATGCGGGCGATAGAGTGCTGGTCCCCGGACTCGGGGGCGAAAGTGTCGGCGGGGCCTGGAACCCAGAGCACGGGTAGCGCGGAACCCTCGGCTGCAGAACGGTTTCCGCTGGGAGCACCGCCCCGCGGACCGGAACTGGGAGCAGAAGTGACGTTCAGTGACGACTGCGCGCCTCAGCCCGCGAAGTCCGAACAGGCTGGCTGCGGAGGACTCGCTTGTGGTGCTTCGAACAGAGTGGGGTGAATTCCTGGGGCCCCCGGTCTTGGAAGGCTCCCCGTGGAGACAAGCGGGCCGAGAGTCACGGAGATCGCGGAACTGGTACTTATACCCGCGCGGCGGCTTCCTAAACTACAGCTCCCGGCAGGCCCCGCGCCGTCTTCATGCCCCCGCGCCGGCAATGTGGCCGCGCCGCATTCTGGGGCCGGTAGTTTCCCTGCGCTCGTGGGCTCTGGGCGCTGTGCTCTGCGGACCCTCGTGGCGAGGGACCCTCGTGGCGGGGGACCCTCGTGGCGGGGGTCCCTCGTGGCAGGGCTCCGCAGCGAGGGCAGGCGCTCTGTGTTTAGGGAAATGGCCTGTGAGTCCCGGCGTCCGGGCGAAACTGAGATGTAGAGCCGCTGAGTGATTTGCCGGGGTCCCGACGGATTCGCCCCCAGATGAGAGCAGGCACACGTGCCCTTTCGCTACACCTGGTTGCCCACCTGGGAGCGACCGCGGGCAGCCCCCGGCCGGCGGAGCGGAGGGTTGGGAGGCGCAGGGGCCGCCGCTTCAGACCGGCCCAGGCTGGGGTGGGACGCTGCTGGAATCTGGCCTCCAGAGCCTGGTGGGAGGAAGCAACTCGTTATTGCAGGGGAGCGCGGGCGACTGTGCCCGCTTTGGCTCCCCTAGTTTCTGTGAGCCCGGTGAGCCGGATGCAGGGGGTGGGGGGCCGCGGAGGAACGGGCAAGGCTGATGCTAGCGTCTTTACCTCCCAGCTCCGCGGGGTAGGGTGTCACAGGCCCGCCGTGGGACCTGGTCCAGGGCAGGGGCTGCCCGCAGTGACTGAACTGGCCTGGCCTCCCAAAAGCTTGGCTACAGTCCCGTCCCCGTCTCTGTGCTGCAGGGGTCCCTCGGAGAGCAGTGTCCTGTCCCAGCGCCTCGGGCTGGCGTCGCCTACCTGGGGTGGCGCAGACCCTGAGATGCCCCCGGGGGTTTTGTGTCCCACGGCCACACAGCCTGCGTTTCAGCCAGCCACTGAGCCCCCCGAGAACCGGCCGCCATGCCCAAGATAACCCTGAACGGCGTGACCGTGGACTTCCCTTTCCAGCCCTACAAATGCCAGGAGGCATACATGACCAAGGTCCTGGAGTGCCTGCAGAAGGTGACGCCTGTACCGGGGCGGGTCCGTGTGGGCAGCGTGGCGGCCGAGTCCCACCATTCTGCACCTGCCCCTTCCGGACGTGGGAGTCAGTCATAAGTAGGGCCGGGCGTCTAGGTTGGGTAGGAAGAGTCGGTAATAACCAAGAGAATTCTAGATGGTAATGAGGGCTGCGCACAAAAGACATAAGGTAATAATAGGCTGGGAACCCCCGTGGGGCCTCGGGGAGGAGGTGGTGTTGGAACCGAAGCCGAGTGACAGGAGCAGCCGCGCGAGAGTCTGGAGGGCGGGTCCCCATTCAGAGGGACGGCCGGCGCGCAGCCCTCGTGGCAGAAAGTCTTTAAACCCTGGAGGTGTGCAGGGGGTGGGAGGGGTGCAGGCTGCTTCCCGCTGGGCCTCTGAGCTGCCCTCTGCTCCCTGCGCAGGCCCCAGCGCCCGGGCTGAGTCCAGCCAGGCTCACAGCTGCGCTGTGGACGCAGGCCCCTGGGGCCCGGAGCCGGGCTCAGCTGTGCCCGTCCGCCCACCCCTCAGGCCTCGCTTGGGCTGCCGTCTGAGACTTGGTACCTGATCAGCGCCCTCGCTATCTCGTTAGGAAAGCCCTCTGCAAATTGTCCGCTGACGAGGGCCCAGTTGGCCCACAGCTTCGGTTTGGGAGTAGGGGTCGCCCACCGTCCCTCTGGCTCCTGCCGCCGGGCGGGTGGGCGCGGCCGAGCAGAGCTGCGGGCTCCTCGTGCGTGCGCACTGCGGGCCACGGCGCCTCACCCCTGCTCCCCCTCCAGAAGGTGAACGGCGTCCTGGAGAGCCCCACGGGCACAGGGAAGACGCTCTGCCTGCTCTGCAGCACGCTGGCCTGGCGGGAGCACCTGCGTGACGCCATCTCTGCCCGCAAGGTCGCCGAGAGGGCCCCCGGGGAGCTCTTCCCCGACCGCCCCCTGGCGTCCTGGGGGAATGCCGCCGCAGGGGGCGATGCCGCAGGTCAGCCCCTGCCCTGGCCTCCCGTGGGTGGGGGTGGCGAGGCCCCGGGCAGGCCGTGCTGTGGCTGCATTCCCATCACGTCCCACCATCCAGCTGCAAACCGGGGATCTAGGCCTCGCAGCCGAACGGGGACACTGCAGACACCCCCCACCCCGCTCCCGGGCCCCAGGCCGGGCGCCCGGCGCTGAGCCGCCTGCAGGGCTGAGCTAGCCGAGTGCCCCAGGCAGCGGCGCACGGGACGCTCTCTCACGGAGCCACGCCTGTCCTGCTCCCTTGTGCCTGGCCAGCTTGCTACGCGGACATCCCGAAAATCATTTACGCCTCCAGGACCCACTCGCAGCTCACGCAGGTCATCAGCGAGCTTCGGAACACGTCCTACCGGTGGGTCAGGCGGCGCTCCCTGCCTTGGCGTTGTGGGGGGTGGCCTCGGTGCCGCAGTCCATGGGCCGGTGCCCGGACCGCAGCCCGAGGGCCCGCTGCGCTGCGTGCGTGGCCGGGCCGACTCCGACGCCTGCCGCTTGGGAGGAGGCCGCTCCGAGATGACGTGCTGGCCTCGGCTCGCACCCGGAGCTCCTCACGGGCCCTGCCGTGTCGGCTGGGCGGTGGGTCCACGCAGCTGTGTGCTGAGGGGGGCGAGGCTCTGTCCCAGGTCCCGTGGGTCGAGCTGCAGGGGTCCTGGAGCCCCGCCTGGCCTCCCTGGGAGCCGGCACGAGCTGGTGGGTCCCTGTGGGCGCTGTGGAGTCTCCTCCCCTCTGCCCAGTCCCCGCCGGGGCTGCTCGCTCACTGTGGGTCATGCCTCTCCCAGGCCTGGGGACATTCTGGCCGCGGCCGTGGCCCCTGGCTGCCCCATGAGCCAAGTGTCCGGGTGCCCCCGCGTGTCCCCGCACCGCTGTGCGGTGGGACGCACACCCTCCAGTCTTGGGCCCACGGTGCTCTCTCCCCAGGCCCCGGGTGTGCGTGCTGGGCTCCCGGGAGCAGCTGTGCATCCACCCCGAGGTGAAGAAGCAGGAGAGTAACCACATGCAGGTGGGTCCTTGGGCGCCCGCCTGTCCTCTGCAGATCTGCCCCAGGTGCGCCCCCGGGTGGGGGACGGCAGGGGACGAGCCGGCTGCGGGTGGGGCCCGCCGGCTGGGCGGCGGCTCTGCCCTTCTGTGGCCATCATGCCAGCCAGGACCACACGTGCTTCCTCTCCCAGATCCACCTGTGCCGCAAGAAGGTAGCGAGTCGCTCCTGTCACTTCTACAACAACGTAGAAGGTAAGGGGCTCGTGGGAGCGGCCGCTGCCTCCGGCTGTCGGTTCACAGAGCCTGGGGGTAGGGTGTGTGTGGCTCGGGGCCCAGCTCGGGGTTGTTCGGGCTGCTGGCTGTTGCCCCTGGGGACCCTTGGCTGGGCAAGGCAGGTGCCCGGCTCTGACTCCTATGCGGGGGCCTGTGCTGGATCGCGTGCGGGTCAGCGCGCGGAGGGTCCGAGGCTGCCTTCTCTGAAGGGCCTGCTGGCAAGGCCGGCGCCCCGGTGCCCAGGGATGAGCTGGCAGGGTGGTCCTGCCGCCCCGGTAGGAGGGGCTCCCTGGGCCTACACTGTTGGTGCGCAGCGTGGTCTATGCTGAGCATCCACTGCCCCCGGGAGCCTGGAAGTCGGCGCCTGTCAGGCAGGGGCGCCCGCGGGACCAGCCCCGGGGAGCCTGGGCGCTGGGTCTCCGGGGGCTCCTGGCTCGTCCCGGCGAGGCGGCCGGGAGGGCTCTGGGATCGCCTGCCCCGGCTCCCGTGCTCCTCCACGCGCGTCTGCCCCCGAGGCACTCGTGGCGCGTCCCTGCCCGGTGACGCTCCGCGGACGCGTGTGGCCCTCTGAGCGCCCGGGGTCCTGCCAGCGCCTCCTGCAGCCTGAGCCGCCTGGCCCCGGCCGTGCTGCTGGCGCTCACCGCGTCCTGCCCCCTTCGCTTCGTGCGGCCGCCCGCCCTGGGCACGGCCCTGCCCCGAGGGGGGCCGCCCCCGCCCCTTCATAGGCGCCATTCCACGCTGGGTGCCCCTGGGGTCGGGGCCCGGAGGGCCGGGCTCACCCCTGCCTGTGCCCGCAGAGAAGAGCCTGGCGCAGGACCTGGCCGCCCCCATCCTGGACATCGAGGACCTGGTCAGGAGCGGGAACAAGCTCAGGTCAGTGCCTCCCTCGAAGCCGTGCCGGCGTGTCCTTCCCGGCCGGGGCCGACTGCTGCGGCGGACGCGCGGGCTTCTTTCCTGTTTCCCTTTTCTAATCATGGAACTAACAAGCGTTCGGTTGGAAAAGCGCGAGCTTTCCTGAGAACCCGAGAGTGAGAGGTGGGGCTGGCCCTCCGTCCCTGCCTCCACCCGCCCGCTGGGCCCCGTGGCCCGGTCTCCAGGGACCAGTGGGCGCCATGTGACCCTCCGGCGCCAGGACTGCGCCAGCCGCCGGCTGCCCTCGGCCTCCTTCGCCCTGGTGTTCGCCGGCGGCTTCTCCGAGCCTTAGGGCTCCAGGTTGTGACGGGACAGGACTCTGTTTCTGGTGACGGCACTGACCCGCCCAGAGGAGGGTGGTGTTTTCCTGGTTTCGTGGGCTTTTAAGTAGGTGACCCGCTCTCAGGGTTGAACACGCGTGCCCCCGACCCGCGCGGGGCTGGCCGGAGGACACAGCGCCCACGTGCGGCCCAGGGTCGCTGCTGCGCCCCCCCGCCCGCCAGGCGCGGCTCACGGCCTCGCGCTCCGCCCCCAGGCTCTGCCCGTACTACCTCGCCCGGAGCCTGAAGCAGCAGGCGGACGTCATCTTCATGCCGTACAACTACTTGCTGGACGCCAAGGTGAGGCTGCAGCCGCAGGACGGTTCCTGACCAGAAGCCCCAGGCCTGCGGGCGGCTCCGGGGCACCTACGGGCGCAGGGCCTGGGGGCGGCGGGTGAGTGGGAGCGCCCAGTGCCCCCCACCGGTCAGGGCCCGCGCTGCCTGCGCGGAGCGGGCGGCTGGGGCCGCAAGGTGGCCGCAGGGCTGCCCGGGGCTGTCCCGGCAGCCCCGCTGCGGCCCCGGGTGCTGTCACGCCCGGCCTTCGGGACGCTCGTCCCTCCTGTTCTGACACCGGGGCATCCAGCTGCCCGTGTCTAGCAGCTCGAGCCTCGTGTCATGAAAGCGCCGTGGATGCCACCGTCTAGGGTCCCTGGCGTCGACTGGGGCCTGGGGACTGTTGGCACAGCCCCGTGCGGGGCACGGGTCGGGCTGGGAGGCAGCGGGCAGCGAAGCCAGCGTGCTGCGCGCGGGGCTCTGACCGGCAGCCCCGCCGGCCAGGAGCGCTGGGGCGGGGCCAGGGGCTGGGTGGGCGGCCCCCTCCCGGCTGCAGGCCGGGCTGCAGACAGGTGCACGTCACGTCCTGGGCAGGCCCACAGGGACTTGCTGGGGACGTCCCGTCCGTCCGTGGGAAAGGGCAGGCGCCGCTGCTTGTTTCCCCAGCACGGTGCCGGCGTCACCGGCGGCCTGCCTGGAAAACAGCAGGTCTCAGCCGGGACTCGGTGCTTCTCGGGCCCAACGCTGCCGTGCACAGAGCAGACCCGGGGAGGCACCGCGGCCTGGGGAGCCGGCGGTTCTCAGCTCGGACTCGCGAGGCACCAGCCGCGAAGGGAAAATCGAGACGTCGGTCACCACCCGCACGTAAAAATCGAAAGCAAGTCGCAGAAAGGGGGAGAGTGCTCCTGGGACACTCGCCGTCTGAGGGCCTGTGCCCAAGCGTGTGCAGCTCCGGTCACTCGGCGTCCGGCCCGCCCGTGTGGAGGCGGCGCAGCGGAAGCTGCGGGAGAGCGCCTGCATTCCCTCCAAAGCGGCTGAGACACGGGAGACCTACCTCACCCGGTGATGGTGAGGCTGGACGGCGCGGCGGGGCCGCTGGCGAGAAGCACCGCGCCAGCCTGGAGGTGCCCCGAGAAGCAGCCGCGTCCACGACCCGCACAGCAAGTTCCGGAGCTTTAACATCTGCCGCAGCGGGGACAGCCCTGCCGCCCACAGCCCACGCGGTCCCTGCTCTGGGCGGCGGCGGCGAGCTCGCGCTCTGCACAGGCGGGGGCGCGCAGAAAACGGACGCTTGGCTTTATGAGGATGAAATGCGCTGTTACGCGGAAACCAAGGGCGGGCGCTGGGCCGCAGCGCCCACAGCTCCCCTCGCTCCCCGGCTCCCGCAGGCCACCTGCGCCGGGCGGTGTGTGCGGGTGGCCCTCCCCCTCCTAAGGCTGCACGGGCGCCACGCCCAGGGGGCAGGCGTCTGCTCCCTCGTGCTGCCTGTCCCTAGGACAGGCCCCTGGCATCCAGCTCGGGTGGTTGGCAGTGCCCGGCACTCTGACCGCCACCACGCAGCCCGAGTGTGGGAGGGCCTGCCCCGGAGTCCCCAGCGGTGTGGGACTCGCGTTGGGGGGCTGTCCCTCCCTGAGCCGCCCCGCCTGGCCTCGGGGGGCTGGGGCCCGCGGCCGCCCGCACAGCTCCAGCCCTGCGTCCTCTCCCCACGCAGAGCCGCCGGGCGCACGGCATCGACCTGAAGGGCACGGTCGTGATCTTCGACGAGGCGCACAACGTGGTGCGTGTCGGGGCCTCCCCGGGCACCCCTCCTGCCCCTGACCTCCCTCCGGCCCTGGCGGTGGGGACCAAGCACCCCTGGGTGGGGTGCCGCCCTCCCTGCCACCTGCAGGGCTGCCCTGCCCATGCTCCCGGCCTCCGGCAGGGCCCTGTGCTTCCACGGACCGCGGCCTGGCCCGGGCCCTGGCGGATGGCGGGCTGGGGTCCGGGGGGCCCTGCCAGGGCTTGGTGTCCTGAGTGGGCCCCACCCTCTGCCCCCGCTGGCTCCAGGCACCTGCTGGAATCCTAGGTTTTAATGGGGTTTTCCCATCATGAAACGTTGGCTGCCCAGGAAAAGTGTTTTCAAAGGCGGGTCCGGGCCAGGCCTCGATCCCGGGGGCCGGGCTGGGCTCTGCGCTCCCCTGGGCGCTGGCCCCGCGGCTCTGGCCCTGCCCCCTGTGACACCGTGTGCTGGCAATCCCAGGAGAAGATGTGCGAGGAGTCGGCGTCCTTTGACCTGACCCCCCACGACGTGGCTTCTGGACTGGACGTCTTAGGCCAGGTCTTGGAGGAGCAGACCAAGGCTGCGCAGCAGGGCGTGCCTCACCTGGACTTCAGCCCGGACTCCGGCGCAGGTGGGCTTGCGGGCAGGACGCCGCGGTCGGGCGAGGGGCTGCGCAGGGTCTCGGAGATGGGCTGGGTCCAGCCGGCCGTTCTGGCGTTTTCGGAAGCCGCCGCCTCCTCTCCCGGCCTGTGTCCTCTTCCTCTGCTGAGCGGGAGTGAGGACAGATGTATTGACCTCGCAGACACTTAATGACCTGTGAGCATGGTCCACGTGTCACCTACTCCTAGGTCTGTCCCCAGTGTTTTCCTTGGCCAGTGCCCATCGCGGTGGATGTGGGCAGCTTTGGTGGACGCGGCAGCCCACCCCCATGCTTCCTGTGGCCCCTGTCAGCGGCCGGTGAGGACCCCGGCTGGGCTCGGCCGGGCCACCACGGGGCGGTGCCTCTGGCAGCTGCTGCAGGCTTTTCAGTCCTCACGGACGGGCAGCACATGCGATGGGGCGGCCTCTGTGTCCTCGCCTTTCTCTGGTCACAGGTGTGAACGGGCCCTGCGGAGAGCTGGGCCGGGGTGGCCCCCCTGCCCTTCCACCCCGGGCGCCGGCTCCGGTCCCGTCTCCCAGCCTATGTGCACCTGCGCGGGAAGACACAGCGTTGGCCAGCGTTGGCTTTGGGACCTTGTTCATTCTTTTTTTTAAAGATTTTATTTATTTTTAGAGCGAGGGAAAGAGAGAGAACTATCCATGTGTGGTTGCCTCTCGTGCCCCCTGCTGGGGACTGGCCCGCAACCCAGGCCTGCGCCCTGACTGGGCATCGAACCGATGACCCTTTGGTTCGCAGGCCGGCGCTCAGTCCACGGAGCCGCACCCGCCGGGGCCCCTTTACGTTCTTAAAACTGAACTTGCTCTACGTGCGTTACATCTACGGATGCTGTGTGAGCAAGGAAAGCGGAAACACTTCAGATTTATTCAGTCTCCCCTTTGAATAGCAAATGTAGGGTCTCTAACAAAGTGTCGCGTCGAGTGGCTTAACCACAGAAGCTGGTGCCCTGCCCCTTGCGGGGCCAGAAGTCACCCGGTTAGGCCGTGTCCCGGCCCCTCCCAGCGGCCAGCGGCCTTGGCTCGTGGATGCAGCGCCCCAGGCCCTCCTGCACACCGGCCCTCTGCGTGTCCACGTCTGGATTCCCACTGACAAGGACACCAGTCCCCGGAGGGGCCGCCCCGTCCACCGTGGCCTCGTCTTCCCTGTCACCTCTGCAGGGACCTGCGCGCGGGGGAAGGCCCTGCTCCCGGGTCCTGTTTCCGTGACACGGGGTGAACAAACTGTCCTCCGAGAGGGAGCACACACAGTGCACCCCACGCGTACCGTGGACGTCAGCAGCGTTTGTCTTGGAAAACGCCTCCTGGAAGTGAGCGGGGCAGCGGTGCTTTGCGGCCTCACGGGGCTCCCCTGTGTCCGGCGGGACGGGGGAAAGGGCCTCACGCTTCCTGCCTTGGACCTGATGCGCACCCCCCCCTGCCCGCCCCCGCTGCGTGGGGCCCGGTCTCGGCTGCGGCCGCGGCTCAGCCTCGTCACCCTGCGGGCCTCAGGGAGCCGCCTCCCCTCGGGGCTCTGGGGGAACCATGTCCGGCCCTTTAGGGCCCCCGCCCCGCCCCCTGCGTCCCCCCAGCCTCGGTGATCCCGTGGGATCTCCCTGCTCGAGGCCCTTCATGTCATTCACACCCATGAAGTCCCTGTTGCCGTGGAAGGGGACATGCTCCCAGGTTCGGGGATCGGGGTGCGCGTGGCGGGGGTCGCTGTCAGCCTCCCACATGTGGCCTCTGGAAGTTGCACCGTGTGTTCGTGAGAGCGAGAGACAAAGGCAGACAGGGCTCGTGATTGTTGGTCAGTCACAGTAAGGTTGCAGACATGGGTTCGCTGCGGGTCCTGGACGGGGCGCGGGCCATGCCCCTGGGCCCTGCCTGGGGCCCCCCGCCCCCCGTGGCCGGGTGGCCGGCACAGGTGCCCGCAGGGACAGGCGGGCGCTCCTCCAGGCTCTTACCCGGAGGCGGCCCGCGCGCGTCGTGGCCCCGTGGTCCCTCCCAGGTGTTGCATCCCAGGAGTCGGGGCTTCTGTGAGGGCTTCTTGTCTTCAATCCGAGCGGCGTCGTTGTCCCCGTGGGGGTTTTTGTGGGTCGATGTCGTGCAGCCTGTGATGTGCTTTTGCAGCACGTTCGGAGCTGCTTGTTTTGGGACGTCTTCCTGCGTTCTGTGCTCCCGGCTGCTTCCTGGGGAACACGCTCCGTCCCGCACGGGATTCACCGCTTCCCTCTCCCGCCCGCCCTCCTGCGGTTGGACTTCCTGCTCGCCGGCGCCCCCTGGCGCCGAGGCGCGCTGCGCTGCGCTTTCCCTCTCGTTCCTTTGGGCCTCGGTCCGCCCCCCCCCTCCCCGGGGTGGGAGGCCGTCCCGTGCCTCGCGCCATGTCCCGAACCGAGTCGGGGGTCGGGGGTGGCTCCCCACCCCCACCCCGCGCTGCGGTGGCATTACTCAGTTTACACAACGTGCTTTTTTTTCTTTTTAAAATTGTTCCAATGTATTTGTCTCCATTTCCCTGCCACCGTGTTCCCCTGCCCCACCCCCACCCCTTACACTTCGGCTTTGTGGGGGGGGGGCGCCCACAGACTCCTCCGCCTGACCCTCCCCTTCTTTCCCTGGCACCCCTCCCCCTCTCGTTACCGCTGGGTTTTTTCTTTCGCCTGCTGGTCCCATTTTCCTGGCCTGTTTGTTTTGTCGATTAGGTCCCGCTCACAGGCGAGACCGTCTGGTGCGGGTCTCTCGCCGCCTGGCGCGCTCCCTGGCCGCCAAGCTCTTCCCCCAGTGTGTTTCTTTTTGCATTTACTTTTCATCTTTCACTTTTATCCATTCGTGTTGACTTTATTGTAACTTTCTTTGAGTATGAACCGTTCACATGGTTCCAGAAACGAAAGGCACAGTGTGCTCAGGGGAGGCGTCTTGCTCTTTGCCCCCACGGATACGTTTTGCTGATTATTCTCGCTCTGGTTTTCTCGTACCTCGTACATGCTTGTTTGCGCTTCGCTGTGTTTACTCTCGAGTGTCCCTGTGAACGCCCCCGCCCCCGCCACCCCCGCTGCGGAGACGTCCTGTTCTCTCTGCAGCTGCCAGGCTCCCCCTGTGGACCCTCCACGTCCTGCGAGCGTTGCCATGGAATTGAGGTCACTTCCCGTATTTCGCAGTCACACGCGGCGCGGTAATGAGTAACCTTGTGCGCGTGTATCTCCGTCCTCTTAGAGGTGTTTTGCAGGAGGCTTCCCAGAAGCGAGGCCAAGGGGTTGGCTGCGGGGGCGTGTCTGCCTGGGCCCCGCGCCGGGCGATGGCTGCGCTCCGGAGGGAGTGACGGTCTCTGCGCCGCTCTGACACGCTTCCCCTCAGGAGTGAAGTGGAGCATCTTTTCCACGGTCGGGAGACTTCTAGGTTTTTGGCAATAGCCACCCCGGGGGCGTGAGAGGGCAATTTCCTGCATTTTGACCTCATGTTCCTGTTCTGTCCCGGAAGGCTCGTGACCCCACATACTCTGCCCTTATCGGGGACAGCATCTCAGAATTCCTTGGTTTCTGGGAACCGCGGCCGTCGGGCAGAAGGTCGGCAGGGTGTTTCATGGCAGTCCCTGCGCCGGAGCACGGCTCGTGTTTCCTCGGGTCTGCGGGGGGGGGGGGGGGGGCGGGGCTGGGGGGAGGCGCCCTCTGTCACATCCTGTGCTGTGCGCGCTCTTGGCTCGTGGCTCAGGACCGTGGCTTTCGGCCTTGACCGCCTGGCCGGAGCATCTCTGTCAGGCCCCCCGGTCACGCCGTGCCCCACTCTGCACACTGTGCTCCTGGGAGGGGCCCCACAGCCCAGCTGCCTGGGCCGCTCGCCACACTGGCCGCCTCCGCGGCTGTGACCCCAGCCCACGGTTCCCTGGAAGTGACCCCAGCAGCAAGGCCCCCCAGAGAGAACACAAAACGGACTTTGTCAAAGTTAAAACCTCAGTCAGACGTTCAGGGGACACGGTCGCAGGGCAGAACAGCAGCCACGGAGCGGGAGCGGTTCTGTGGGTCCCACGGAGGACCTGGGTCTGGGGTGTGCCCAGCCCGGGCAGCGCTGCAGAACCACGGACCAAGGGCGGAAGGCGCAGGATGGGGGCGCGGCTGGGGAAGCATCTTTCCTTAGCGGAGAGGCTGCGGGTTCAACTCCCCATCAGCACACAAGTCTGGGCTACGGTCCGGTGCCCAGTCTGAGCCTGTATGGTCCTCGGCCTGGGCACGCACGGGAGGCAACCCATCGATGGTTCCCTGTCCCTTCCTTTCTCTCTAGAAGCCCTGAAAAAATGTCCTCGGGTGAGGATAAAAGACTAAAAAATTAAGAGGCACAAGGCACGATTGACAGCTCTTCACCGAAGCTGTGCCGACGCCCGCGTGGAGGCTCGCTGCTCCACACCAGGGCGCGCGGGCAGGACACCGGGCAGCGGTGGGCACCGTGAGCCCTGGGACAGCCCGGCCGCCCCCACGCCACTGGGGGGGCCTGACACGGCGCGGCTGCTGCCCACTGGGCTCCCGGCTCGGGCCCGGGCTTGTGGTCACTCTGGTCCGGCCGCGCCCGTCGCCGACGGGTGGGCGCGCCCAGCGGGTGCTCTCGCGCTGCTTGGCAGGGCCGTGGTGGTTCCGTGTGCCTGAGGGCAGGGCCTCGCCGCCCCGGCCATCTGCCGACACCACTCGGGGAAAGGCAGGGCACACGCTTCCTTTTCTCCCCTTTATTTTCCAAGTCGTCAAATTTGGAAGCGTGAACTGGTCATAGTGCACCGTTGGTCGGTCCCCGGTCAGCGGGAGGGGCACAGGCCGCGCTGCCGCCGTGGCCCGCGTGTGCGGTCGCAGACGGCGCTCTCACCGCGTCGCACGTCTCGCGGTCACTGGGCCCGGGCGCCTGGTCTCCCGCCACCGCCACGCGGGCCCTTCGTGCCCTTGGCCCCCCCGCCGTCCGTGGGGCCACGACGCCTGCCCCCGCCCGTTTCTCCTGTCCCCTCCTGGACTCTGCCGGCCCCCAGCCCCGGGGGCGTTCAGTGGGAGAGGCGTCTCCAGGCCCACGTGGGGCAGGGGCACCCCCCCTTCCGGACGGCGCCCCCACACGGCCCCCAGACAAGTGCGCTGCTTTCTCCGCCAGGGCTGAGCATGCAGCTGGAGGACATTGCGAAGCTGAAGAGTGAGTGCTGCCCCCCCCCGCCCCGCGCCCCCCCCCCCGCCCCGGCTGGGGCTGCCCCTGACCGCCCTGCGCCCCGCAGTGATCCTGCTCCGCCTTGAGGGGGCCATCGACGCTGTCGAGCTGCCTGGAGGTGACGAAGGCGTCACCAAGCCGGGGAGGTGAGTGAGTCGCCTGGGGCTGGACACCGGCGGGCGTGAGCGGGGCTCTGTCCCACCGGGCTGCCTGTTGGGCACCGCTGGCCCTGCGCCCGGCGAGGTCTCAGCTCCGGAGGGGCTGCCGGCTGGGCCTGGTCTCCTGCGCTGTGTCCCCTCCCCCAGTGCTCAGCGCTGCCCCAGGGCATCTTCTGTTAGGACGAAAAGCACCGTCACGCCAGCCCCACGTGGAGGCTGCCAGAGGGCCCAGAACATTCTGAACGGCCCCCCGGCTTCCAGTCCCCTCAGCAGCCGGGCGGCGGGGTTCCTTTCCAGTGGGCAGACACCCGGTCGTCGCCGGGGGCGGCTGGAGCTCCCCTCGGGACGCTGCTGGCCGCTGCCCTGGGGCCCTGGCCCGGGCGGTCGCGGGTCTATTCTTCTGGAATGTCCCAGAGCACAGACTGCCTGCCTCCAGCGCTGTGCCCGGGCTCTGGTGGCCCCCAGGCTCCTCCCGGGTGACGCAGGCTCCCCGCTCTGCCTCTCTGCACGGCCCCCTGCTGCTCCCTCTCCAGCGCCGCCCTCGGGCCGGGACGGAGCCACCACCTCAGGGATGCCCTGAGGACCGCTCACGGCCCCAGCCTGAGGCTGACCTCTGGGGCCGCGAGGCGGCTGTCCTCTTTGGGCCCCTGGGGACAGGCCTGTCCCCTGCAGGTGACTTGCGGGGAGGGTGCAGAGCCTGGGCTCTCAGGCTCCCAGAGCCCACCCCGGCCTCCTCCCCGCAGCTACATCTTTGAGCTGTTTGCCGAGGCCCAGATCACGTCTCAGACCAAGGGCTGCATCTTGGACTCCTTGGACCAGATCATCCAGCACCTGGCTGGACGTGAGTTCCTGCCGCCCGCGCCCTGGGCCTGCCTGCGCTCCCCGCGGGCCGTGGCTCAGCCCGACACCACCGCGCAGGCGTTCCCTTGCCGGCGCTGGCCGCGGCGGCGCGCGACCCCCGTGCCCGCGGCCCCCGACCAAGCCCTGGTGCGCCCGCTGCGGGTGCTGCAGGGTGGTCAGTGCCGCTGCCCCCACAGGTGCCGGGCCCTTCTCCCACACGGCGGGCCTGCAGAAGCTCGCGGACATCATCCAGGTAGGACGGGCCTGCCCTGCCGCAGGGATGCCCCCCCCAGCCCTCGTCACTCAGCCTGGCCTGGGGCGTGGGGGCCAGTGGGCAAAAGCTTTTCCCAAGTTTCTTCCTGAAACAGGTTCGGGAAAGCTCCAGCATAAGCCCAGCACAGAGTGAGGGCGGTTAGGCTCCAGCCCCCCAGCCCCATGTCTGGCTCCAGGGCCAGCCCTGCCCAGAGGCTGCGGGTGGCGAGCGTATTCAGGCCGCAGCCCTTGTGCCCCTGCGCGGCCCTGGGGCTGGGAGTGGGGAATCGCTGGCCAGCCGGCCCTGCGCCCTGGGCTGTGGGGGCTGCTTGGGGCAGGCAGCCTCCTCTGCAGCCCCAGGGAGGTGCCCCGCGTCGGGGCCGCTGGACACACCGCACCGTGGCCCCAGCATGCTGTCCCTGTCCCCCGAGCCGCCCCGCCGCTGGAGCGCCGGGCTAGGCTGGCGCCCTGGGCACCGGCCGGGCCTCCGTGGGGCAGTGGGCCCGTCAGACGGGCAGCCCGTGGCCAGCGTGGGGGGAGGGCACAGCCTGTGCAGGACGCGGGCCAGGGAGGCGGCGATGGGCCGACGGGGGGCGAGACCCGCTTCCCAGCTGGGCACCGGCGTCCCTGGGGCTGCGGCACCGAGGCCTGCGGCGGGCGGGCGGGCGGCGGGCAGGCGGGATCGATGCTGTCCTGGGAGGAAGGGGCCACAGGAGGGGTCGGGGGCAGAAGTGGGGGCCCCAGGCCCGTCACTGTTGGACGCAGAAGCCAGTGTGGCTGAGCTGGGCGTGTCCCAAGCGGGGAGGGGGTCAGGGGCGCTGCGGGCTCTCAGCAGGGGCAGTGGCGGCGACGCCCCGCGCGTCTCTCTATCGTGGGGGGCCACGCAGGCAGCCTAGCCTCTGCGCGTCCTGCTGACCCGCCCCTGCCTTGCAGGTCGTGTTCAGCGCAGACCCGGCCGAGGGGGGCCCTGGCGGCACCGCAGTGCCTGGGGCCTCCCAGTCCTACAAGGTGGGGGCTGCCTCGGCAGGGGTAGGGGGCTGTGGGCGGGGCCTCGGGCCTGACTGGGGTCGGGGGTGTTGGCACAGCTGCCCTTTGCCCCCCAGGTGCACATCCACCCGGACACCAGCCCCCGGAGGGCGGCCCAGCGGTCAGACGCCTGGAGCTCCACGGCAGGCAGGAGGCAGGGTAGGCCTGGGGTGCGGCCACGCGCCCTGCCCGGCCGGCGGGGGGCTGTCCCCGCCGACCTTGCATCTGGCCACCATCCTCTGGGACTGTCCAAGCTGGAAAGACACTGGGGAGGCCCACCGGCTGTGCCCAGGGCTGCTGGGCGGGTGCCCACCAAGCTGGGGTGCAGCGGGCCCTGGCCCGCAGGGGCGGTTTGGATGAGGCCGTCACCCCGCCCAGCCAGGCCGACCACGGTGCGGCGGAGGCCACCCCGCAGGCCCCTCTGGTGCCGGCCCCACTCCACGCCAGCGTCGCCTGCTGCCCAGGGTCCGGCCCTGGGGCGGCTCCGGATGCACCGGGGGGGCAGGTCTGTGCCGGGCGCGCTGTGGCGCCCAGTGTGGCGTGGCCGGGGCCGGCCCGACACGCCTTCCCGTAGTGCCTGGCTGTGGCCCTTGGCCCAGGGCCTCCTGGGGGGGGCTGGCGGCCGGACAGGCCCCTGGGACGGTCCTGTGGCCGGTGCCCCTCCCGCACCCCGGCTGCCGGCCTCAGCCTCGGCCTCGCCTGCCAGCAGGGAGGGCCGGAGGTGGGCGCGGCTGCGCAGGGACCGCCCGCTCCTCGCACGGTGTCCGCGGGGCCGGGCCGTGCGGGCCGCCCTCCGCAGCCCTGACAGGTCACGCGCGTGCCGGGGGGAGGGCCCCACCGCCCCGTGCTCCCTGCGCCTTGGCAGCCTATGAGTTCTCAGCATTCACGCCTGGGCTGGGTGTGGAGAAGAAACGGGGTCACCCCCGTCTCCCTGCGGAGCTGGGGCTGGGGGGTCGGGCTGGGCGGTGATGGCGGAGCCGGCAGCTCTCGCTGTGAGACGTGGCCAAACCTGTAGGGGGTTTTTACGAGTTTATGTGAGCCGAGCGGACAGCGATTGCTCCGAAGCAACGCCTCCACGGGCTGTTCCGTGAATGGCGGTTTTACAGCTGATTTTATATGTCAGCATCAGAGGAGGAGGGAGGCTTAGGGGGTGCATGTGAGGCTCCCTGGTGGCAGGCGGGGGGGAGCCCCGTGGGGGTGGCCACAGGGCCCAGCAGAGACCGGCCTCTCTCTCGCGGGGGCGCGGCTCTCGGCAGCACTGGAGCAGGTGTCGGGGTGGGGCGGTGGGCGCTGCGGGCCCTGCTCCTGTCCCGCCGGGCCGCGCCCCGCGGGGATGGGCTGCTGACACTCCCAGCCGGAGCTGTCCCTTGCCTCACGCGCAGAAAGACAACAGACAGGCCCCGCTGAAGAGAGGATTGACCTTTGTCAGGGAAGGCGCAGGCCCCGGACGTGCCTGCCCCCGACCGGCTCTGAGCGGGGAGTTTCCGTCGGCCCCTCAGCGGGGCTCCCCGGCCCTGACGGGGTGGGCCGGCCCGGGCTGGCTGGGCGTGGTGCGGGGCCCCTTCCGCCGCTCAGGGCTGGCCTGGGACAGGGCGCGCGGTGGTGCCGCCCGCGTCCCGAAAGCAAACGGTCTTCTCTGGCTCCAGAACGTGGCCCCTTCTTTCCTGGACACCTCCCTGCTGACCGGTGGCCCAGCCTTGCCTTCGGAGGCAGAGGGTTGGAGTCGCTCGGCCCTTGTGTTGGTTCCATCCCCACTTCTGGAGCGTAGGCGGGGGTGGGGCCTGCCTGGGCACTGCTCTGGCCTCCTCCCTGGGGGCGGCACCGAGGAGCTGCCACTCCCTGTGATGGACCCGGTGCCTGGGGACGTCACCCCTGCTTGAGCGCCTGCGGGTCCCCCCTGGGCTGCCCCAGCCTCAGGTCGCAGGCGGCGGGGGGGCGGGGGGGTGGGCCGGCCCTGCCCTGGGCATCCACAGGGGCCCGCGGCCTCCCTGGAGGCGACCCTGCGCCTGCCCCCGGGGCGTCCCCAGGGCTGCTTCCTGCCCCCCAGGCCCCAGGGAGGGCCCCCCACCCCCGTCCGACCTACACGCGTGCGGGCAGGGCCCCCGCGGGTGGCCGCACCCAGCCCCCTTCTCCCCCAGGGAAGGTGCTCAGCTACTGGTGCTTCAGCCCCGGGCTCTGCATGCGCGAGCTGCTGCGCCAGGGCGTGCGCTCGCTCATCCTCACCAGCGGCACTCTGGCCCCCGTGTCCTCCTTCGCCCTGGAGATGCAGATGTAAGGCCGCCGGGGGTCCCCGGGCCGGCCCCCGGCGGAGGGCTGCTTGGGTTGGGGTTCGGAAGTTCACGGGGGACCCTGTCCCGCTGCCTCCAGCCCTTTCCCCGTCTGCCTGGAGAACCCGCACGTCATCGACAAGCACCAGATCTGGGTGGGGGTCGTCCCCAGAGGCCCCGACGGAGCCCAGCTGAGCTCTGCCTTCGACAAGCGGTAGGGGCTTGGCCCGGGGGACGGGGGGGCGCCGCGGCGGCGTGTGGGACCCGGTACAGCCGCCCCCTGGCTTCCTGCAGGTTCTCTGACGAGTGCTTGTCCTCCCTGGGGAAGACGCTCGGTGAGTTGCGGGGGCCCTGGCCCGGCTGCCCCCCCGCCGCCCCCCCGCGGCGTCGGGGGCCCTGGGAGCCGTGCGCCGACCGCCGCTGCTGTGCTTCCAGTCAACCTCGCCCGCGTGGTCCCCCACGGGCTGCTCGTCTTCTTCCCCTCCTACCCCGTCCTGGAGAGGAGCCTGGAGTTCTGGCGGGTGTGTTCCCCGCTGCGCGTCCTGGGGGTCGGGCACCCTGGGCGGCCCACGGGCCTCGCGAGCTGACCCGGCCCCGGCCCCTCCTCCCCCTGCAGGCCCGTGACTTTGCGCGGAAGCTGGAAGCCCTGAAGCCGCTGTTTGTGGAGCCAAGGAGCAAGGGCAGCTTTGCAGAGGTCCGTGCCGTCCGGGACTCCGCTGCCCCGGGCTGGTCGCCGTCCCTGCCGGGGGCTCCGGCCAGCTCCTGGGCCTGCAGCCGAGGCCCTGCATGGCCCTGGCGTGTTGCCTGGGGGAGGTCCGGGTGCGGGGAGGGCGGCCGGACGCACTCGGGGAGCAAGGCTCCCCCACCCCTGGGGCCCCCGTGTTTCCCGGGAAACGCTGAGCAGACCCTGGGTGCTGGTGCGAGGCGGCCTGGGAGCCCGGGCCCTGAAGAAGCTTCACGAACATCCTCCCAGCTCCTGGCTGGGAGAGCCCTTCACCTCAGGGGACGGGGCACCGGGCCCTTCTCACGGAGGCGGGAAGGGCCCGGGGTGGCTCAGGACCCCCCCCTCCTCGCAGGTGATGGGCGCGTACTACGCGAGCGTCGCCTCTCCGGGGTCGCGTGGGGCCGCCTTTCTGGCCGTGTGCCGCGGCAAGGTGAGCCCGAGCGCCTGGGTCCCACACCCGCTGCTGCCCCCGCCCCCGGGGCTCACGCCCTGGGCCGGGCGCAGGCCGGTCCCCTGGGGCGCCCCATCCCGCAACCCCGGCTCGGGAGGGCAGACGCCCGGGCCGGGGTGGGTGTGGGCGGGAGGCTCGGCGGCGTGCCGTCGGCTGGCGGGTGAGGACCGCGCTGTCCCCAGGCCAGCGAGGGGCTGGACTTCGCAGACGTGAATGGCCGAGGGGTGGTGGTCACGGGCCTCCCGTACCCGCCACGCAAGGACCCCCGGGTCATCCTCAAGATGCAGTTTCTGGATGAGATGAAGGGCCGGAGTGAGGCCTCAGGCCAGGTGAGGGGCCTCACAGCGGCGGGGGCAGGGCGGCTGGCGACGCCTCGTGACCAGCCCTCCCCCGCAGTTCCTCTCTGGGCACGACTGGTACCGGCAGCAGGCGTCCCGGGCTGTGAACCAGGCCATCGGGCGGGTCATCCGGCATCGTCATGACTATGGGGTCGTCCTCCTCTGCGACCACAGGTGCGGCCCCTCGTGTGCCCGCTGGGGGGCTGGGCCGGGGCAGGCGGGGCTCTGGGCTGACGGCCCCTCCCTGCCAGGTTCACCAGCCTGGACTCCAGGGCCCAGCTGCCGTCCTGGGTGCGCCCCCACGTCAAGGTGTACGCCAACTTCGGCCATGTCGTCCGAGACGTGGCCCAGTTTTTCCGGGTTGTCCAGAAAGCGGTGAGTCCTGACCGCCCAGCCGGCCGTGCCCTCTCGCCGCCCCCAGGGAGGAGCTGGGTCGGCCCCCAACCACCTGTGACCGTCCAGATGCCGATGCCGGCCCCCCTGGCCGCTGCCCCGAGCCCGGGAGAGGGAGAAGGCGCCGTCCTGGGGGCCCTGTCGCTGGGGCCCCTCTCCCCCAAGAAAGCTAGGAGCCTGGACGTGCACGTGCCCAGCCTGAGGCGGGGCCCCGCAGGTGCGTGGGGTGCGCGGCGGGGCGGGGCGGGGGCGGCGGGGGGCGGGGGCTGCCCCCAGGAGGCCGGCCGGCTGCGGGGTCGTCCCGGCCTCGCCCCGGGCGGGCCCCACACTCTGCTCCCGGCAGGACTGCCGGACGCGGGGGATGCGGGGTACGGCCTGTGCACGGAGTACCGGCAGGGGCTGGCTCACACGCCGCCGAGGCGCGCGGGGCTGCTGGCCGCCCTGGACCGGAGCGAGCGGCTGGGCGGAGGGCCCGGGGGCCCGGCGGCGCCTGAAGAGGAGGAGGTGCGGGCGCGGGGCCGGGAGGCGAGGGGGGTCGCAGCTGCCAGGGCTGAGGTCTGCTCCCAGGCGCCGCCACGCTCCCCTCCTCAGCCCCCCTTGAGCGTGGGGTGGGTGGTGGGGTCTCGGCACACTCCCGATCCCGCAGGTGCTCCCCGACAGCTCCTGGGGTTCCCCAGCACAGTCCACCCAGGGCCCGGCTCCTGCTGTGCCGTTCCCGGGAGCCCGACTGTGGCCGGGACCCCGCTGCTGTCCTGCGGCTTCTGCCCACAACCCCGGCCTCCAGGGCCCGGCCCGGAGGCCCCTGCGTCCTGCTGGGCGGCCTCCCCTCCGCCCCACCCCGCGGCCTCGGCAGCCACCGCAGGGCTTCGGCCCCAGGCTGCGAGGGAGGCACTGCCCCCGTGGGGTCGGGGTGTTGGGGCCGCCAGGGCGGGGTCGGGACCACAGGCGTGTCCCCTCAGGCGCGATGCCGCTGCAGCCCGTCACTGCCCGGGGAGAAGAGGCCTGCGGGGGAGCAGAGAGGCGGACGGCGGAAGATCAGGCTGGTCAGCTGCCAGGTGGGCGAGCGCTGAGGACGGAGTGCGGCGGGGGCCGCTGCCTGGCTCGGCCAGCCCGGGGCGGGGCGTGCGGGGGCGGGGCGTGCAGGGGCGTCCTGTGGGCGCAGGAGCTGGGGGGCCAGCGGGGGGGCAGTGCCGAGGGGTTCCTGGGCCAGCGTGACCCCGCCCTCACTTTCGTGGGGGCGTTGGGGGCGAGTTCCAGACGTGGCTTCCTGGCCCTGAGCCCGGAGGCTGCCTCCCCGCCCTCGTGCCTCGGCGCGCGTGGGCACGTGGCCACTGTCTCTGTCTCACTTCAACCTTTAACTGTGGGAGCAGGAGCCCCCCCATAACACGTGGCACCGGCCTCTCCTGCTCCGGGGCAGCCTCTCCACACTGAGTCCTGCAAACCTGTGGTCAGACTCGGGCCTTTCAGGCCGGCAGGGTCAGGCCGCAGCCCCGGAGGCTGCCTCAGGCTGGGCTGGCAGCCGGCGGGCCCCGGGCAGGGGCCGGCTCTGGCGGGCGGTGGGGACTGCGGTGCCTGCACAGGGGGAGGGTACGTGCTCCTAGCCTCGGGGGTGGGGGGAGCAGTCGAGGGCCCGAGCGCCGGCCTGGGCCAGGAAGCCTCGGAAAGCCCCGGAGCCGCTTTTGTCCTTCCGTGTTTCTGGGAAGAGCGGGCGGTACAGGAAGCGGGCTAGGTACCCGGGGCCGGGGGCCTGGGCCGTGAGGGCCTCCTGCCTGGTGCCCGCCCTCCCCTCCGGGGCCCAGTGTCGGGCCTGGGGCGCACCGCAGAAATGGGGCGCAGGGTGCTTCCTGTCCTTGGATTCTGGAAAGTGTCTCTTGGGGTGTCCCTCTGCACCAGGAACACCCTCCAAACTCAGCGCGCCCACCACAGCCGTGCGCTGGGGGGCGGGCAGGGATAGGCAGCCCTGGGGCCCAGTCACCCCACTCCGTCCCGAGGTCGCGGCCTCCGCAGGCCCACCTGACCGCCTTCAGGGGAACCCCCGCCCGCCGGCCCCAGGGGCGAGGGCGGTCAGCGCTTCTGATGGGGCTCCTGGCTCTGCGTCCACCAGGAGGAGCCGGCGGCCGGGGCCCGCGTGGACAAGGCCAAGCTGTTCATGGCAGCTGTGAGGCAGGCGCTGAGCCAGGCCCACTTCGACTCCTTCGCCCGCGCCCTGCAGCAGTACAAGGGCTCGGACGACTTCCAGGCGCTGGCAGACTGCCTCGGCCCCCTCTTTGCGCAGGACCCTGAGAACCACCGCCTGCTCCGAGGTGCCTGGGGGGGGGCGGGCCCCCGGGCCCCAGGGCTGTCCCTGCTCCTGTGGCGCGGGTGCGGCCTGGCTCAGCGGCGGCCCTGTGCCCCGCACCCCCCCTCCCCCCAACAGGCTTCTGCCAGTTCGTGCGGCCTCACCACAAGCAGCCATTTGAAGAGCTCTGCCTCCGGCTCACAGGCCAGGGCTGCGGCCGCCCGCCCGAGCACCGCCGCCCCTGCGGGCCAGGGACGCCGCCGGCCCAGGCCCCTGGGGGTGAGCAGCGCGGTGTCCTGGGGGACCTGGGGCGGGTCCTGGCCTGGCCCCGCCTCCGTGTTCCCTCAGGGGCCAGCGGCTCATTGACTGCTGGGCGGCCCCACATGGGGGTGGGGGACCCCGGAGCCCTGCCTGCCCTCCCCTGGCGGTGGGCCCTGCGCCTTTGGAGCCCAAGAGCTGTTCCTTCACAAACAACCCACGCTGGGCAGGGACTTCCCCGAGGATAGGGGTCCCGGGGGCCTGGTTTTGGGAGACCGCCCACCGCCCCGAGGACCTCCCCTTTCCTTCCTGGGTTTGGGCCACCGGGCATCCCTGCACCTGCCCTTCCAAGCAGACAGCTGCCACCAAGCTGCGGGCCAGTCCCGGGAGGCTGTGGGCCCCGCGTCGCCTTGCACAGACCCGCCGCGCCCCAGGGAGCACCCAGAACCTCCGGGGCCAGCCAGGCGACCCCCTGTCCGTGTTTCCTCAGGAAGGAGGGAGCCTGTCCTCAAGATGACCCTGTCCCAGGGTGCGGCCAGGCAGCTGGACCCCGGGGAGCACCTGAACCAGGGCTCGCCTCACCTGGCCTCCAGGCCACTGACCGAAGGTACCTTGTCCCTGCGGAGGCGCAGACCAGAGCCGCAAGCAGCACCAAGCCCCTGGAGGAGGGCCCCTCCTGCGGGCGGGGGCTCTGGCTCTGCAGCCCGAGGGGCGTGAGGGTGCTGCGGGGCCCCCACCGCGGTCCGTGTCTCCCCACCAGGAGGCGCCGGCAGCCACCCGCAGGAGGGTCAGGGGGCCCCCAGCGCCAAGAAGCAGGGTCAGCCGGCCGTGAGCGCCTACTTGGCCGACGCCCGCAGGGCCCTGGGGGCTGCAGGCTGCAGCCAGCTCCTGGCCGCGCTGACCACCTACAAGCAGGACGACAACTACGAGAAGGCAGTGGCGGTGGTGGCAGCACTGACCACCTCGCGGCCTGAGGACCTGCCCCTGCTGCACAGCAAGTTCCTGAGGCCGCGACTCGGCGGGGGCGGCGGGGAGGAGGGGGCGGGGGGGGGGCGCGGCGGGGCCTGAGCACCACTCCTCGCAGGGTTCGGCATGTTCGTGCGCCCCCACCACAAGCGGCGCTTCCGGCAGACCTGCGCCGACCTGACCGGCCAGCCCGTCCCCGACAGGGGACCCCAGCAGGGGGCCTCCCCAGGGCTGCCCACCCCCGGGACTCCCGAGCCAGGTAGGGTGCCCGGCCTGGGGCCACTGCCGCCGCGCCCCGGAGCCTCGCGCAGCCCCGAGGCGTGGGCAGCAGAGAGGCACCAGGCACCCTGCGGACGCGGGTCTCTGTGTCCAGGCCCCTCCACGCCAGGGAGACCCGGCAAGACCTCCTTCCTCCGAGCACCGACGGCCAGCGGGGCGGAGGGTCCCAGCCGGCCCCCGAGTGTGCCCCACGGACGGGCGCAGTCCAAGTGCAGTAGGTCCCGGCGGGGGCTGCTGGGCATGGGCCTGGGGGCCCTGGCAGAAAGGCTGGGGACACGTCCCTTCCCAGCGTCCCCCCACCCCTTCAGGCCCCGGGGGGCACGGTGGCGGGTCGGCACCCCGGGGGGCGGGGGGCGGGGCCCCCGGCAGGCATGTCCGGTGTCCTCTGTGTTCACAGGCCGCTGAGAGGACAGGCCGTGCCGGCCCTGCAGGCCCACCACCAGGAAGCAGGGCGTCGAGCTGGTCGTCTGGAGGCCCTGGGCACGGCAGGGCTTCGTCAGCTGCCGCCACCCCGCACTTGGACACAGAGTGGACACGGGCCTGTCGGCAGGGTGGGCCGGCCCGGTGTGCAGAGGGCCACCACCCCGAGCCCCAGTGCTGGGTGGAGAGGGTCTGCCAGAAGGTGCTTCCCCGGAAGTTTCCTTGGCTGCTGGTTTGGGGGGGCGCCCCGAGGGCTCTGCAGCAGGAAGGGGAACCCCTGCTGGTGTCCGGGGGACCTTCCCTTGGGGGCCTGGGCTGGGCAGCGGGTCTGCATCAGGCAGGCGGCGGGATCTCTAATAAAGTGACTGGCACCATGGGGAAGCTGTCTGCCTTGCTGGGGCTGGGGGGGCGGGGTTCCAGGTGCTAGAGAGAAGGAGGGGTGCCTGCGCAGGTCCCCCCAACCCTGTCCCACTGGAGGTCCCGGAGCACTTGTCCACTTGGCCAGCCTCTGTCCTTCCAGCTGGGCAGGAAGATGCTGGCGCCAGAGGGAAAGGAGCCGGCCGCCGCCTCCACCCTGCCCCCAGGCCCGGTCACTGGGTCACTGGCAGTCCGGGCATGGGGAGGGCCCTCAGGAGAGCCCGGCATCCGGAGGGCTGGGCCCAGCCGGTGAGACTGGGTCACAGCGGAGCCCTAGCTGTGTGGCCCCGCCCCTCCCTGCCCCGGGGCGGGGCGAGGCCAGCTCTTACAAAAGGCAGCGTCCACAGGGGCCGCGCTCAGGCTGGGGCTCGTGGCAGGTGGCACAGCTCCAGCTGGGACCAGAGAGGGGTGGGGACAGGGCGAGGCGGGCTTCCTGGTGGGTCCACTGCCCCATGGCCGGGAGGACCACGGAGGTGCGGGGGAGGCCACTCCCGGCCCAGCCACGGGCGCTGCTGCTCCTGCTGCTGCTCCCGCTCCTGCGAGGGGGCGCGGGGGATGAGCCCACCTACCCCGTGTGGGACGCGGATGCGCAGGAGTGGCTGCTGTGCCGCCGGTGCCCCCCGGGCACCTTTGTGCACCGGCCCTGTGGCCGGGGCCGCCCCACGGCGTGCCACCCGTGCCCGCCGCAGCACTACACGCAGTTCTGGAACTACCTGGAGCGCTGCCGCTACTGCAACGTCTTCTGCGGGGAGGACGAGGAAGAGGCGCAGCCGTGCTCTGCCACCCACAACCGTGCCTGCCGCTGCCGCCCCGGCCTCTTCGAGCTCTCGGGCTTCTGCCTGGAGCACACGCCCTGCCCGCCAGGCTACGGCGTGGTCACTCCCGGTGGGTGGCAGGCTCCACGGGGGGCACTGGGACCTCCTCTGAGCGGGGGGCCCCAGCTCCCCCTGACCCTCACCCCGTTCTGCCCCCAGGCACCCCCACCCAGGACACACAGTGCCAGCCGTGTCCCCCGGGTACCTTCTCTGCCACCAGCTCTGCCTCAGAGCGGTGCCAGCCCCACCGCAACTGCACGGCCCTGGGCCTGGCCCTCAACGTGCCAGGCTCACCGGCCCACGACACCATGTGCACCAGCTGTGCGGGCTTCCCTCTCGGCGCGCCAGAGACCGGGCCGCCGGGCAACTGGAGCGGGGCAGGTGAGCCGGGGGGTGGCCAGCTCACCGGGGGCCCTGCCCCCCGGCGCTCAGGCTCTCCTGCCCTGGACCCCATGGGGCATTCAGTAGGCATCTGAGAGGTGCTCCTGGCTTGGTGGGGTGAAGGGCCCGAGCCCCACGGAGGAGCCTGGGCAGTGGAACCACTGGGTGCGGCATGCTGAGGGCTTCCACGCTGTCCGCACCCCACCGCAGGGAGACTGAGGCCCTGAGGGTGTGAACACCCCACCCATGTCCCGTCGGCCTCGGCGGTGGCGAGTCAGCCCCCCTCTGGTCTCCTGCGCTGTTCGATGGCCCCCTGGGGCAGAGTGGGGGGGGCCTTGCCCCAGGGCCTGGCTGAGCCCCCGCCCCGCCCCTCCCTCCTGCAGGGACCGAGGAGTGTGAGCGAGCCCTCGTGGACTTCCTGGCCTTCCAGAACGTCTCCGTCCGGAGGCTCCTGCAGCTGCACCAGGCCCTGACCGGCCTGGGGACGTGGAGTCCACCGCGAGCCCCACCTCCACCGTGGGAGGACCGCGTGGCTTTGCAGAGGCGGCTGTGGCAGCAGCTCACAGAACTGCGCGAGGCCCGGCCCGGGGCGCTGGCCGCGGAGCTGCTGCGGGCCCTGCAGGCGGCCCGCATGCCCAGGGCAGAGCGCGCTGTCCGGAAGCAGTTCCTGCCGGCCCCCTGAGCCCCACCCTATTTATTGTTCCTGAGTCTGCACCGAGTTTAGTTTTCATAAAGCTGTTTGTAAAAACGGGTTGTGTGAAACCAAGAGCTGAGTCAGCTCAGGGGTGCGGTGGGCACCGGTGGGGCCCCCTGGCCGCAGGGAGCCGAAGCTCGCTCCACGCCCCCCGCCAGCCAGGCTCGCGCTGGTGTGCAGGACAGCCGGGCCCGGCCGGGGAGACACCCAGGGGTCACCGAGTCTGGGGCCCTCTGAGCAGCGGAACCCCGTGGCCTGGCCCCACTCCCACCCTGCCTTCTTTTTGGGCTCCACCCCCTCCAAACCGGAGGGGGACTTCCCAGGAGGGACCGGCCGACAGCCTCCCCAGCGTCACACTGGCTTTCTGGGAACTGCTCTCCCCTCCCGGCAGGCTCACAGCGGGGCCTCTGTTCCCGGAGGAAATGGGAGGGTGGGACTCCCAAACCTGGCCACCCACCCGCCCTTCCCTCAGGCCCAGGGCTCCCCGTGAGTCACCTCGCCTGGCTCTGGGCCCCCACCCCCACCCCTGAATCAGCCCCTTCCCAGCAGCCTCTGTCAAGCCCCCCGGGGAGGGAAGACAATCTGGTGGGAGCGAAGCCCAGGACAGGAGGCCCCAGGCCCCTGGCCGTGGCCACCGCTCGGCCTCGGGCACTGGAGAAAGGACGGACAGGAGCCACTCAGATCGTCTTTATTCTCCCCCCCACGAGCCCAAGGCCAGGCCCGCTGGGTGGCGGCCCTGTGAGGAGGGGGCATGGGCCTGGACGGGGCCCCACCCCTCATCCTCGGTGGGGAACAGAGGCCCAGGACACCACCAGCTGGGCATCTCCACCCCCACCCTGTCGCCCACCCCCCGTGGACGGCACCCGAGGTGGTCCCAGGGGAATGGCAGGTGTGCTTGGGGAAGACGCCTCCTTCCGAGGCTTCCCAGCCCACCAGGGGCCAAAACGTGCTGATGCTGGGCCAGGGGCGGGGGGAACCCGCCCAGGTGGACCGCACCGCGCCCACGCTGAGGCTGCCTGGGGCCTCCCCGTGCACAGCGGCACTAGGGCTCTGCCGGAGCCACACCCCAGGCGAGTCGGCCGGCCGCTAGGGTGGCAGCTCCAAAGAGCACCCACGGGGCCCTCCACCCCGGCCTGGGGAGGTCCAGGCCCACACCAGCCGACTGCAGGCCCTGCCGCCCCCACTCCCCGGCAGAAGCCTCTGGGAATCCACACTTTTCAGGACACAGAAAATAGTTTGTCTTAGAGAAGAAACAGCACATGAAAAGCCCAAAGGCAAAAGGCAAAGCCAGCTCCGTGCCCGGGGTCGGTGGCCCGGGCCTGCAGGCGCGCTGGGCGCTGGCCACTCCTACGTGATGTCCCTCTGCCGCGGCGGCCGGTGCACATTCCGCACGACACACTTCACTATCCACTCGATGCCCTCGCGCACCCCCTTGCTGTGGAGAGAGTGGGTGTAAGGGGGGGCCGCCGGTGACCCCAAGGCAGGGCGAGGGCCCCACTCACCCCGTGAGGGCCGAGCAGGCTTGGGTCAGGCAGTCCCGCCGGCCGATCTTCGAGGTGCAGTCGCTGAAGGCGGTCTTGATGTCCGGGATGGAGAGGCAAGTCTGGGGGGCGGGGCAGGCTGTGAGGGGCGGCCCCTCCCTCCCGAGGCCAGGCCCCGGCACCAGAGGAGGCCCCAGGGCAGTCCCTAGGGCTGCGGGGGGTGGGGGGCCAAGAGCCAGAAGTGGGGGCTGAGGACGAGGCGCGAGGCCACGGTGGCCTCAGGTGGGGTGGACGCACGTGCAGGTCGAAGGCACCCCTTCAGGGGACGGGGTGGGGGATGGCTGACCAGTGGTCCTGAGGACAGTCTCTGTCCTTTCCTGACAGCCCTGGACCTGGGGGTGGGGCCAACCCAAGGGCAGCGCTGACACCCACCCTGGGGCCCCTTCGGCTTTTCTCTCCAGAGCCTTCCTGGCACCACCTGGGCCTTCAGGCCGCAGCGGGACAGAGCGTGGCCGCCCCCTGGTGGAGAGGATGTGCACTACACAGTAGGAGGGCCCACCTGGACGGGCCGTGGCCCTCCCGGGCGGGCAGGCTCACCTCCACGTCCTGCTTGTTGGCCAGCACCAGGATGGGGACGCCGTCCAGGGCCTCGCTCGTGACCATCTTCTCTGGAAAGCGCAAGGCAGCCCTGAGCACCCCTGGCCCCTGACCCAGCCCCACCCGGCAGCCCCCACGTGCCCGCCGACCTCTCCACACGTAGGGACGCTGTGTGCCGTGGCCAGGGCCCTTCCGACTGACACAGCCCAGGGGGGACCCACGGGGTGTGCGGGCAGGCCCCTGCCCCCACCCCCGGCCCCGGCGGGCCGCACCCACCAAAGGCTCGCTGGGACTCCGACAGCCGCTCCTCGTCCGTGGAGTCGATGACGTAGATGACGCCGTGGCACTCTGCGTAGTACTGGGGGGGAGGGGGAGGGGGCTGATGCTCAGGCACCGAGCCGCCCTCCCTGCACGCCACGCCACGCCCCTTCTGCGGTGCCTTCTGGGCGCGGGGGGAAGAGCACAGGGGTAGCCACCTCCCCGGCCCACTTCCTAGGGGGTGCAGCCCAACCCCCTTCAGGCCTGCCCCTGCAAACCACCCACGACCCCGGGCTCGCGGGCGGCCCGGCGGGACAGGCGGGTCCCGGAGGCCGAAAGAGCCCAGGCGAAGCTGGTCCCCCAGCCGACGCGGAGGTGGAGCTCGCCCACAGGGCCCCATGCTGGCGCAGACGGCACACTGGGCAAGGCCCGTGCCACGTCGGAAGCAGCTCTGTCCCCTGCACAGGACGGCAGAGCCAAGGACAAAGCCAGCCTCACCGAGCTCAGCGCTCTCTGGTTTGGACCAGTGTGGACCGGAGTGGGGCAGGCGGGCAGGCAGCAGCAGGCTCCCTGGAGCAGCGGTCACAGGAGCCCCCAGACCCGTGAACCGCCAGAGCCTGGGGTCTGGGGAGAGTGACGCGGAAAGGGGAACGCAGCCGCCCTCCGGAGACACGCGGAGCAGGGCCTTCCGTGGGACAGGCCCACTGGGCCGCAGGCACAGGAGGCACGGGCTCCGACCGGGTAAGTCCGTCGGGAGCACCAGCCGGAGGAGACCCTGGCGACGCCTACACGCGGCAGCGGGCGGCTGCCCCTGCCTCCTGCTCTCCTCTTCGTTGCGGGCTGAGCCAGCGGTCCGCACGCTGAAGGGTGCTCCGGAGCGTTCCGCGGCGTGACCCCCACTCCACCTAAGGCTGCCCACCCCACAGGGGCAGCGCGGGGTCTCGTGGGCTGTGTCCCCCACAGGCCTTCCTGCCGGGGGACACGCGGGCTGGGTCCAGGCAAGCAGGCCGAGGCTCGCTCTGCCTCCAGGTGCCTTAAATGGCCAAGCCTATGGCCACAGGACAGAAGCTGCCCACTAGCTGAAAGACACGGCAGGTGGGGACACTTGGAGGGGGGACCAGGAAGGACTGACTGGACCTGCTGCTGGGATCAAACCAGGTATCGGGATCTTGCCGTGCAGTTCTAAACACACGGGCGCCAGAAAGTGGCAGGGAGGACTCGTCTGGGCCCCCAGCGTGAGGCTGCTCCGAACCCGCCGAGCCAGCCTGCCGCGAGGGGCTGCCTCACAGAAGGCGCTGGGCCGGCCCTGCTCACCGCGGGCCCCAGGGCCCCGCACGGACTGCAGCCTGGGGGTGCGGGGAGGGCGCCGCTGTCTCAGAGACGCCCCCGCCCCACGTCCAAAGAGAAGACAGCGGCTGTCGGCCTCCGAGGACGTCCCTGCCTGATGAGGGAGGGCCACCACGGAGCAAAGATCCCGAGCCAGGACGACGCAGCCCCCAGGGGAGACTCAGGCCTGGTGCCTTCCCCATTCCTGGTTCTGGGCCAGCTTCTGTCCCGTCCCAGTTTCGTTAGCAACAACACCTTTCAACCGAAAGGGACCAAGCGGGTCGCTGCTGTCAGGGGCTGACTCGGGGACCAGGACAGGGCGGGAAGGGGAGCCTCAGGGACCAAGGGGGCGACAGAAACTGCTGACAGGGAGAAAAGAAGGTGAGTCTCAGGCCTTCCAAGAAAAGGGGGGCCGGGACCAGGGTGGCACCGGGAGCGAAATGGCGCGAGGGGCTCACCTTGTCCCACAGAGACTGCAGCTCCTCCTGCCCCCCTAAGTCCCAGAACATGAGCCGAGCCTTGCCCACATCCACGGTGCCGACTAGGGAGAGAAGAGGCCCTGTGAGGCTGCGGCGTGGCCTGCTCTGCAGGCCTCCCAAGTCCCCCGCAGACAGCGCGCTGCTCCCACGCCGCGGAGACGGGCCGAGGCGCCGTGGCGGCAGCGGGCGCCCCGCACCCCGCCGCCCTAGCCCTCGGAGACCCTCTTACTGTTCAGACCCACGGTGGTGGTGATCTTGGAGAGACTCATCCCCTTGTAGTTCTTGCTGAACCGGGTTTTTGATTGCTCCAGGAAGGTCTGCGGGAAGACGGGAGACAGGCAGAGGCGCTGGAGGGGTCTGCAAGGCGGCTCCCCGAACGCCCCTCCTCGGGCCCATTCGGCCAACAGTCTTTCAAAGCAGCGGGGGTCGACTGTTGCGTGGCCTTGGAGGGGGATTGGGTCCCGGGCGGGCGGCGAGCAGGCAGCGGGGGCGCGGGCAGAGCCAGGCGTACCGTCTTCCCGGCATTGTCCAGGCCCAGAATGAGGATGCAGTACTCGTCCTTCTGGAACACGTACTTGTACAGCCCCGACAGCAGCGTATACATCCTGCGGGGCGCCGGAGCTGAGTCCGGCGCACGGGACCGCCCGACGCCCCGCCCCGCGGCCGAGGCCCCGCCCCGGCCCCGCCCCTCAGTGCCTCCCAAGCCACTACCACCTCCCCGCCCAACGCAGGCGTCGCCCCCAGGAGTGCACCCGCTCCTCTCAGACCGTCGGGGCCACCGCGCCTTCTCCCAATTCGGCCACGCCCCTCGGTGGCGCACGGCTCACGGCAGAACCCCTGCCGGCGACACACCGGGACGCGCCCGCTTTTCGGAGGCGGGGTGCGTGTGGTGGCGGGGCGGCCGCGTAGTGGCAGTGCGGCGGGCAGGTGGCGGCGGGGGTCCCCGGGGCCCAACACGGCCCCTGACACCGGCGTCGGGCCCGGCGTCCAGCCCGCCGGCCCGGGAGGCGGCGACTCAGCCCCGGCCTACCTGCGCCCGCCCGGGCCGGAGCCGCCGCGCGCCTGACCGGCTGACCCTGCACCGACCTGCGCCGCCCCGCGCGGCGCCCGATGGGACGCGGTCGGCCGCCAGCGGAGGGTCGCGGCCGTCCCGGCGGCCCCCGCGCGACGCCTCCCGTCGTCCCCCGCGACAGGCACTTCCGGCGGCGGCGCCTGGGAGGAAGTGCCTGCTGGCTGCGAGGGCGGAAGCCGGGCGTCGCGCCGCTCTAGCCGGTGAGGCTGGCGGCCTCTCTATGGCGCGTCCGGGTGACTGCGCGGAGGAGGTTCCCGGCCCGGGGTGAGGGGCGCGGTCTGGACGACTGAGCCCGAGGTGACAGGTCCGGCGGAGACCGGCGGGCCGGGAGGCCGAGAGGCCAAGCGGCCTAGCGGCCTAGCGGCAGCACCAGGCCGCCGGGAGGGGAGCGAGGCTACTCGGAGCCGGTAACCTGTCCCAGCCTGTTTCTCGTCCCTGAAACGGGGCGGGTGGGGGGGGGGGCGGGGGAGCGCACACAGTTCCGCGGGCCGCGGCGAGGGTTCGGTGAGGTCCCGGGGCAGCCGTCGGCGACGGGCTCGGTATCAGCCTGGGCGGCGGCAGGCCCCGGGCTCACTGGGCTCCTCTTCCTCGCAGCTCTGCGCCCACCCGCCGCGTGAGGACACGGGAGCCGCCGCGGGATGGACGAAGAGAGCCTGCAGAGCGCGCTCCGCACCTACGGCGCGCAACTGCAGCAGGTGGAGCTGGCCCTGGGAGCCGGCCTGGACCCCGCCGAGCTGGCCGACCTGCGCCAGCTCCAGGGGGACCTTAAAGAGCTGATCGAGCTCACCGAAGCCAGCCTGGTGTCCGTCCGGAAGAGCAAGCTGCTGGCCACCCTGGATGCGGAGCGCGCGGCGCCGGACGACGCTGAGTACCTGGCTTTCCGGGAGGCCATCGCCGAGGCGGGGGACGTGGCCGGAGCCCCCGCGGCAGAACCAGACGCTGCTCCTGAAACAGAGGATGGGCCCGCGCCCAGCCAACCTGGGCGGGAGGAGGAAGGGGAGGACTCGGAGGACGACGGAGGGCTGAGCGGGAGGAAGGTGAACGCCCCCTACTACAGCGCGTGGGGCACCCTGGAGTACCACAACGCCATGGTCGTGGGCACGGAGGAGGCCGAGGACGGCTCGGCGGGCGTGCGCGTGCTCTACCTCTACCCCACGCACAAGTCGCTGAAGCCCTGCCCGTTCTTCCTGGAGGGCAAGTGCCGCTTCCAGGACAACTGCAGGTAAAGCTCCGGCCCTGTGCGCAGAGCTGCGGGGGGCTGGCGGCTCGCCAGGGCCGGGTCCTTGGGAAGGCGCTTCCTCGGGTTTTCGTGGGTTAATCAAGAGCAGGAGAGGCTCCTGTTGAAAAGAACGGACGCCCCCTCCCCACCACCGGTTTTATTCCTCAGCATTAAGCCTCTAAATTTTACTCTTGTTACGGAAATTTGCCACCCAACACGAAATGGGAGAGGTTTACACTCCTCGCCTCGTCTCTCGTCATTGCTTTGCTTCCTCGGCGCCCCCTTCCCTGCCTGGGTCCCCCGGACCCTCCCAAGCCAAGCCTCGGAATGACTGGGTTTTCACCTGCACGTACTTCAGGGCAGGGCCCCTCGCCTGACCGAGGAGGACGCCGCGGCGGTGCTGCCTCGGTGCCCGAGTCTCTGCAGCCGTGGCATTGTCGTCTTTCTCCCAGTGGGTGACCCTAACGCTGCTCCTTTGTACTGCTCAGAAGGAACGGTTACTGAATTTCGTTGTAGAGAGTTTACTTTTTTTAGCCAACAGTTCACAAGTGACTGTCTCTAGTTCTTTGGTCATCCTATTTTTTTTCAAAAATTTTCTGTTTACCCTCACCGAAGGATATTTTCTTTTGCTTTTAACTTTTTAAAAATACTTTATTTATTTACTTTTAGAGAGAGAAGAAGGGAGGGGAAAAGAAGAGAAATGCCCAAGTGTGGTTGCCTCTCGCGCGCCCCGCACTGGGGACCGGGCCTGCTACCCAGGCCTGTGCCCCGACTGAGGATCGAACCGGCGACCCTTTGGTTCGCAGGCCGGCGCTCAATCCACTGAGCCTCACCAGTCAGGGCTCTTTTTAATTTCTTTAGGTTTTATTCATTTATTTTTAAAGAGAGCAGAGGGGAGGGAGAAAGGGAGAGAAACATTGATGTGTAAGAGAAAGTTTGCCTTTCGCACACCCTCAGTCAGGGACCCGGTCCACGGCCCAGGCATGCGCCGCAGCTGGAAACCGAACCCATGACCTTTCGGTTCACAGGCCGGCGCTCAATCCACTGAGCCACACCAGCCAGGGCCCAGGGACATTTTCATTTGCTTTTTGAGAGAGAGAAAGAAGGAGAGACGTTGGAGTGAGAGAAGCGTTGGTGTGTTGCTTTCGTGCACAGCCAGACTGGGGACCCATGCCCGCACCAGGGCCTGGGCGCTGCTGAACTGGGGCTCACACGCGCCCCGACCTCCCTGGCCGGGAATCAGACCGCGACCTTTCAGTCACAGGACGGCGATCCAACCGCCGAGCCCCCCGGCTGGGGCGGTCATCCTGTTCCCTAAAAGGCTTGCTGGGCCCAAGTCTTGTCTGGCAGGTTCCTCCTCCCTCGCTCCCTCCCGTGCTCTGTCCTCTGCGAGTGTCATGAAAGTGCGGCATCTGTGCAGGCAAGGGCGTCAGTCATTGGGCTGGGCGACTGTCCAGAGCGGACATGCCCACGTCGCCAGCACAGGTGACGCGCCAGGGGCTGAAGCCTTTCGCCCGCGGTGCCCCGAGTCCCCCACCTGCCTGCGGGGTGTCCTGGGCCAGGCCGCAGGCCGCCGGTCGGGCTGCCTCCTGTGCTCCAAGCTTTCCTGCGCTGCGGCCCCCCGCGCAGCAGCAGCCCCGCCGAGGCGGACCCCGCGCCCAGTGAGGCCACGCGGCCTCAGCGCGCCGACCGCCCTGCCGACGCCCAGGCCTGGCAGTGGTTTCCTTACACTTGGTTTGGGTCTCTAAAAACAGGGAACTAGAGGGTGTTGACCCTGGGACCCCCACCCTGGCCCAGCGCCCTGCCCCCCAGGCGGCTGGGGTTCGCGCAGCCTCCGCGTGCCTCTCTGCACCAGAGGACACGGTAGGGCACGCGTCGGCTTCTGCCCGCAGCCCAGCCCACTGCCCGAGCACGTCTGCGCCCGTCTCCCCGCCACCGCGGCCTCCCGCTCGGCCGTCGGAGGACCGGACTGTTCGAGCTGTCAGGGGACCCCCCCAGTGCAGTCCAGCTCCCTGCTCGGCTCCCCACAAGCCGGCAGTGGGTCCGGGGACCCGGCCATGCCCCTGGCAGGGACTCCAGGTGCTGTTCTTGCATCAGGAGGCCCCTGATGACCGGCCGTTCTCCATCGCGCCAGCAGCCGGGGAAGCTCGGGAGCGCCCATCAGCCCGGGGGGACCGTGGTGAAGGGCCCCGTTCATCCCGCCCGTCAGCTGGCTGGCGTGTCGCGCGCAGACGCGCTCCCTCGTCTGCGGTTTGGCTTCGGAGTTGCACGGCGAGGAGATGCGGGGGTTTGCTGTCTCGTTACTTGCTGTCCTGGATAAGGAGTTGCTTCTCTTTCACCGGACGATGGGACGTTGGTGACTCGTGGACTCAAGTGTACTTGGTGAACCGTCCATTGTGATTCTGACCCTCACCGCACGCAAATGGCCCCGCCTTCGGCGAGCGCTCCTTCCCGGCCTTCCCCAGTGAGTGCGCCTCGCGCTGGCGGCGTCCACTGCTGCCTTTCCAAGCTGAGCAGGTCCCCTTTGTCCCGTTTGTTGAGTGTTTCTTGACGAAGGACGCTGGGTGTCTTCAAGCACCTGCTGTGCGTCCGTTGACAGGGCCGTGTGTGCTCTCCCTTCGTCCTGTGACGTGCATGTTACGTGGAGCGATTCTCACAGGCAGGTCTCCGTGCGCCCCTGGTCACAGTGCAGGACCCTTTAAAAGGCCAGTGGGCCCGGTTTGCTGGTTCTCCGTGGCGGGCATTCCCGTCCCTCCGTCCCCACAGGCTGTGGGGCTGTCGTTCCCTTTTCTTCGGGCGTCTCCGTCCGGCCTTGGAGTCGGGGCTCTGGCCTCGCGCGGCATTGGGAAGCGTTTGAGAAGGACTTGGGCGTCGGGGGCATCTGCCAGCGAGCCATCTGGGCTTGGGCCTCTTGTTGTTGGGAGTTCTCCGATTTACAGCTGTTCGTTTGCGATGGGTCTAGTCATGTTTTCTGCTTCTCCTTGAGTCAGTTTTGGTAGTTTGTGTGTTTTTAGGAATTTGCCCTTCCTGCCCGTTACCCAGTCTGTTGGCCTAGCACCGCGCCCCCTGGCGCCCTGAGCGCCTGCACTTCTGCAGGGTGGGTGGGCTGGCCGCCTCCTTTCCGGCTCAGTCTCTCCAGTGCTCTCTCAGTTTTCGGTCAGTCTAGCTAAAGGCTTGTAGGGTTTATTTTTTTGTTTTTTGGTTGTTGACGCTACATTGTTTTTCTTTTTTCTGTTTCACTCATTTCCACTTGGGCCTTCAGGGTCCCTGGGACCTTGTGCTGCTGTGGGCCAAGCTCACGGTCCATACGGGGCCTTGGGGCCCACAGCGAGTCGCTGGCTGGACATTGTCCTCCTTGGAGTGGGCGCTGGCAGCCGCCTTTCCCGTGAGCCCGGTTCTGGGGTGTCGTTTTCATCGTCATTCGTCAGAGTGTCACCTGACCCCTCTCTCACCCCCCGCCCCCCCCTCGCGCCCCCCCCCCAACTCCCTAGCTGCCCTCAGTCCAGACCGTGCTGCTGACCCTCCACGTGCGTGACATTGCCACGCTTCCTTCTGTTGTAGGTTTCTAGGTTCAGGCCCCTGGGGCTGGTGAAGGTACCTTGTGCGACTTCAGGGCTTCACAGTTTGCTGAGGCCCCACGCGTCTCCTGTGTCGCCCACAAGGGTGTGCGAGGCGCTCGGCCGGGCGGCCTGGTGCGTGAGCGTCTGCGGGGGCGGGGCGCGGTCGTGGCACCGCCCGAGTTCCGGCGCGCGGGGCCCCTCCGCCTGGGCTCTCGGTGCGCCGTCGTGCAGGCGGCAGTGAGGCCTGCGCTCCGATCCTGTTTCAGCCTGGAACGCTGCCCGCTCCCCTTTCCTGTTTTGGGGACTCGGTTGTTGGCTGTGGATGAGTTTGTAGTTGTAGCTTCCTGAGGGGTTGATGCTTTTAGCAGTGTTTTCCTTTGTTTTCTCTTTTTCACCGATGCGTTTTTCTCCAGTTGCAGTTCCCGTTCAGCACAGCCCTGTGTCAGTCCCGGGGCGCAGCGTCGCTCCTCTCGACCGTGACCCCGTCCCTCCTGTCTGACAGCAGCGCAGCCGCTGCTCCCGCTGCTGTGAGCGCGGAGCGCCCCCCACCCTCGCCTGCTGCTCTCGACCCAAGCGCGTCTCCTACAGACAGCACGGAACTGGGCGCTTTTATAGTCCGTTCTTCTAATTTAGAGATTTAACCCGCTTACGTTTAATTACCAGGAAGCAGGAACTAACCTGCCATTTTTTCTTTTTCCTATTGTCGTTAAAGATTTTATTATTTTTAGAGAGAGCAGAAGGGAGGGAGAAAGAGAGGGAGAGAAACACGGATGTGCGTTTGCCTCTCGTGCGCCCCCTGCTGGGGACCTGGTCTGCAGCCCAGGCCTGTGCCCCGACTGGGAATTGAACCCGCGACCCTTGGGTGCGCAGGCCGGCGCTCAGTCCACTGCAGAAACATAGTTCTTGTTGGACAGTGTTTTTCTTTCAGTGCCTGAAGGACGTCATCCCCGCCTGGTGGCTCAGTTGGCTGGGACACCGTGCCATGCGCCAAAGGGCTGTGGGTTCGACCCCTGTTCCTGCCCCGCTTCAGCGATCCTCCCCAGCCCCTACCCTGAAGTCAAAAACCATGTTCTCGCCGTGTGACCAGCCTCTTTGAGTTCATGCTGCTTGGGCGCAGAGATTCACCTCTCTCATCACATTTGGGGATTTTTCAGCCATTGTTCTTCGATTCTGCAAACATCGCTTTGCCCTTTCTCTCCCTGTTCTTCTGGAATTCCCTTACGCAGATTTTAGTGTGCGGTGTGCTGTGCCTTTTAGTACATTTTGTACTTTTTTCTCTATAGCCAGACGTGAAGTGTCGGCCAGAAGGGACTACTGTACATGGGCCTTTAGCGACGTGGTGATGAGGGAGCCTCCTGGACCTCACGTGTGCGTCTCAGCGGTCCACACACGGGTGCACCCACATGCACACGCCCAGGCGGGCCTCAGGTGTCCCCTGACCCCCGAGGGGCAGGCTCTGGTTCACTGCTTTCCCTCCGGGCAGCACGGGGTGCTCTGGTCTCTTGAATACGCTTCCTTTTCCCCTCCTGCCACCTGAGCACAAGGAGATTTTTCTCCAATACCTGGTACAGCTTCCAAAGTAAAACTCACAGACGCGTGGGCCCCTCACCCTGAGGACGGGCCCCCCGCAGGTGCTGTCTCCCCGGCTTGTCCGTCCGGCCCCCAGCAGCGGGGCGGCGCTGGTCACGCGCACTTCCCCCTGTTCTCCGAGTGGACCTTCCAGGTTTGGGGTGGCAGCTGGCCCCGTGGTCCCCCTTGTCTTAGGGGCCCGAGAATAGTGGTCGGCTTTCCAGTTTGCTCCACTTCTTACTTTCTGTGGGGACAGAGGGGTGACTTCCAAGCTGCTTTCGTGCTATACCCGCAACCAGAAGTGTCCTGTCTGGAAGTGTCCTGTCTAGTGACTGTTTCTTTCTTTCTTTTTTAAGATTTTATTTACTTATTTTTAGAGAAAGGGGAATGGAAAGCTAGAGGGAGGGAGAGAAACACCCATGTGTGTGGTTGCCTCTCGTGCGCCCCCTGCTGGGGACCTGGCCACAAACCCAGGCCTGCGCCCCGACTGCGGATCGAACTGAAGACCCTTCGGTTCACAGGCGGCGCTCAGTCCACGGAGCTGCACCAGCCGGGGCGTGACTGTTTAATTTCAGCCATTGATTTTTCATCTCTGGAATTTACACTGATTCTGTTTCTGTAATCTCCCCTTTTCTGGAATCATTGTCGTCATAGTTTCATTTAATTCCTTAAATATACCTACGCCCTCCACTGTGACGTCTTTGTCAGATTCGCCGTCTTGGCTCAGTCAAGTCCTACCAGCTGCTTTTTCCTCTCTACGGGTCACATGGCTCCGTTTGCATGTGTGATACGTTTTTACAGAAAACTGGACGCTTCCGGTGATACATTGTAGCAACGCTGGGTTCTGAAATGCTCTCCTGTGCCCTCCCCGCCCCGGCTTCTGACATCCCTGCTCAGGTTCTCACGTTTCGTTTTCTCTCCCGCCGGCTCCCTAGGCCTCGCTCTGTCCACACGGCTCCGTGGTCTGCCAGGGACTTGGTCAGAGGCTGTGCCCGACTTCTCCCCAGAAGGTGCCCCTTGGCCGGCTATTCTGTGCGTTGGGGGTCTTGTCCCAAGCTCAGCAAGCCCCCGTCTCTCTCCGCTCCTCCCCGTCCCGGCCCCTCCCGGAGCTTTTGATCCATGAGCACAGACCTGACGGCTGGGGTGCACCCCGGCCGCGCGCTCACCCGCCGCCGCCCGGGGCGCTCCCTCAGTGCGCCCCCGTCGGCCTCCCGCCCCGGCCCCCGCCTGCCCGCGCCCTGCCCTGCCCTGTCCTGAGCGCCTTGGGCCGTGGCCCACGTCCGACGGCTCCCCAAGCTCTGGAGCTGCGCGCTTCAGCCGTTCTGCTGCCCGGTTTCTCTGGGGACAGTCCCCCACCCCGCCCTTGGCCGTGCGGGACCGGAGCCCCCGCTGGAGTTGTGAACGCCCGTCCACAGGCCCCTGTTCTTGCTTACGGGGGCGGGGATCTCTGTGGATGTTGTGAGGTGGGCGATTGAGTTGGTTTTTTAATGTGTAAAACCAGTTTTAAGTATTTTCTGTGGGAAGTGCACATCCACCCTTGCCCGCCCCTGGGTGCGTTTTGGAGGCGGGGCCCCTCTCCTTCCGCTTGCCCATGCCCGTTCTCCGTGTTTTCAGCACATTTTATGGATTCGCCGTTAACCGCTGCTCAGGGTTGGAAACCAAGGTGCTTCTGAAGTCTTCAGTCTTCGGTCAACGTCACTGTGTCCGAATCTCTGTACGCTTTCATCGTTCTTGCATTAGAATAATGTCTCTGAAGTGCTTGTTGGGTGTCAGGAGTGCACCAAGTTCAAGGTCCCTGGCATCACCGAAGACTCCTGCAGCGGGGCTTTGGCGCCGGTGCCCGCCTGTGCCGTGTGGCCGCAGTGGCGTCCGTGGCAGGTGGCGGGGGGAGCGTCTCACAGGCGGGAGGTGGTTGCCTCCACTCAGGTTCCTCCCTTTGGAACGAGTGGCTTTGCACTTCGGTTGAGCGGGCTCGCCCGCCGGCCTCCACGGCCGTCTGCGTGGGGCGCAGACTCGCAGGCTCCGAGCCCGGTCCAGGGCGGCCCCCGGGCCCTGGGGACAGCGGGTGGGAGAAGGAACCACCCAGATGCCGTCTTGGTCCGGGCGCCCGCGGGAGCCAGCTGGGGCGCCACCGCCCGTTCCTGCCTCAGCAGGCGGCCCTGCCCACAGCCCCGGGCCGTGGGTAGCTGCCTGTCCTGGCTGCTCTTGTGGGGGAAAGCAGTTTCCTCTCGAAGTGACGGCACCGTCGGGGTAGGTGTGTGGTCGGCGCTCTCATGTCTTTATTTGGCAAAGGAAAGGTGGCAGCCTCACGTTTCCTCCTTCCTCTCTGCTTGAGTTTTCATCGCACTGGCTCACTGCTCTCTGACAGGAACTGCCCGTGATGCGCTGGTGGGTGTGGTGGAGGCTCCGCCCCGGGGGTCTGCCAGCCGCGCTGTTTCCCCAGCCCACGAGGCTGGGGCTCACCTGAGGCCTCAGAGCGGCCACAGCCCCGGCGAGAGCCGGAGGGGGCTGGGGCAGAGCCTGGGCATGGGGGCAGGGTGCACGGGGGGTGGGACTCTCCAGGCGCCCCGTCTGAGCCCCGCTCCGCGGCCCCTCTGCAGGTTCTCCCACGGGCAGGTGGTCTCCGTGGACGAGCTGCGCCCCTTCCAGGACCCGGACCTGAGCTCCCTGCAGGCCGGCTCTGCCTGCCTGGCCAAACAGCACGATGGTCTCTGGTACCCGGCGCGGATCACGGGTGAGGCTGCCTGCGGGCCTCCCTCAGGCCCTCCTGGAAGTCCCCGCCCGCTGCCCTATGACCACGCCTTCGGTGGGGCGTCAGGTCCCTGCTCCCTGCCCCCCCGCCGTCCCCCCTGCTTCCCGCCCGCGGTGAGGCCGCTGACCTGGCTCCCCTTTGACCCTGCCCGCAGATGTGGACAGCGGCTACTACACCGTCAAGTTTGACTCGCTGCTGCTGAAGGAGGCTGTGCTGGAGGGGGACAGCATCCTGCCCCCGCTGCGCCCGGAGCCCGAAGGGCCCTCCGACTCGGACAGCAGCGACGCGGGTGACCCCAGCTACGCCCGAGGCAGGCCTGGGCCGGGGGCGGCCGGGCGGGGTCTCCCCAGGCTGCTCCTGGCCGGTGGGGGCCAGGCGACCCTCTGGTCCGACTGCTGAGCCTGGTGCACGTGCACAGCAGGGGATAGCGGGACCCCGCAGGAGGCAGGGGGTGAGGGTGTGTGAAGGGTCTGGGCAGGTCACGGACGTGCAGGCGCAGAGGCCGGCCCCTTGTCACCGAGGGCCGAGTGCCGTGCAGACCTCTGCCGCCGACTGCGAGCCCAGGGCTGGGCCGCACGCAGGGCTGCTGCCAGCGCAGGAGCTACTGGAGACGTGGGCGCACAGGGAGGCCGGGCGGGGTGGCGAGCAGGAGGGCAGCTCCTGGAGGGCGGGTCGGCAAGGGTGACGAGGGGCGGCGTCCCTGAGGTGGCGGTTTCCGAAGCCTCCTGCCCCTGGTGATGGTGTGGGAGCTTGGCCCTTGGGCTGCCGCTGGCCAAGCCGTGGTGCAGCCGGGCCAAGCTGCCACCCTCCCTGTCCCCTGTCCCTTGCAGTGGTGGCACCCAGCACCACCGACCACGGGACCTGCAGCTCCGACTTCGCGGGCTGGGAGGTGCACACGCGGGGCATGGGCTCCAGGCTCCTCGCCAAGATGGGCTATGAGTTTGGCAAGGGTGAGCAGGCGGGCGGGCGCTGCCCGGGGGCGGGGGGCCAGGGCTGCCGGGGTGCAGCGGCAGGGTGTGGCGGCCACAGCAGCACCAGCCCCCTGTGTGCCCAGGTCTGGGCCGGTACTCGGACGGCCGGGTGGAGCCCGTCCATGCTGTGGTGCTGCCGCGAGGGAAGTCGCTGGACCAGTGCGCGGAGGTCCTGCAGCAGAGGACCAGGGGCGGCAAGGCGGGCCCCAGCAGGCCCCCGAAGTGCCGGCGCAGAGGGGGCGGGCCGGGGGGCCGCCCGCCCCCGCGGGACGTGTTCGACTTCCTCAATGAGCGGCTGCAGGGCCAGGCCCCCGGGGCCCCGGAGGCCGGGGCAGCGCCCCCCAGGCAGAGGAGCGGCAAGGAGCTGTACCACGCCAGCAAGAGCGCCAAGCGGGCCCTGAACCTGCGGCTCTTCCAGACAGAGGAGAAGATCGAGCGGGCCCAGCGGGACATCCGGGGCATCCAGGAGGCGCTCGCCCGCAACGCCGGCCGGTGCGCGGGGGCTGGGCGGGGGCAGTGGGCGGGCTCAGCGGCGCTCCGGAGGGCTGGAGGGGCGGGCGCCGGCCACAGCGGCCTCAGGGCTTTGTGGGTGCGGCCCGGGGGCCCACGCTGAGGGGCAGCCTCTCCGCAGGCACCGCGTGACGGTGGCCCAGCTGCAGGAGAAGCTGGCGGGGGCCCAGCGGCAGCTGGGGCAGCTCCGGGCGCAAGAGGCAGGCCTGCAGCGGGAGCAGAGGGAGGCGGACACGCACAAGAAGATGGCTGAGTTCTAGAGCGCCGCACGCACAGCGGGCAGGGGGTCCCCCACCGGCGCCGCCGGAGGAGGGGCCGCGCACCGCCAGCCTGTCTGGGCATCGCCAAGTGGACATGGGCACGGGAGCCGCATCTGGATGCTCGGGGGCCCGCGGACCCCACCTGCGGGCACCTGCTTATCGAGAACATTAAAGTGGCTGTTGTAGCGTTTCCTCGTGGTGGCCGCTTGGTGTGGTGTCTGTGGGGAGGGGTCTCTGCAAGCGGCTGTGGGTGGGCAGAGGAGTCCCAAGCCCGCCTGGAGGCGGAGGGCCCAGGGGTACTGGCGTCCTCCCTGGTCTCCCAGATGGGTCCCCATGTGGCCCAACACCCGTGGACAGCGGAGCAGACCTCTGTCAAGGGGCAGGAGGGCCCGGCAGCGCGAGGGGGAGCCCTGGAGCCCGGCCTCGCCCCCCACCACCAGCGCTTGGCGGCCACAAGACCACCCAGGGCCCATGCGCGCCCACCTCCTGGGGCGGGGACTGGAGAGGCCGCTGCGAGCGCACGTGCCCCCGCTGCGGTCACTAGACCCTGGGTGGGGCTGCAGCAGGGGGCAGGGGCGGTGGCGGCCACAGCCGTAGGAAGTCAAGACTCAGCCCCACACAGGCAGGAGGTGAGGGGAGCCCTGCCGGGTGCCGGCCACAGGCCCGTGTCTCCAGGGCCTGGCTGTGACCCGCCCGTAGGGTGAGGCCTGTGGCACCGATGAGGGTTGCTCTGGCCTCCAGTCGGGCTGCGCTCCAGGCCCCGTGGCGCCCCCGCCAGGTGGCTGAGAGCCAGGGTCTGAGAGCACTGGGCCCGGCCAGGCCAGGGCACTGGACTTCCCTGGTGGGATCCCATTTCCTGGGTCTGAACAGACTGGCTCCTCCCCTGGCCTCTCCTTGTCCTGTGCTACTGGACTGAACGGCTGTGCTGACTGTAGGGGTCCCCCATCCCCTGTAGCAAGGCCCCAGGGAGGGCACAGGTTCAACAGCGGGGAGGGCGGGGAGAGAGAGGTGGCTGGGCCAGTGCCCAGGGCAGACCCTTTCTGTCTGCTGACCCCGCCTTCCCAGCCCCCAGCAGCCAAGACTAGTGAATGGAGGGCGTTGTCACCGCGACCGAGGCCTTACCTGGGCACTCTCTTACCTGGATGTGCTGCAGGTGTCTGGGCCCTGTGGCTCACAGGCTCAGGGCTGTGACCTTGGGGCCCTCAGGTCCCGGTTTGGGCTGCAGCGACCACCGCGGGGCCTCGGCCAGGTCCTCGCTGGCCAAGCTCTGCGGCCACGTGGGTCGTCGCTGACCTGGGTGCTCCTGAGAGCATGCGTCCTCGCCTCTGAGCGGGCGCGCCAGCCCCAGGCGGGAAGGGAAGGTGGGCGCAAGGCGGCGTCCTCTCGGCCTCTGTAGGGGGAGGGGCTGCTGAGTGGCGGGGTTTCCTGTGTGCTGAGTCAGAGCGCCCAGCGGCGGGCGGTGGCCCGGCAGTGTGAGGCCCCAAGTGGGGCTGCAGGTGGGCGCCCCAGCGCCGGTCGGCCCCCAGCACCACCCTCTGCCCCCAGGCTGGCCTGGGGCTACACGGGATGGGATCGCTGGTGTTCTCTGCCTCCCCTGCCCTCTGGGTCCCAGGGTGCCTGGCCCTGCTTCTCTGGCTGTGGGTGCTGTGCACAGCCCGCCACAGGTATGTCGGTCCCCTGTCGGGCTTCCACGTGGAGCCCGGCCCAACGCTGCGGCCAGAGGGGGTGGGGCTCCAGGCAGGCCCAGCTTGACCAGAGGCTGGCGCCCCTGCCTTGCGCCTCTGCTTCCCTGGCCTGACGACCACCCTCCTGCCCGCAGGAAGCGTGCGCAGAGGCAGCCGGCTGTGCTGCAGGGGAGCGTGAGGCCCGCGGAGACCGTGAGTTCCAGGCTGCTGTCCCCAGGCCAGGGTGGGGCCAGCAGGGCGCTGACTTGCCTTCCTTGCCCCCAGTCGACGCTGAGGCAGCCCCACCTCAGCGTCCTCAGCAAATCGGACACCAGGCTCCACGAGGTGCACCGGGGCCCACACCGCGCAGGTGAGCCGGGCGGGCAGCCAGGACTGTGGGTGGGGCTTCCTGCCCCTCGCTGGCCAACCCACGGCGGCGGCCAGACTGGCTCCGCCCCAAATGACCCCTGCCCTGACCCCACCCCCAGCCCCGCGGCCTGCCAGCATGGATCTCCTGCGCCCGGCGTGTCTGGAAGTGTCCAGAGGCAGCATCCGTCCGCCGGCTGCCTTCGCGCCCCAGGAGCCGCCCCAGCCATCGCCTGCTGCTACGCACGCCCTGCCTGCCGCCGGCCCCGAGGCCACCTATTCCAATGTGGGGCTGGCTGCCATCCCCAGGGCCAGCCTGGCGGCCAGCCCCACGGTGTGGGCAGGGGCTCGGCTGACCAGCAGCCGGGCCCGGCCAGAGGTGGCTGCGTACGCTCGCATCCAGAGGCTCAAGGGGGCAGACTGGGGGCCCCAAGGCCCGGAGCAGGGCAAGGCCCAGGGCACCCCCGCCGCTCAGGTACATCAGGGGACATGGGGGTGGCTGGGCCGATCCGCGGCAGAGTGGACCGTGCTGACCCCTCCCGGGTGTGCCTCCTCCCTCCAGGCGGACGTCCTGTACTCCAGGGTCAACAAACCCAAGAGGAGAGATCCAGGACCTGCCGTAGCCCACGCGGACCCCCGGGGCCAGGCTGCGGTTCTGACTCTGGGGCGAAACCTGTCCTACGAGGCCCTCCCGCTCAGAGGCCCGGGCGTGGACCAGGGAGACGACGGCTCCCCAGAAAACGTGTACGAGAGCATCCAGGACATGGGGATCCCCCGAGGGCCGGCAGCCCCCAGCTCTGGAGACTAGATCGGACCTGGAGGCCTCCTGCGCCCCCACCTCAGCCCGGGCAGGGCCTCCCCCCTCCCCTGGCCGTGAGCGCTTACGCGCCCAGGCTCCCTTCTCCAGCGTGGGGCGCACTCCAATCCCCTCGCAGTTCCCCCCACGCATGCTGGCAGCCCGGGAGGTCCCTGGGGCTGGCCGCTCCGGCCGCTTCCACCGGCGTCTTAATAAACCCTCTGCGCCGCGAGGGTGAGCACAGCGCCTCCTTCTCTCCTCCAAAACCTGGTGGGTCTAGGGGGTCGCGGGGGTCGCCTGGAAGCAGCGAGCGCGGCCCCTGGCCTCGGGGACGGCCCGTCCGCCCGGGGCGCCTGGGCCCTGTCACTAGGCTCCCGCACAGCCTGCGGAGGGAGGTCAGATCAGGGGCGGCGTCCCCAGGTCGGTGGGGTCCAGGGGACGCGACCCGCCCGCAGGGGGCCGCCGGGTCGGACTCACGCCCGGAACCCCGGGGGCGGAGGCCCGGGCCGCGCAGCCCTCGGTGGTTACATAAGGGGCGGGGGTGGGCAGTCGCGCCTTGAAGAATAACCTGCTCCCGGGAAGCCCTCCCAGGGGACGCGGCCGCCCCCCGGCCGCCAGCTCCGCGCGCAGGACCCCCCCGCGAGGAAACTGGCTGACCCTCTGGAGGCGACAGGGGCGCGCCAACCAGGGCTCCGCGAAGGCCGAGGAGCGAGCGGGCGGGCAGGCGGGGGGCGGGGGCCGCAGCGGGGCCCCCTCTCCCGGCCAGCGCGGGAGCGGCGGGCCCGGGGCGGGGCCTCGGCGGGGCGGGGCCACGGAGCGCGAGCCAATGGGGGCGTGGCCACGGAGCGCTAGCCAATGGGGGCGCGGCCAGCCCCGGCCGCGGTCCACCTCGGAATGTTGATACGGAGCGCCGGCCAATGGGCGCGCGCCGGGGGCGGGGACGCGCGGAGGGGGCGGGCCGGCCGCAGCTTCGGGGGCAGAGCGGCGCGGGCGGCTGCCGATCCAGGGCGGGGGTCGGCGGCCCGGCCAGCCCGGCCCGGCCCGGGGCCGAGTCCCGAGCGTCGCCCTCGCTGCTTCAGCCTCGGCGCCCGGCCGACGAGCCATGGAGGCCGAGCGCCCCCCGGCGCCCGGCCCGGCCTGCGGGCGCCCCTCGCCCCGCGCCGCCGGCCCGGAACCCGCGGCCGCGCCCGTGTCGGTGCCCGCGCCGCCGCAGGTACCGGGCGCCGGGGGCGGGCGCCGGAGTGCGCTCGCCGCAAAGATGGCGTCGGGGCGGCACAAACTTCGGGCCCCCGGGGGCGGGGCGGTGGCCCGTCAGGGGCCGCGGGGCCGCGGGGTCGCGGGGCCGGGACGCCGGGGCTGCTTCCCGCCGCGCCGCGCCGGGGGCGGGGCCGGGGGCGGGGCGCGCCGACCGCCGCTCGTTTGGGGGTGCCGAGCGGATCCGGGTGGGGGCGGGGGGCCCCGGGCCGCTGCCTCCGCTGAGCACGCCCCGTCCGCAGGGCCCGGCCGTGGGCGGTGGCTTGGCGGGCTTGCAGTCCTCGCCCCCGCAGGAGCCGGAGCCGCGGGCCCCGGGGACGTGGGCGGGGGCGGCAGCGGGGCCCCTGACGCCGTCGGCGCACATCCCAGTGCCAGCGCCCAGGTGAGCCGCGCGCCAGGCCGAAGTGGGCGTGCGCGCACGTGCGCCCGGGTGTGCAGGGGGTGGTGGGTGGGGCGCGGGCGCGTGCCTTCGCGACACCCCTACCGGGTCGGCGGCGGGGGCAGGTCAGGGTCCCAAGCCGAGCGTCTGGCCACCCCTGCTTTCCCGCCCTGGAAGAGTTAATCAGCGTGTTGGTAGCCCTTGTCCTCCTCACACCCTGAGGCCGGTGGAGCTCGGCTGGAACGGGCCGCTGTAGAGGCTGGTGGGTGGCCAGCGTGCGGTCCCCTGCCCAGGGGATCCCGGGACTTCTGACCGCCATTACCCCAGCCCGTGCATTAAACCTTCACGGGCGCTGGACACCCAGGGCTGGCAGCTCAGCCAGGGGCGGGCACTGGCCGGCCTGCTGGGCCTGGGGACCCGCTTGTGCTTGGGGCTCTTTCCCCGGCTGCTGCTGGCTGCTCTCCGCCGCCCCCCCTCCACCCCCGGCCTGGCCCGGGCCCCACAGCTGCTGTTGCACAACCCTGGTTAATGTGTGATTGGGGGAGGGCTGGGCCTCCTGTGCCCTGGCCCCACTATTGGGGGGGGGCCCTCAGACCCCCGGCCAGCCTCGGGGTCTGAAGGAGGGGTCTGAAGCAGGCTCCGTGCAGCACGCCTGGGCTGGTGATGACTCAGGCTTCAGGGAGACCCCAGCCCAGGCCCAGTTCCTGGTGGTTCCTGGAGATCTAGGCTCTGCAACCCGAGCCGGGGGTGGGGCCGGGCCTGCCGCCCGGCCCAGCGCCTGGAGTGAGGATCCTGGCGTGCACAGGCACGTGCCCGGGCCTGCACGTGTGCGCCCGGGCTGGGGGGGCCAGAGCACCTGCTGGGCTCCACCCACCCACCCACCCACCCCCTCGTCCCCTGTTCTCCCCAGAGCCCCCCGAGGGAAGGCGCGGCTGGATGAGGTCATGGCCGCCGCGGCCCTCACGAGCCTGTCCGCCAGCCCCCTGCTGCTGGGGCCCCCGGCCTCAGCCTTCGGCACAGGTGAGACTGAGGCCAGGCGTGGGGTGCGGGCGGGCCGGGCCCAGGGCCCTGTTCCTCCAGGACCTGGGGTGGGGGGCAAGCGGAGCCCCCTCGCCTGGACCACCACCTTCTACCCACACGGACGCCAACACCCCACGTCCTCTGGCCAGCAGGCCTCTGTGGCCGCCTGCCTGTCCCCTCCTGGCTGGCCAGGCGTCTCCCCACACGGGACTTCTCCGTTCCTCCTTCCCTGTCCGAGGGGGGTGGCCCCCAGTCCGCGTGGCCACCTCCTCCTGGCCATCGGCTCCTCCAAGGGCCCACGTGCCCCCCCCAGACTTACCTGTGAGCAGGCAGAGGCTCAGAGCGGAGGGGCTCGGGGCCGGCAGCCCGAGCCCCGGAAGTCCTGAGCCCGGCCTGGCGCGTCCCTGCAGAGCCCGGCTTGGAGCCCTGGCCTGAGCCCCTGGGGCGGCCGCCGGGCAGTCGCGGCGGTGGCGGCGGCGGCAGCAGTGGCAGCGGGGACTGGGGCTGGGACGTGGCCGGCGAGCGGTCCTCTCCACCCACCCCGCCGCCCCCGCTGCCCCTGGAGGCAGCCCACTTCCTGTTCGGGGAGCCTGCCCCTCGCAAGAGGAAGGTGAGCCGGGGAAGGGCTCAGGGCGGGGTGGCCGCGGCGGCCGAGCCTGACCGCCGCCCCGTCGGTTGCCCAGGGCGCGGTGCAGGTCCTGTTCCAGTGTCTGTGGAAGCGCTGCGGCAAGGTGCTGAGCACGGCCTCGGGGATGCAGAGACATATCCGCCTGGCGCACCTGGGGTGCGTGGGCCTGCCGGCGGGCGCGGCGGGCAGGGCGGGGGCAGCCGCGCTCCAGCTCTGGCTGCAGCTCCCCCCTGCGCTGTCCCCGGCAGGCGGCAGGCAGAGCCAGAGCAGAGCGACGGCGAGGAGGACTTTTACTACACGGAGCTGGACACTGGCCTGGAGGTGCTGGCTGACGGGCTCTCCAGCCTGACCCCGATGGCCCCCACAGCCTCCCTGCCGCCCACCTTCCCACGCCTGGAGCTACCGGAGCCCCCGGCCCTGCCCAGCCTGCTGCGCCCTCTGGCCTTGCCCCCGCCACAGGTGCTGAGCCCCGCGGCGCGCCCCCAGGTGTGCTGTGGCGACCACTCCTACCAGGTGGGTGCAGCCTCAGGCAGCAGCTGGGGCTGGGCCCCTGGGCAGGCGCTCTGGGGAGAGACTGCCGCTGTGTCTCCTTGCAGGGCTGCCTGGCGCCCGCCCGGCTGCAGCCGCAGCCCAGCCCGGCTGGGGCCCGCGAGCCAGCCCTGCCCTCCGAGCTTGGTGCCAGCCTGAGGTGCGTGCGTGCGTGCGTGCATGTGTGTGTAGAGGGGGCGGCGGGGGGCAGCAGGGAGGGTCCCGGCCCAATGGCAACCCACATGTTCCCCCAGGAAGCCCCGCGGAGACGCCAGGAAGTGCCGGAAGGTGTACGGCGTGGAGCGCCGGGACCTCTGGTGCACGGCCTGCCGCTGGAAGAAAGCTTGCCAGCGCTTCCTGGGCGCAGCCTGCTGCCCTGGCCGCCGGGGCTCCCAGCGGAGGAAGTGAGCTGCGCCCCAGCCCTGCCCGGGCCTCCCCGCCGCAGGGTCTGCCTTTCTTGGGGGGGCAGGCGGCGTCAGGGACCCTGCACCCCCAGAGGTGGGGGAGGGTCCCACCACTCGAAGTGCCTCTGAAGAAACCAGCCTTTTGCACTAAAGCCCGGGGTGGGTGGCCGCCCTCCCTGCCGGTCCCTGGACTTGTCAAGGGTGCTGACGGTCTGGCGCCGTGGCCCCGTGGGAGCCGGGCCTGGATGCACTTTGAGGGGGGCGGGCGGGGCCTACCCCGCACTTAACCCGATGGATGGCGGTTCAGGGCCCCGGACGGACCTTGGACCGAGTTTGCGAAGCTCAGGTGTCTTGCGTCTGGGCTGCGCCAGGCGAGGAGACAAATTAAAGATGCGGTTTTTCCAGAAGCTGTGTCTGCCTCAGGGGCGGGGAAGGCGGGGAAGGCGGGAGTGCGAGCCCGGGGGTCCCTCTGGCCCCCTCTACCCGGCGCGAAGCCAGGGGAGGGCGCCCTGCCCCAAACACACACGAGGCGTCTGCTTGAGCAGCAATTTCCCGATTTATTGAAAGTGATCGCTTTGCCAGAAGGTCTAAGCTAATCCCGTCACAGAAAGGAAACCCACAGGCGGGCCGGAGGCCAGGCGACGCATCGTGAGACCACAAGAGAAGGTGCTGTTTACCTGTCCTACGCTACAGAGAGGCGGACAGGCCGCAGAGCCCGGCTCACCGCCCACCGGGGACCAAAACTCCTCCCCCGAGTATGAAACACACCTCCAGTACAAACACAGGTTTATAATAATTCATAGAAAGTCAGTATAATAGAGATTACTCCCAGGAAAAAATCAACAGTCTTCAAACACTGCCCTTTTTTTTTTTTTTTTTTTTTTTTTGTCTGTTGCTTTTGTTGACAGGTTGAAAGCATGTTGAAAAAAATAAATATTTCAGAAAAGCACACGCACAGCAGCACCGTCACTACCGGCAGCCCTAGAAGGGCCGCGCACAGGGCGCAGGAGAGGGTCTAAAAAATAAACACAGAAACCACCGTGAAGTATGGCTTTTAAAGAGTTGCACATGTCACAGAATGAGCGAAAATAAGGTTATCTTTCATCATATTGCAAAAAGTTCCAGTTTTTGCATTTTCTCAGTTTTGTGTTTTGTTTTTTTTTTATAAAGATGTGCAAAGTTGGAAGCAGTAGCGGCGTCTTGAGTCGCGGTCCCTACCGAGCCCCGGCAGTGTTGTGACTGTCCCCAAACCCAGGGTCCAAGTAAACACCCCAGTCAGGGTCCAGCGCTTAGTCCCGAAGTCTGTGGTGCCCTGCCCTGCCCCCACAACGGGCTCACCCCCCACAATGGGCTGTGTTTTCCACTTTGGTGTTGCCCACACCAACATACAGACAGACACGAACGAAACAGTACAAAATGTGAAATGTAATCTACACGGTTTTTCCTCTTCATAAAAAAAATATTTATTAGCTTAAACATTGATTTGGAAAAAAAAAAAAAGGGTCAGTCACATAAAAAAACTCTTCGTGACGCACGTCTTTCCCTTCGCACCTCCTGAGATGACAGGTTCATCTCCATCCCGCAAACGGCAAGCGCGGGGGCTCGGCGGGGCGGCAGGCGGCCCCGCGTTTCCAGCGCACCGCCGGCCCTGTGGCACGGACAGCGAACCCCCGAAAGGCCGGCAGGGGCGGTGAGCAGGTCAGGAAGAGCAAGACGTCCTGAGTGTGGAGGCAGGTGGCCCGGGCGTGGGCAGGGCAGCCTGAGGGGCGGGGCCCATACGAAGCCCAGAGGCACCTGTTGGCAGCAAAGGTCTGGTTCCCAAAGGTGTCTTATAAGAAAGTAAGTCTGCGTAGAAAGGGGGCCAGAAAGTGGGGGAGGTACAAGTCCGGGATCCCAGGTCGGGGCTGACCGGGCCTCGCCGGCGACCGGCAGGAAGCATGTCCAGGAGCCGCCGCCCCAAAGGGGAGCGGGCAGCGCGGAGGGCTCACACGTCCGGGACGACCTTGGCATTTTCCGTCAAGGACACCGACCAGGACCTGGCAGCGTCCCCCGCTGGGGGAGGCGGGCGCAGGCAACCCGCTCCTCCAAGAGCGCCCTCCTGTAACCGCCAGAAACGGTGACTAATTTTACTTCAAAAATAAATACGTCAAAGCAAAAGCGGAGACATCCCCCTGGGGCAGGACTTCAAAGACAGCACCGCGCCCCGGACGCCTACACGCCTACGGCCCAGGTCGCCACCCTGCCGGCCTCCGCTGCCCACGGAGGCCCATGGGGTTTCCCGCCCAGCAAGCGCGGGTTGGACGTGACCCAGAGTAAAAACTTGGTAAAAGCCCCCTGGCTCAGAGTCTGCGGAGAAAGAGAAAAAGGCGTGGTCTCTCTGCGGCGCTCAGGGCCCCATGGGGGACGGGAGCTCGGCGGGCGAGAGGCGTGACCTCCAGCGGCCGGCGGCCTGGGCAGGGAGCGCGCCGGCGAGGCCCGTCCTCCCGCCGGGACGGCGGTGCCGGCCAACAGGCTGCACCTGCTTTTCACGCGGAAGAGAGGAGAGAACAAGGTCGTGAGCGCGTTTGAAAAGGCAGCAGAGCACCCGGCGACAAGCTAAGGGAGAGACAGCTCCGTGGGGTTGTCAGGTGAGAGCAACGATGCCAGACGAACGGACCGTGTGTGGCCTCAGTCCGTCTCTACTTAAAAAGTGTGGTTACCCATCCGGGAGGCGTGAGCAGCACGCGGCCTCCGCGGTAGCAGCAACGCAGGCGGCCCGGGCGGGGCGGCGGGACAGGCCTGTGTGACCAGCGGGCGGGGCCGCGGGACAGGGCCCCCCGGGCTCCCCGAGGAAGTGCACGCAGAACAGACCGCGGAGCCCCCGAAGGGACCCCGGCTGCCGGCCCCTCGCCAGAGTTAGCACCTGGGGGCCCTCGCCCCTCGGGGCTTCTGCCGCTGGTGGTGGTGAGCACCGAAGCCCAGAGGCTTTCTGTGCGCTGGGCCCCAGGGGCGCGGAGCCTCGAAGGCAAAGGGCAGCGGGCAGGGCCGGGCTGCTGGGAGGGGCCGCAGGGCGGAGGGTGGCCTGAGGCCCTGCGGTGGAGGCAGAGCTCCTCAGCTCCGCCCAGCGCTCCCGGGGGCCGCACTCGACACCCACGCAGTGCTGACCGGCCCCGGCACCTGCCCAGCCGGCCACACGGCCCCTGACGCTCCCCGCCCCCCGCCCCTGCCAGGACTCTCTCCGCGCCCCGCCGCCACCTTTGCGTTCGGCCCCGGAGCCCCCGCTGCGGGGTCCGCGCCTGCCTCTGAGACCGCAGGGCGGGCTTCTCGGCGCATGTCTGGGGGGCGGGGGCAGGGTAAAGGGGGGGCCGGAGGAGGGGCTGCAAGGGGTCGCGGACGGCCCCACCCCGGGCGAGGGAGACCCCTAAGCACGCACACACGGCGGGGGCGGCGCTGCCCCCGCCCCCGCGCCCAGCCCGGGGCCTAGGAGATCCAGGCGAAGTCCTTGTCGGGCGCCCCCGGGGGGCTGGGCGGCCCCCGCGGCGACCCCGCCTCGTCCTTGTCGTCCCCCAGCAGCGCGTCCTCCTGGGCCAGGCCGACATCGTCCTCCTCCTCGCCCAGCTCCTCCTCGCCCTCCCCCCGAGGGTCGTCGGGGTCCTCCAGGTAGGGCCCGTCGCCCGCGAAGAGCTCTGGGGAGCCCTCGGCGCCCCCGCCGTCCAGCGGGCCGGCCACGCCGCGGCCCGCACAGTCGGCACACACGCCGTGGCGCCGCGAGCCGTGCTTGATGCCCACGCTGGCGGCGGACATGAACGCGCGGCTGCAGAGCTTGCACACGTACTTCTTGTCCTTGCTGTGTACCTGCGGGGACAGGGGGACCGGTGAGGGTGCGGCTGGGCAAGCCGCGCCCTCTCGGAGATGGGCTGGCGGGGCTGCGCCCTCCCTCTCTGCTCGCCGGCGCCGCCGGGTCGGTGTCCCTGGGGCTCAGCGACTCCCCGCCGCGGGGGACCCCAACCGCCCTCCCGCCACGCCTGCCCACAAACCCCAGACCACGCGCGTCTACCACGCGAACGTGTGCTGCCCCCTCCAACTTGAGCAGGTCAGTGGGTGCAAGGTCTGGGGTGGGGCGCCCTCGAGGAAAGCCGGGGAGCCCCTCGGAGCCGGGCGCTGCCCACAGGCTCCAGCCCCAGGAATGGGGTCCCTGGGACCCTCCTGGGTCTTTTTTGTTTGGTACATTAAAAAAAAAGTGCTTATTTTTAGAGAGAGGGAGAGAAACATCCATGTATGGTTGCCCCCGCTGGGGACCTGGCCCACACCCCAGGCCTGTGCCCTGACTGGGAATCAAACCAGTGACCCCTTGATTCTCAAGCCGGCCTCCGTCCACCAAGCCACACCAGCTGGGGCTGTTTGATACATTTTAAATCCAGGGCTTCCTCACCCTCCCCCAACAAAAGAACAAAAACTCAAGGCCCAAACGCCCAGCCAGGCAGGGGCGCGGGCTGCGGGGGAGCTGGGCGGCAGCAGGGCACCGGGCCGGCAGGGCACGCGGGCCAGGACCAGATGGCCGGCACTCGCCCGGCCGCGTGGACTGCAGGAAGGAGGGGGAGGGGAGGGTGCCGGTGCCATGGCAACCACGGCTCAGCTCCGAGCGGCCTTCTCAGGGTCAGGGACCCTGGAGAAATTAAAGGGGACCGTACAGATCCCTCCTCTGAGGAAAACAAGCCCTCCCGGCTCCGGCAGGTTGTCAGGGATCTCTGACCTTCCCCGAAGCCCAAGCTCGAACCCGGGACAAAATCCCAAGGTAAGCAGGCAATGTGGACCCTGACCTCCAACGGGGTCGTGTTCCCCGAATCGCGAGTGCGGTTTTGCTGAAGACGAGAGATGCAGCTACCTAACCACGCGCGGCGGCAGGTGCGTGCTGGAAAACTGGGGGCGGGGGGGGGCTTTGGAAAGCGCCTGAGTCTCCAGCCACGACGCCGCACACCTGAACTAGCACAGAACGATCTCAAACATGAAAGGTCACTGACGAATAAAACCTGGAGTCCTTTACAAAAATCGTAATTGTGAAGGTGCTCAGGTCCCAGTGACCAGGACAACGAGCTTACAAATGCCACCGGCTGTGACCGACGACCTGCCGCAGACGCAGAAATCCCTGCCAACCGGCCGCCTCCGGCAGCGGGCCCCCTCCGGCCACAGCGCTGTTGACACGCTGCAAGCCGAGGGCTCCTCCGGCCGACCCGCGCCCTGGTTTCCTTTGGTCAGCACCACGCATGGTCTGAGGTCGCTGGCTCCTCACTTTTCCTACCAAATTACAGGCGCTTCCCTTCGCCCACGGTCGTTACTTTCGATGTTCGCACATCCGGGGTTGGGTGGTGAGGGGTTGGTCCAGCTTCTCACCTAACTCTGCCGACATTCCTAACCCGTAACCAACCAAAGCCACTGCAAGCCGGCCTCGGAAATCCACTTGTCCGATCGCCGGGGTGGGGCCACATAGCAACCTAGGCTACAACTTCTCTGCACTTGTTAGTGTAACAAACAAAAAGATACACTTCTCTTTGGACAGGAGGTTTCTCTCTCTCTCTCTCTCCTCTAAAGCGCTGGCTGAAAAGAGAAGGCAGGTTGCACCCCGGGAGGGAGCAGACATGCAGCTGGGGAGAGGGAGCTCGGAGTTGGGGCGTCGTGGGGGCCTTGTGCCCCTGGGCCTCCCGACGTGCCTCTCCAGGTCCAGGCTGGACCCTCCTGGGGAGCAGGGAAGGCCAGGACCCACCGGCGGCGCGGCCACTCGGGGACACTCGCTGGCTGGGGCTCGTGGCGCATCCCTCGGTCAGCGGGCCCGGGCCCCCACTCCCTGGAACGTCGCCCCTCCAGCTTTTGGATCTGACCCCAGAGGCTCTCCCCCAGGTGTCCTACCCCCCAACAAGTACCCCTGGGGGGCTGCCGGGGCAGCCTGGTGTGAAGGGTGGGCTGGAAGGTCCAAAGAGAGCCATGTCCCCGACGCAGCCAAGCCCCTGCGGCGCGGCTGGAGGCCCAGGCGGTGGCTCTGCTCCCCACACGGACCGACGCCCGCGGCGAAGACCCTGCTCGCGCCTGCGGTCACCCGCTCCGAGGCCGAGCCTGAGGGCCCGGCCTCACCCCACGATGCGGTCCCTTCACACCAGCATGGGCGGCCGCCCTCCCATGCTCCCTGGCGCCCCCCGAGATTCCCAAACTAGCGGCATTCCCCCAAGGCCCTCTACTGACCCCCACTCGAGCCCAGGGCCACCCCACCACCTCCCTTCAAACGGGTCCAAGCCCAGCCGGCCCCACCTGCAGAGCGCTTGCGGGGTGGGGGCGGGGGCCCAGATCCCGCGTGCCCCCCCTGGGCCGGCGGCTCCTCGGCAGAGCCGCTGGCGTCCCCGGCGCACCTCCCCACCCGCAGGCCCTCACCCCGTCTTCTGGAGGGACCTGCCCCCTTTCGAGGATGACCGTTCCATGTCCTGGCTGGGCAAACCCGCCCCTCAACCCGCGGCCCGACAACTGCGGGCTGGGTCCCCACGGAGACAGGGGAGGGGCATGGAGGGAGTGGCCTGGGTGGGACCCGGGGCAGGGCCAAGGGAAGGGGTCCCAGCCGGGGAGGCCGCGGGGCCCTGAAGGGAAGAAGGGAAACCGACGGGGCGAGGTGTCCCCGCCTGTGCACCCAGGCCTGGGGCGCAGCTGGGGCAACATGGGGCCAGCAGAGTCAGTTCAGGGTTTCCCAGGCCCCCAGACCACGCCCCGCCCCTGCCCGCCCCGCCCCCACGATCGCCCCGCCCCGCCCCACGATCGCCCCGCCCCCGCACTCACCAGCGTGTGCCGCTTCATGTGCTCGCGGCGCGTGAACTTCTTCCCGCAGATCTCGCAGGGGTAGGGCCGCTCGCCCGTGTGCGAGCGCATGTGGCGCTTCAGGATGCACTGGTGCATGGCCGAGAAGCTGCAGTACGGGCACTTGAACTTCTTTCTGATGACCGTGAACTCGTTCACTGGAAGAGAGCACAGAGCCGGTCACCGGGGCCGGCGTGCGCGGCCCGGCACCGACTGTCCCCCCAGGCCCCGCCCCCGCCCGGCACAGGGGTCCCGGGTGCCCGAGGCCAGGCTGACGGCCACAGGCAGCCGCGCCCTCCTCTCCCCTGTCGGCATCTAAAACGCAGGGGCGCCCAAGTGCGCCATCGTAGCAGGACCTCGGTGTCCCCACCGGGGAGCCGGAGGCCGGCCCGGAGCCTGCAGGTCTGCCCCCGGCCTCGGCGCCCGGTGCCCCGGGTGGCTCCACACTGTGAACTCCCAGAGGGAAGGTGCCGCCTGGTCCCCTCGGGGAAGCACTGGGTGGACAGAGCCGAGCGAGAGGCCAGGCCCACCCCAAACGCACAGCGCGGGCGGCGAGCGGCCTCCCTGGGCCTCCTCCGAGGGCCGCCCGGGGCCGGCTCCACACGGGACACAGCCCCGCACTGGGGGCGGCGGTCGCAGGTGTCAGCCCACACGCCACGGTCACCCCCTCCCGAGCCCGCAGGGTCCCCCCAGCGCCCAGGGGCCGAGACCTCCCGGGTTCCCGGGGACGGCCGAGAGCCGCCCAAGTCCTGTGGTCGCATGTCCTCCTGTGGGAGGAGCCCCGAGGCGGACACCTGTCCTCCGGCGTCCGGAGGCAGCTTCCCGGGCCCTCAGCCTCACCCCCACCCAGGGCGCAGCCCAAGGGTCAGGAACACTGGCCCCAGCCGAGCGCGGCTGCCGGAACAAGCGCCACAGGAGGGGGACGGCGGTTAGGCCAGGATGGCCTCCCACTGCGCCCTTGAACCCTCGCAAATGCCAGGACCTGGCCACGGTCACAGCCGCCCCTGGGGGCACCGAAAGGGAGGCAGGCGTGAGGACAGGAGCCACAGGGGCGCGGGGTGCGGGGCGGGGGCTGGGCCTTTCCCTAGGGCTGGGGGCGGCCGGGCGGCCGAGGAATGACCAGCCGGGGTCCATGAGCTCCACGCCCCCCGGGCCTCCCACCGTGTCTGAGTCAGGGACCCCTCAGCACCATCTGCTGGCAGCGTGGCCCCCACAGCCCCGACTCCCAGCCCCCGACTCTGTGGAATGCGCTGCCGGCAGGGTCCCCAGCAGGGGGCGCACGAGAGGCGACCCCACCGGGATGTTTCTCTCCCTCTCTTTCTTCCTCCCTTCTCCTCAAAAAATAAGTAAAATCTTTACCAAAAAAAATCGAGCAACCAGAGTCCCAGGTTTTCCAGCAGGGGACAGCGAGGCCGCCGGCCGGGGGCCCCGGCCAGGCCCGCGCCCGGAGCTCTCTGCGCTGGAGCCTCCCGCGCCTGCTACGATCTGTGCACACCCGTGCTCCCCGGCAGGTGGGCAGCAGCGTGGCTCCGCCGTGCCCCTCGCCTTCGACCTGTGGCTGTCACGAGCTCCGTTCTCGTTTGTGTTACAAAACCCACAAGAGACTATGACCGTTGCTCCACACGCCGGGACCACCGTTTCTGCTGGTCACACGGACACTCCTTCCTGGAGCTCCTGCCCCCTCTTCGGTCTGTGGACGTTCCTGGGGGCTCAGGCCGTTGTTACGGCTTCTTGTCCGCGGCGGAAACTCCTCTCACTGCTGTTGGGTTGCGCGGCGGTGTCTTCCTTCAGCCTGGGTTTCCGGAGGACGCTTTGGCTGGGCAGAGGGCCCTGGGTTGGCCCCTTTTCCGCAGCCCTTCGCTGACGGCCTTGCCTGGCGCGAGCCTCTGCGGCTTCTGTCGGACGGCAGCCTCCGTCGGCTCCTCTGAAAGATGCTTTTTTTCCCTCGGGCTGCTTTTTCGACTCTTCGGCCATTGGTTTGCAAGAGTTTGACTGTAACGTGCCCAGAGACCGCGTTGTGTTGCTACCGCTCTTGTGTCGTTTCGGTTTCCATTCTGCACTGGGGTTACAAAGCTTCGTGACGCTGGGCACGGGTGTCTTTCACCTGCTGAGGGAAATTCTCAGCGGCCGTCTCCTCGGGTCCTCCTCCTGCCGCGCCGTCTGCCCTCGGCGCTCGGGGAGCCCAGGGGTACGTCCACGCCGCGCCCCTGCTCGCCGCTCCCTTTGCCTCCCCCGCGTTCCCTTCTCCCCCTCTGAGCCGGGGCGCAGGGGTTCCCTTTGCTCCGCCTCCCACGTCCCTCGGCCCGTCTCACGCCGTCTCTACGCTGCTATCGACGTGCCCCAAGGGATTCTTCTTCGTTTCGGGTGTTGCGTTTTCAGTTTCAGACTGTTCACGTCACTCTTTTCTAGGGATTCCAAGCCTCTTGCAATGCTCCCTCTTTTGATCTGTTTTGTCCGCTGACGGTTCCGTGAGCGCGTTGGTCACGGGTGTCTTCCGGTCCCCCTCTGGTGACTATGACGTCATCGACTCTGCTGCGTGGCGACTGTGGCCACTTCCTTGGCACAAAACACTGCTCCTCTCGGCTCGGCCTGTTCCCTGCCCAGCGCTTGGGAGCTGTGCCCGAGGAAGCTCCGGGGTGAGAATACAGCTCGTCGCCGGCGGCGGCCATGCTGCGGGTCCCGCCTGTGCGGGCGGCTCCCCAGGGCTGTGCACGTGTGCGCATGGGAGCGGGAGCTGCCCGGAGGGTAAGCCCAGCACAAAAGCGTCATCACGAAGCGGGAGCTTCAGAGAGCTCCCTTCAAAATAAACGAATGTGCTTTCTTTCACACCCGAGTTCTACGCGGCTGCTAAAACTGACCGGGATCAAAACGGAATTCTTGGTTTTAAATGCAGTTGAAGTTAGTGAATTAGCACCCGCAAGGGTGTGGAGGAGGCTTCCCTACCCCCCACATAGGCCCACAGCGCGCACCCAAGTGCACGAGGCCTCCCGTCCACATTTTGTGAAAATGGCCGATACGCTGAGAAGCCCCAAACGAACGTCGAGACGAAGCGGCAGTGCCTCCGGCAGGGAGGGGCCCTACGTGAGGGGCCAGCCCTTCGTCACCGAAGTGCTCGCTCGATGTTGGAGAAACATCGGGGTTACATTTCCGTAATTAAAAAACAACACGACTCTTGAAATCAACCCCTGAGCACCAACGTTTCAGTGAAAAACTCACCGCAAGGAGGAGATGGGAAATTCTCATGGTGGAGTCGGACGCCGCCACGGGAAACCGCGGACGCGGGGTGGCCGCTCAGCCCTGAGGGACAGGACGTTGGACACAGGGACAGAACCGAACAGCGGTTCATCCTAAGAATGTTCCTTACCTCCCTCTTCGTTGTAGCGTCCCGCACAGGCCTGCTCCTTTTAGGTGCAGCGGGACCTGTCTAATATTTGGTAATTGTCTTGAAAACGTAACCAAAGCCCTTCAGCCCCGCGGTGCAGAGAGACGCTCCAGAATTCAGGTCTGCCCGCGGCCCCATCCCGCGCCCGCGGCCCCGGGGGCAACGTCCCCAGCCGCCCGGCCCTCCGTTAACTCAGAGCTGACAGGCGGGCAGCCAGGAATCCACGCGCACAGGCTGCTCCTGCCACAGCGACCGCACGGCGCCAAGACCCCACGTGACAGCGAAGAGAGAAAAGGACGTCTCTAGCCGCGACGTTCGGTGCCGAGGGCGCTGACCCAACCGGGGCCTTGGGAAGGGCGCGGGGCGCCGGCCGACCCGCCTTTTAGCTCCGGGGGACTCGGGGGCCCGGCGGCCTTGGCAAGCACCCGGGGCGGGCGGGCGAGGCGCCGCCGAGCAGGCCTGGGAACGGGGGTGGGGCTGGCCCCGGAGCCCACCGCCCCCGCCGCCGTGCGCTCCGGCCGCCTGCTCCCTCCCTCCGGCCGGCCAAGGCCAAGCCCGCTGCTCCGCGTGGTGAGCGGAAGAGCGAGAGACCAGAGAGCGGCAGCAGCCAGGGCGCCGGCACGCAGTCTGGGCGGGTCTCCCGCGGGGTCTGTCCTTCGTGCTCGGAGAGAAACGCTGTGGGGCTCGCGTGCGAGGGTGCGGCCCCGGGCTCCGTCCTTGGATCTTTCTAGAAAGTAACAGAGTTGGAGCCGTTTGGCTCCTCTCCCCGTGGGTTGGGTTCCCTGCCCCTCGGCTGCCGCGCGGCTCCACATGTCGGCACAAACCCTTCCTGACTGTCGCCTGGAGGCTGCGGGCGCCCTGCCTACCGGGTGGGCGCCGAGAGGTCTCCCCCGGCCACCTGTGTGGGCTTGGAGTGACCGCTTTAAAGGCACAAATAGACGCCTAGGCCCAGTCCCATCGGCCCGCGGCCACCGGGACCTGCACCTCAGGCCCAGCCGGGGCGGAGGCGCCTGTTTCCACGGCGCGTTTTCCTTGTGGGTCCTGCGCTGACCTCAGGGTAAAGCTGGCCGGGCCCAAGGGCTCTGTGCCTGGCGCCGGCCCCTCGCAAAGCCCCCCAGGCGCTGGCTGCAGCCAAGTCCGGGGAGGTCCCACGCCTCAGCCCGGGTCTCCAGGTCCCGGGAGAGGTCGACCAACAACGAGAGACAGGCCAGTCATACGCCGCCAGGACAGGACGAAACCAAGAGCACTGTCAGAGCAGGAGGCTTCGCCCCTTGGACTCGCCGGTCCCAGTCCGGCCGCCACCAGGGGGACCGGTCACGCATCTGGAAAGGAAGGCTGCGGCGAAGTCTCGGGAACGGATGCCCAGGAGAAAGGTCCGCGTTCCGAGAACACCAGTGCGTCCCCGATGCGTCCTGTCAGAAAGGGCCGCAGGGGCACAGTGTCCCGTCCATCTCGAGCCTGGAGTTTGTGGCCCAGCTCCCCTCCAAGGCTTGGTTTTCCTCAGGGGGACAGAGAGGAGCTGCCGGGCTCTGCTTCCGAGGAGAGGCAGGGAGGGCCGGTCCGGGGCCCCACGTCGCCGCGGGTCAGTGCGGCCTGGCGTCCGGAACCCTCGGCTTCCCGAGTCGGACGCCTCTCCCTGGACAAAAATTCCTCAGGGAAGTAGTTTCGTTTAAGTACGAGAACCAATTTAACTTCTTACAGCCTGTCGCCGTGAGAGTGAAACAACTGTTGCGAAAGCGGCTCCGAGCGAGCGGAGGGCTCCGCCCGTTCCCCGGGCCAGGCGCTCACAGGCAGGACGCCGCGCCGGGGCCGCGCCGGGCGTGGGCAGCGGGCTGGCTGTCCCCGGCCTGCGCACTGGGCCGAGCGACAGTGGAGCGAACACTCTGCGGCCCCGTCCCCCGCTGGGGCGCGGGCTGGCGCCAGGCCCGGGGAGCACGGGACGCGACTCTCGGCTGCGGGACCAGCAGCCGTGGGTGGCGCTGAGCGGGTTCCGGAAGCGCCAACCTCGACCGTCCTGTGGCGAGCGGAGCGCGTGTGTGGCGAGCGAAGCCGGGATCTCACTGCAGTGGGCGCTGTGGGCTTCTCTCCAGGTCCCGACAGCCACAGGTGCCACGGTCTCCATGGGTGACTTGTCCGGGGTGCGGGTCTCTTTCCCACAGGACTGTCACCCAGAAAGTCGCAACACGTCACGAGGTCAGGCTGGCTCTTTCTCAAACGCCCTCTCGCAAGAAATCGTTGCAAGTGCCAGCGTCCGTCGACCCTGGCAAAGGCCCCGGTGCCTCTAAAAACACCAGGAGACGGTCCTCCACCCGCGCGCGGCCTGACCGAGCTCGGCCGCAGTGGCTCCCGGACGGGCCTCCTCTCCTGGGGCCCTGCAGGCAGGCCAGCCCCGCGGTCGCCCTGCCTGGTCGCAGGTGGTGAAACGGGCGTGTGGGGGCTGGCGGACCCTCGGCCTGGCCCGGCAGAGACGCAGCAAGGCCCACACAGGGGGCGAGTGGCATTCTCAGCGGCGAGGACAGACCAGCCACGTGGGGGCAGCACAGACTGCCGCCACCGTCGGAGCCTGTGCGGAGGCCCTTGGGGAGGAGACAGGATGGGGTCCAGGCCAGGGGAACACGCTGAGGAGCCGGGACAGCAGAGGGCACTGGAGGCCGGACCTCGCCACAGCCACCGTGTCCAGTGACATCGCAGTCTGCTCTTTGTCCCCCACAAAACCTGTCTGCTTGCCCCTCAGCTGCGTGTCCGGCCGCCGGACCTGCCGATTGTAAATCCCAGACGCCCACGTGCCCTGGGACCACCTCCTTTAACTGTCCCAGGATCCGCACAAGGCCGGTGGTTTCTGTCCAGTCACTGCCTTCATCTGGGAGTGGGCAGGACCGACACCCCGTGCTGATTGCCCACTTGGCTGAGGTGTTTGCTGTTTTGCAAACACTGTTGTTGTTTTGTTTTTTTTTAAGAATTTATTTATTTATTTTTACAGAGAAGGGAAAGGAGAGAGGGGGAGAAACATCAACGTGTAGTTGCCTCTCGCGCGCCCCCTGCTGGGGACCTGGCCCGCAGCCCAGGCAGGTGCCCTGACTGGGGATCGAACCGGCGACCCTGTGGTTCGCAGGCCGGTGCCCAGTCCACGGAGCCGTACCAGCTGCGGCTGCTCTGCCTTAAACTCGCAATAACTGGGTGAGAGACGCTGCCCCCGAGTTTCTGATGCACAAAATGAGGCCTGAACGTGCGACTGGAGCCTTGCCCGACGCCCAGCGCTCGGGCGGCCCCAGCCCCGCCCCGTGCACCAACCCTGCGTCGCCCCGGCAACGGCCCCCGATTCAGCACAACAAGGGGAGCGTGCGCGGCAGTTCCAGGTTCCGTCTTTACTGGCCGTCGCTGTCTTCATCACTCCCACACGAAAGCTGAAGCACGTTAGTGCTCATGAGAAGTTATAAAAATGTTGGATTTTAAAGTAAAGATGAGAACACAGATCCGTGTCCGCAGCCCCCAGTGCCCAGGACGCTGGCAGCTCTCCCTTCCTGCCTTGGGGCCGAGGACCCCTCCCCACCCTGTCACTCAGGCCCCGCTCCCAACACACTCGGGCCCCAGGGCCACCGGGTGTGGCGCCGCCCGCTGTCCCCACGCGCCTCGCCTCCTGTGTGGGGTGTGCCCCCTCCCCCACAGAGAACCAGGGCCCCCACCCCCGCTCGCCCACAGTGCGCGGGGCACCAGCCAGACCCGGTGTTTCCCCCTGGTGACCGCTCTTTGCCGCCCATGGGCAGCGGCCACCAGCGTCCCCACAGCCGCTCTTCAGAGCGCCCGTGACGGGGAAGTGGCCCGCGGCTCGGGATGGGAGGTGCTTGCGCTGTAAACACCACGTCCGACCCCCTTTCCACGACTCACGGGCAACCAGCATCATCTGGTGAAGGCAGAGCCAGGAGACACGCCCCGGCCTCAGCTCCCTCCCAGCTCTGCCCCTGGAGGGAGCCTCGGCGCGGAGGTCGGGGCGGCGCTGGCCGAGGTGGCCCGAGCCCGCCCCCCGGGCCCGCCGGCCGGGCCCACACAGGCGCCCCGTCCCGAGCCTCTGAGCTCCAGCGGGTTTGAGGTCCGAAGGGGCACACGCTGCCCGCCCCGTGGTCCTGACAACCACACGACCTCCCTGACACACCTCAGGGGTCGTAGGGCACCACGGCCCACAGCCAGGCGCAGCGCCCGCCCCCGCCGCCTCCTGGGCCTGCAGCCGGCCGCTCCTCTCAACACTCAGCGTCAGGGCGCAGCGGCCGCGGGCGGGCACTTACGGGACAGGGAGTGGGTGCCCTTGGGCAGGTACTCCAGCAGCAGGGAGCTGTCGTCCCCCAGCGCGTCGGCCTTCAGCGACAGCAGGCTGTTCTTGCTCATGAGCGCCGCCCGCAGGTTGGCCACGGCGGTGGCCTGCTGCAGGGCCTCGTCCTTCTCGGGGGTGAGGGGCGGGCCCAGGTAGCCGGCCTCGGCCCCCAGGAGGCCCTCGTCCACATGGCTGTAGAGGTCCGCCCGCTCCCCTCGGCTGTCAGAGCCGCCGGCCTCGGTGACGGTCAGGTCGGAACCTGGGGGAGGAAACAGACACGCAGGTCATTTCGAGACTCTCCGCGCAGGAAGGAAGCGAGGGCGGCCCAGGCCCTCAGGCTGCTGTGACTCTGCGGGCTGTCGCCCCCAGGACACTGTCCAGCCACCCGCGACACCGCCGAGTGCAGAGCAGCGCGCCAGCACTTCCGCCGCCTCCGGGGGGGGCGCGGTGTGGGCACCGGCCGCCGGAAGCACAGTGTCGCCCCACAACGCGGGGGCACATCCCGGCGTCTGCCTTCCCCCCGCGAAACGCCTACCCTCTGAGGCTGCGTTTCTGGAGCCCTGGTGTCCTCCCGCACCTGGAAGGAATATCCTCGGCACCTTGTCCTGCCGTACGGTGACGCAGACCCAGCGGAACCTCGGAGCAGCGGTCCGCTCTGAAGGCTGGGGATGCCGCAACGCCAAGCGAGACGTCTGCCCGCGCCCCGTGTTTCACGGACTCAGAGACGCGCGGCCGCCAGCCTCCGGGCCCCGCCACCAGGCGCTGCCCCGCGGCCGCGTCTGCCCTGACGCTGACTTCTGGACTTGGGGGCAGCGTGGGTCCTTCCAGGACGCACTGTCCTTCAAATGAGGACACAGAGCGGAAGCGTCCCGAGGAAGAGCGTCTGGTGGTGAGGACCCGCCCGAGGGGCCGCGGGCGCGGCCGTGGGGACAGGAGGGCGGGGCCCGGGCTGCCGCGGGCAGGACGCAGGCGCCCAGACCGTCGCCACGGGGGTGCCTGGCCTGCCCGGGTCGCCCCAGACCACAGCTCGGGCTCCGAAAGAGGAATTCAAGGCAGCGACGTCAAAAGTGAAATTCTCCAAGCAGAATGGGAAGTGGAAGGCGGTGCGGGTCTGCGGCCCGCGTGTGACGCCCTGGGAACAGGACGCTGGGGGCCGCCGCGGGGCCCCTGTCCTGGCAGAGCTGGGCCCTCGGAACCACCGGGCACTGCAGGCGGAGCGGCCGTCCCAGGGCGGCCGCCCGCGGTGGCTTTTCTTTAGCGGCCTCGGTTAGTTACGGGTCGAAGTGACCTCAGGTGGTGTTTTCCCTTCCAGTGCCCACCTCCCGGGGCCCCCTGGGCGGCGGGGAGTCACAGCCACAGCCCAGGGGGCCGGGCGGGAGGGCTGGGCTCGGACCCGCAGCTCCAGGTCGCTCGGCCGTAGATGCGGGGCAAACACGCCCCCCGCCCCCGAAGAACACCACCATCACGAGGCAAGGATGACAGCCTCCGACGTGGGGGGGCAGCCCGGCCCTCTGACCCACGTGACTGCTGACGGCACCCGTGCGTCTTTGTGGGGGGGCTGGCGTCGATCCAAGGCAACACGTGACAAGGGAGACTCTTTGGGGCAGGGACGTCCGCCTGTGGCCCCTGGGTCACACGCGGCCCAGGACGGCTGTGCGCACGGCCCAACCCAAAAGCGTGCATTTACTTAACATCGAGGAGTTTTTTTTTGTGATTCCGTGTTACAACGTATTTGATATGTGGCCCAAGGCGACTCTTCTTCTTCCACCGTGGCCCAGAGTCGCCGAAAGGTTGGACGCCAAAAGGTGTGACCATTGGCGTATCCTCCCGTGTTTGGCCTGTGAACAGTTCTCTGTGGCAAACGCAGGTGCGGTGACCTAGGAAGACGCTGTCGGCGACACGGGAAACGCGCGAAGCGGAGGGCCAGCTGGGGACGAGGGTGGCTCTGCGTGTCAGGGGCAACGTCCCCGTAGGTCCCTCCGAGGAACTGCAGGCAGGCCGCTCAACCGGCTCAACCAGCGGCTGTGGCCGCCTCGCCCCCGTGGCCCCCACGCACGGCCTGCGTCCGTCCCGCGGGGACAGGCAGGGCTGAACTGCACACCCCGTCCGGGGGCCGGAGCGCCAGGGGGTCCCGCCCAGGCGCCGCCTCCTGAAAATCCCCATGAGTGAGCAGGCTGCACGCTCGGCCCCGCGTCTGGATCACATGCGGGTGGGGCCCACAGGCTCGTTGGTAACTCAGCAACTCGGGGTGTTCCCTTCACCCGGAAGTGCCACACACGTGTGCACATGCGTGCTCAGGGAGTTGGCGTGGCACCTCAGCCCCTGGCCCGTGTTATTCCGGCCCCCGACACGCTGCCCCAGCCGCACGCTGGACGTCTGCCTCCCAGGACACTCGCCGGGTGGGGCGACCCCTGGGCACCAAGGGCCTGGACCGTGTCATTTTCTGTCCGTTTTTAAGGTGAAATCTATAAACTTTAGCCCTGGCACCGTCTGCGGAGCACGGCCCCGCGGCACCGAGCACGCCCCCACTGTTGGCCCCCGGCACCCCCGCCCCGCCCGGGACTCTCTCCTCTTAGAAAACGGACGCTCTGTCCCCTCAGCACGCAGCCCCCCCCTCCCCGCCCCGGCGCCGGCCTCCTCCTCTGCCTCCGCGGCTTTGGCTGCCTCAGGGCCCCGTGCCGCTGCGTCACGGCCTGCGCTGCGCAGCCTGCGTCCTTCCTGCCACGGAGCACAGTGTCCTCGAGGCTCATCCGCATGCAGGCTTCAGAGTCTCTTTCCTTCGGACGGCAAGAGTCTCGCTGTTTGAATGAACCACAGCTTGTTTATCCATCGGCCGCAGGGACACTGTGTTGCCCTGGTAAACGCTTTCGAATGAATGAATGAAATGAAAAAGGAAGGAAGGGAAAGAAAGAAAAAACCACCAAACAGGGGCCCGGGCTCTTCGCAGCCTCAGGAGGCCTTGGGGCAGAGGAGGGGTGGCTGCCCCGGCTGACGGCTTCTCCCCGGGGAAGGCGTCCGCCCGCAGCCGCGAAGCTGAGTCCGAATCCGTGCTTTTATTTCACACTTCGAAGTCAACGCTCACCTGTGGCGCCATTTTGAATTTCCCAGCGTACGAGCCACGCTTGTCCCTTGACAGAGAGGCCCCTGCTCACCGTGAGCGGCGCGGGGTCCCCAGCTCGGGCGCTCGGGTCAGGCGGCTCCAGGCCCCCTCCCCCGACCGCGCCCCGGGCCCACGGCTCTCGGGTCCCGCGCTAAACCTACACCTACAAACTGCCAGGGAAGACTCCCAGGAGAAACCTATGGGGCCTCAGCGAAGAGGAGCCTTAGATGAGACCCAGGAAGCACACGCCCTGCCAGAAAACGCGCCCGAGCCGGACAGGCAGCGCTAAATCAACCAGGAGCCAAAGGCCGGGAGGAAGTGTTCGCGCAGCACACGTGTGAGGAAGGACATGTAATCAGAACAGAGGAAGCGCACTCGCCCGGCGATGACCAGCGGGCAGAGCCTCGAGCACACGCCCCGAAGGGGCGGGGTCCACGGCCGACCCGCGCAAGCAGACGCCCGTCACCGTGGCCGCAGCCCTCGGGTGCGCCACACAGGCGCTCAGCGGCGACACACAGACCGGACCCCACCCCCCAGCAGGCACCTCGGGAGGAGAGACAGGCGAGCGGCCTCACGGGACGCGTCATGGCCAAAAATCTCTCACGCAGCCAAATGCCCGTCCACAGCGGAACGAACAAGGGAGTTGTGCCGCGGCCACGGAACCGAACAGCATTTGGCAGCAACAGGAGGACTCAGCGAGGCCACGGCGGCACCGATGGCACTCGGACACACAGTGAACATCACAGGCACAGAGGCAGGCCCGTGGCACCCCAGCGCGGCTGGGCGGGTGGTCACACGCGGGCTGTGCCGCCACCGACCCCCTGGGCGTGGCTCTGACTGTCCTGTGCGAGGTGAGGCCGTGGGCGGAGCCGCGGAAGGCACGCGGGTCGCTCTCTGCTATCCTGCAGGGTCGGTGACTAACGTAGCCCCGGCTGGCGGCTCCGTGGGTTCGAGCGTCGCCCCGATGCACCAAGGCTTTGGGTTCAAATCAATAAATACAAAATTTAAAAACACACCGTTGATTATTAATCAACAGTCGCCTCACAAGGAGGCTCTCTGGGCGGAGGGTGAGCCCGGAGGGGCCGCCTGGGGGTGCGGCGGGATGGGGTCGGGGGCTGCCTGGGGGCAGGAGGGAACGCCGCTGGCAGTGGGAACGGCCTCCCCCCGGCCCCACAGGCACAGCGGCGGGGCATGCGGGGCCGTGGCCCTGAGCCCCTCGCACTCCCGTGAGGGGCAGGGGGCAGCCACGCAGGGAATGTCTGGCCCGGACCCGCTGCTCCCTGGTGTTTACTCAGGAGAGATGGGAACGCGCGTCCGCAGAACAGCCTGGCCAGCAGCGGACACAGAAGCTTCATTCACAACAGCAGCCCGGCCGCGGCTCCGAGGCAACCGACACGAGGCCGGACCAACACACACCGGTGCGTCCAGGCAACAGAACACGCACCACGATCCACAAGGTGTGACCCAGGGACACCGGCACCGCCCTGGCCGGCTCCCGCAGCGCGGCCCCCCGCCTGGCCTGCCCGCGGCCTGTGCTTCGTCGCCCCAGAACACGCTCCAGCTCTTCCTCGGGGCTTCCTCTGGGCGGGCGCGGTGGCGGGGACCCCCAGTTTCTCCCGGCGCCCCGAGCGGGAACGGCCGCTCCACCGGCCGCTCAGCGCAACCGAGGGCGAGCATGGCCTCGTCCACGGAGGCTCGGGCGCAGAAGGTCACATGGTGCGACCCTCCCCCAGCCAGACACTCACTCTCGCCCTCTGCGCTGTCCGCCCCTGAACTCTGCGCCCCTGGCCGCCCCTCCCAGGGGCGCTGCTGCCAGCAGCGGGTTCGTGGTCACCAAGACAGAGCCCGGGTCCCCGCTCGCACCTGAAGCAGGGACGTGCATGGGGGCGGGGGCAGTTGAGGGCTCAGGAGGGAGGAACAGGTGAGTGGGGGCCCGTGTCTTGGGCCGGCACCCGCCTGGGCCACACAGGGTTGTTTTCATTCAGCCCCGCTTCCCCCCAAATACGGTATCACACTAAGCGAGATGATTCTCCTCAACAGAGATGATCGAACGGCTTGAAGGACAGTCGGGGGCGGGCGGCGGGGAGGGAAGCTCGCCCGAAAGTGGCCGGAGCCGCTTCGCCGCCTCCCCGAGCGCCCGGAGGCCTGCGGCCCTGGGCGTCAGCCTGCCACCCGTCTCCGATCGCGTCGTGGAACCGAGGTTCCAGCTCCTCCGAGCAAGTCCCCTTCTGTGTCCCAGGCGGCCCAGGACAGCGCTTGCAGGCAGGTGTGGCGGCCGGCAGACGGCCCGAGAGGGAGGCCACCCACTTCGGACCAACTCTTGCCTCGGCCCCAGGGACGTGCTCCGAGGGGCCAGGACCCTCCGGCTCAGCTGAGAAGGGCCGCTGAGCCACCGTCCCCGCCCGGAGCAGGGGAGAGGCTGCCCGGTGGGAGGAGCCGCCGCCGCCCACCTGTGGCTGTTCTCTGGGTCCCCAGCATTCACGACACTCCCACTGTGCCGTGGTCTCAGTTCTCGTGCGCCCACCCAACCCCACCTCCCTGCGAAGGACACACCGGTGCCAGCGGCTCGGGGTCCGTCCGCCCGAGGCTCCCGGGCTCCTCCTGAGCCAGTCGGCACGAACCGCCACCTCGCAGGCCCGAGGCCGCCTGCAGGATCACAGCCGGGCGAGGCTGGCGCGGGGGCGGGCGAGGGGCGCGCAGGCCTGGCAGGAGGTCTGCCCACCCAGGCCACAGGCCGTCACCGTAGGCGCACGCCCTGCACGTTTCAACGCGACTTCTTCCCACGCCTGTCCCACAGGCGGACGCTGTGATGGATCGTGTTCCCTGTGGACGTTTCCGTGGAAGCTGCCAGGTGAGGATGCACTGGGTGTTTAGCTCAGGAAAAAATCACTCCGATCGCGGACAGGCGCCCTGGCACCACGGCGGAGGCGGGACGCAGAGGGGTCAGAGTGGGCGGGCGCCTGCAGGACCGGACGCCGGAGACCCCGTCTGTGCCCCAAACCACGTGCGGTAGCCCCGTGATGGGTTCCCCTTGGGGAAGGGCCTCCCCCGCCCATACGCGGGCTGGGAAGAAAACAACCCTGTTCTCTGAGATGCAATAGATCCTCCGCGAAAGCCCAGTGCCCCCCAGTGCGGAGCCCAGCCTGCGCTCCCGAGCCCCGGCCCAGGGCCAGGGCGGGCGGCGTGAGCAGGCAGACCGTCCCACGCGAGCGCCCAACCTCGCGCCCTTGTCTTAGCAACTCAGAACAGTCGGGTGGGAGCGGCTCACGGTTTCCTTGGAAACCCCAAGGATTTAAGACGTTCGCAAGAGCACGCAGCAGAAATCACTTGTTGGATTCTAAAAACACCTTCTGCTCGACAAGTGCGTGTAAAACAGCAAACCCACGGCTCAAGGACGCTGCCGTTTCTCAGTGCGTCGACGGACTCTCCCGTCTCCGGCCCCCAGTGTCACCGCCCGCGGGAGACGGGCCGCCCCGGACAGCGGTGAGGGCCCCTCTCCACCGACCGCCGCAGCAGCCTCGGCAGCACAGAGCCTCTGTCCTGGTCGTCCACCGCGGATGGCGGCGTGTCGGGCTCTCGTCACAGTTAGGAGCCGGTAGGGACACCACTGACAGCCAGCAGGGGGACAGGCGCTCTCAGCTCAGACGCCCAGCCTTCTTCTGACTCAGTTCAACCCCAAAGGTTCTGGGGGGCTGCCTGTCGGGGGCATTTGCCAGGTCTGGGGTCACCAGCGGGCAGACGCCTGGGCCTCAGGACGCCCCGCCCAGCCGCCAGGCTGAGCCCTGGTCAACCACAAACATGCAGCAGACACACAGTAACGAGAAGAGGGGAATGGATACTCCCGGCTACAGTGTCTCCTGGGCTGCTGTGCGATGGATACAGAGTTGCAACTTGGGGATAAAGAGGAAGTTTCGGCAACGGGGGAGAGAGGCCCCACAACAGCTAGAACACATCTAATGCCAATGAATCATGCACTTAAAAGTGGCTGAAGAGGTGTGTGTGTGTGTTTTATGACAGTGCAGGGGGACGGGGGTGCTCCTTCTACTGAGGGGAGCGGGAACGGGGCTCCCCAGGGGCCCCGGGACGCTTTCCGGGCAGGGCAGCGGGGACCCCCACGGGCGCAGGGCGTTTCGTACTTGTGACACTTTCCATCGCCCCACGGTTTGCTGCCTTCCGTCCACCTCTGTGCACCCACTCGGTTGACTTCCTACCTTCCCTCTGGACAGGACCCTCCACGGCGGACACTTGCTGAGCAGCCTCCGTCCCGAACTGGACCAATGCTGGGCGGTCCCTGAGCCCCACCCACAGCCCCAGGAGCCCCCGGGCGCCCGGCGCCCGTCTGCCACTAAGAAAGGCTCGGCCTGACCCTCGTAACTGCCAGAAGGAGCACCTGACAGGCAGTGAACATTGACTTGGCTGTTTACTCCTCTGAGAGACAGATACAAAGTATCCTCCATAGGGTGAGAAGCAGCCAAGCCGCCAGCCCTGCACTGGGTGGTGAGCCCAGCGGCCCGAGACAGAAACGCCAGGGAAAGCCCCGGAGCGAGCCCGGGCGCCGGTGGCTCCGTCAGCATCACGCACCGCCACGGGCCCGCATGCAGCGCCTGAGCCCCGCCTGGAACCGAGGGAGGGCTTACTTGAGTCGCGGATGCTGAACGGCCACCCGGAGGTCGGCAGGAAGGACGGCACCGGGGAGCCGGCCCGGCTCTCGTCCTCCACCTGCTGCGTGATGTGCCGGACGGTCTCCTTGTTTTTCCGGTTCTTCCTCCGGCCTGTGGGCTGCCAGCCGTCCCCGCCGGCCTGCTCGGGGAAGGCGTGCTGGGGCGCCCCGTCCTGGGCCGCGGCCGGCTCGCCGCCCCCGTAGGGGGGCGGGGAGGCCTGCTCCTCCTTGATGCGCAGCGGCCCGTAGCCCACGTCGCCCGGCCACAGCGACTGCGAGGACAGGTCGTCCGAGCCGTCGGCCTTGGGCTCCTGGTCCTCTTTGCCGTAGCTGCTCCCTCCCTCGTGGCAGCTGGCGATGGCCGAGTCTCCGGAAGAGTTGGTGGGGCTCGCGCGCCGCGCCAGCCACGGGGAGATGCTCCTCCCGGCCATGACGGCGGAGATGAGCGCGTCCGCGCCGCTGCCCGGCGGGGCGCCCACCTCGAACTCCGAGAGCTCGTCCGAGGCGTCCGGCTTGATGCTGATGTCCAGGGCGGCCTTGATGAAGTCGTGGCAGGCCTGCACGATGTCCGTCATCTGCAGGAAGCTGGCCGCGGACATCACCTCGATGACGTTGCGGCTGGTGAGGGCCAGGTGGGCGGAGTACATGAAGTCGATGATGGCCTTGAAGCCCTGGGCCGTGACGATGTCCAGGTGCGTGACCGTGGCCGGCTCGGACGTCTTCTGCACCTGGCAGTACAGCGTCTTGAAGTAGCGGCTGCTGCCGAGCAGCACGTTCTTGTGCGCCTTGAAGACCTTGCCCTCCACCACGACACACACGTCACACAGGACGCCGTGCTGCCTCTGCTGGTCCAGCTCACGCAGCAGGTGCCGGTAGTGGGACGCGATTTCCATATCTTCCTTCCGGTTGTTCATCGGGAAGCCGGGTGCTGCCTCTTCTACAGGCCCTGTGGGGACAAGACGGGACAGTTACCCACACGCGGTTGGCCCGGCGCGCCCGGTGGTCGGCGGCGAGTCCGCGGAGCAGAGCCCGGGGCCCAGGGGACGGGGGTGGGGGGGCCCGGCCACGCTCGGGAAGGAGAGGGAGCTCCTGGTTCAAGGCCGGGACACAGATTTTGGGACAGAGTCCCCCCAACACCGCGAACCCTCCACACAAAAAGCATATATCCCAGAAACAGGGAAGGCGCCCATCAGGAGTCGAAGCAAATTTCTTACCCAAACGGAAAACCTAGGGCATGTAACCTGTGTCCTCACCCCTCACCCTTGAAGGAACATCCTTAAAAACAGAAAGAGAAGAATGACTTTCCACAGGAAGCCGGCGAGCAACGCGTTGGGTGCAAGCCACCCGGTCACCACACCGCCTCCCGCTGGCGGCCGGCGCCCCAGGTCACCCACTCAAGGCCCCGCGTCCCCAGCCTGTGTCTCCCAACCCGCGTGGCTCGTCCTCCCGCTTCGCCGCCTGCGCCTGCGTGAGCTCCCCCGGGACGAGGGGCCGTGGGCCAGCAGCCGGAGCAGTAGCTCGTCGTCCGGAGGCCTGAGCCCCCAGCCAGGGCGTCGCAGGGTCAGTCCCGCGGAGAATCCGAGGGAGGGGGCGTCCCTGCCTCTCCGGCGCCCGCCGGTGGCCGACACCCCTCAGGGCGCCTTGGCTTGTGGACGCACCCCCATCCTCTGCGTGGCACTCTCCCCGCGTGCGTCTGTCCCCGTGTCCCCTTCTTATAAGCGCAGCGGTCGCGTGGGATTCGGGGCCACCTACTCCAGTGTGCTGTCACCTTAGCTAATTACGTCCGACTGGTTCCCGGCCACGGGACGGGAGAACCAAGGCTTTGGGTTCTGCCGTCACAGGAGGAAGTGTGGGCGATTTTGCAACCGGATTCCCTCCATGGGGGAGTCTCGACCCGCCCGTCGGGAGACCCTTCACGAATCAGGAAGATAGCGCAGAAGGAAAGAAAGCGCAGTGACGGTTTCCAGAAGAACGATGACCTCACGGGGCTTGCGTTTCAAAGTCACCTCAACGGGCCGGGCGAGTGCTGAAACAGGTCGCCCCTCCGTCGGCAGCAGGGAGCCGGCCCGCACCTGACCGAGGTTCTGCCCTGGAAGACGACGCGGTTTTCAGGGCGAGAGGGACTGGCCAGACGCGGAGAAGGAACTTCGCACGGCGGGGACCGAGCGGATGGGCCGTGGCGGACAGCGCGCCAGCTCCGTCCCGGGGACGCGGGGACGGCAGCTGCCTTCGTCGCTCCGTGGGAGACCCCTCGCCCCACGGCGGCGCGGCGGCTGCGACCCTGAGAATGGAAGCACCCGGGCAGCAGCCGCGCAGCGCGAGCGAGTGCGTGTTCGCTCGAGACTGAAGCAAAAGCTCAGGGCGCGAGGGCCCGGAAGCAGGGCGCCTGCCCGGCCCAGAGGCGTGCACTACGTGAGGCACACACCTGTCCAGGCGACGCACACCGGGCCGCAGGACACACACCTGCTCACAAGGTGCGCATCCGCTCGTGGGGACACCTGTGGGCTCAGGCCTGTGGACAGACAACCTGGCCGGCGTCTGCGGGGCGGGGCCGAGGCCCTTCATGCACCCAGAAGCCTGCGGTCCACGAGGGACGCAGACGCCACGCGGCGGCACGGCTACGCGCCCGGCGCCCGGGTGCCTGGGGCGGCGCTCGGGCGAGGCCAGCACCCCTGAAGGCTGCGTCCGCCCTGCGGTTGCCTCCGCCGCCGCGGCCCCCAGCCCCTCGGTGGGCTCGCCCTCCACTGCTGTATTCACAGCCCACGAATCCCAAGGTGCTTCGGAGGGTTTCAGCCAGAATCACCACGACACACCTGGAATCCCCGTCCCAGACGGAACCCGGGCGCCGCACAGGATGAACGGCCCGCGGCTGGGGGGGCCCACGCCCCCTGGGGGCGGCCGGTCCTGGGCACAGGGGCCAGGCCGCTGCCGTGGCTCCCCAGCAGGCGGCGCGGGGCCGAGGGTCCCTCCCCCGCTCCGGAAACTAGTCTTTGCGATTAGGTCGGTGGGATTTCTTTTTAAAAAGTGGGCCCCGTTTTGAGCAGACATGTCACAAAGAACACGTACGAATGGGCGGCCCCGGAGATGCCCGAGCCCTGGGAGGCGCCCGGCCTCTGTGCTGCCGCCCCCGCCCCCCACAGCGTCGCTGGGGCCAGAAAGCCACCTGGCGGAGCCCGTGGGCCACACGGCCTTGAGACAAGGAGCCCACGTCCGGGGATGGACGTGCCGGGGGACAAGTGACCGTGAGACGGGGCAGGGCCCGCGGAAGGGCCCGCAAGGAGCTCGGCGCTGGGCGGGTGGAGCGCCCGCTGGGCCTCAGGGTCCCCGGGGCACCGGCCACCAGGACGGGGACCCCGTCGGCCGGCACCTTGGGGGACGCAGAAGACCCCAGCGCAGCTGCCGCGGCGTCCCAGGCACCCCCTCAGGTGCCGGCCGACAGGAGGGCGGAGGCGGCCTGTGAACTTCCCGTTTCTCGCTTCCACCGGCGGGAAGTCAGTCGGGGGAATTTCTTTGTTTTCTGGGTTGGGAGGGAGAAAGGGGAAGAAGCCACCTCTGCACCTCAGCGGGCGCCACCCCCGGCACCGGTCCCGGCCAGACCTTTGGTCTCCAAGCCGCGCCTGCTCTCCGCGGCGTGACGCTCCCCTTAGCTCAGCCGGTGACGCGCACGGTGGCAGAGCAGACGCACTAAGGCCGCGTTCCCGGCCGCAGCCGGGCGCCCGCCCACGGGACACTGCCTCCGCCCCCAGGAAGCCCCCGGCGCCCCTCCCCCGCGCCTGGGCGCCCCGGCCCTCACGCTCAGGGTGACCAACAGTAGAGGACCTTTTCTTTTCTCCTTTCCCGTTAAATCTGCGATACTGAGCGCCCACATTTTAAACTCAAGAAATATGTTTTAAATGCCCTGCATGACATGCTGGTAGAAGCGGGAAGAGGCAGCGAATCCCTGGCCCTGGGACAGGGGCTTGGTGGGGGGTGGGGAGGCCGTGCCCCGCGCCCCTCCGCCCGGCTGCTCACCCCAGTGACATCCCAGCTCCGAGCCACCAGGCGATGTGACGTTCGCGGCCTGACACCGCGCGAAGGCTCCGGGGGCCTGGTCGGCCGCAGTCCCCGGCAAGGGCAGGGGAGGGACGCAGAGTCCTCGCTGCCGTGGGCTGGATCCCGTCCCCAAAAAAGCACATTGAAGCTGCAACCCTGGCACCTATGAGTGTGACCTCATTTGGAAAGAGGGTCTTTGTAGACTTAACCCAGGGAAGAGGGGGCCATAACCCAATAGGACTGGCGTCCCTACACAAAGGGGAAACCTGAGCACCAACGCACCGAAGCCTCGCGGAGACCGAGGCAGCAGGAGGGATGCGCCCGGGACCCACCCAGCGGCCGGGACACTGGGGGCCGAAGACGCGGAAGGGACCGTCCCCGAGGCTCTCGAGGGAGCGGCCTGCCCACCTTGATTTCAACTTCTGCTTCCCAGAATGGCAACGACACACCTTCCGTGCGATCCTTTTCACATGGCAGCTTTAGGAAGATTTTAAAATTTTCTCGGACAGCTCCCAGGCTCCACGAGGCAAAGAAGCTGTGTCCGGGGATTTTAAATCCGGGCTATCCCGTGACTTGAAATGTGAACTCCGTGCACGTGTGCTCCACACGCAAGAGGAAAAGATCTAAGCAGAACACAAGGACAGTGCAGTCGAGTGACCCGGAGCCCCCCGGTCTTCCAGTGTTTTGGGGAGACCCTTTCCAGTGCACGGAGCAGCGGTGGGAGCAGCTCAGAGAGCCCGGCAGCCGGGAGCACCGCTGTTACATTCTGCAACCCGTGCTCACGTCAAGCAATATGCTGGACTCTTTGATCGGTCCTTCTTTCTTTCTTTTTCAAAAAGCTTTTTATTTATTTATTTTTAGAGAGGGAGGAAGGGAGGGGAATGCGAGGGAGAGAAACATCTGTGTGTGGCTGCCTCTCGCATGCCCCCTGCTGGGGACCTGGTCCCAGGAATATGCCCTGACTGGGAATCGAACCTGCGGCCCCTTGGTTCGCCAGCCGGTGCTCAGTCCACTGAGCCGCACCAGCCAGGGCGGTCCTTCTTTCTTAAAAGCCGAGTCCCTCAAAAACAAGAGACGCCCCCGGTCCAGGTGAGGAGCTGCGTGCGCAACGGGCCGGGCGAAGGCGGTCTCGGGTGCAAGCTCTGGTTCAAACGGAGCCACACGTCTGCTCTGGTGTCCAGCCGAGCTTCAGCCGCCAGCGTGACATGTTCCCGATGCCCACTGTCGGTTCTGCATGAGGACGGGGCAGGCGAGGGGTGGACAGGGACCGCCTGAGCTGTGGCCAAGACCTCCCACGGGCAGATCCCGCCTCCATCGCCCGGGCTGCTGCTCCCCACGTCGACCTCGACAGCACAGCCTCAGCAGCGAACGCGAAGCCCGGGTCCCTGGCACCGCCCCCCCACCCCCGCAGCCAGCTGGGCGCCCGAGGCAGGATGGGCACAGGGCCACGGTGGGGCTGCCCAGGCTGAAGTGGGGCCCCAGCACGGGGTCACCTGGACCCACGAGGACTCAGCCCACAGGGCCCTCAGGGGAGGGGCCGGCTCTTCCTCTCTGGTCGCGGTCCGGGCTTGGGCCTGGCTGGGGTGCCGCGGAGGCCGGGAGGTGGAGGGCACCTTGTGTGCCCCGATCCTGCCGTATGACAGAGACAGAGCTGCTCCCTGGGAAAGACCTCTCTGTAAAGCGCTGGGCTGGGACGGCTTCAGGCAGCTTTAAGAAATGAAACTCCACGATTCAGAGGGAAGACCGGAGCTGCCAGGCTCGGGGTCGCACGGGGGACGCGCCAGGGCAGGCGGCTGGTGCCCCGGGGCCGCAGGGCGCACGAGGGCTCTCCAGCCCCCACGGACAGGCGGCCGCAGGGATGGGCACTGCAAGCGCCGGCTCAGCCAGGTAGCCGCGGGGGAGGTGGACTCGCCA